CCGGTGCGTCCTATAGGGCAAAAAATACGGTAATTGCAAAGCTTTCTTTCTATCTCACTTAAGGTCACCAGAGTGTTTCCTGGCGTGGCTGGGTTGATTTGTAAGAGCTGCATAATTGGCAGAGATTCATCTGGCAAATCTTTCCTTCCTGCACTGCATCACTATGCCAAAGAAGAATCATCTACTGAATTTTCCGCCCATCATGCACTGTTAAAGGCAGACGAGATATGCCAGCAAAAGTCTATAAGTGTGCAAATACAACCAGCAGAGTTGAGAGGTTTTTATTTATTTCTCTCCCCTGCCCCCCGTAATAAAAATGATGCAAGTGAAGCTTTGCCTGGGAAACCTTAATAATGAATTTTGACATGTCATGCACCTGTTAAGTAACCATGATGGAAGGCCGTTGACAACCTTATTCTATCTTCCACCATCCCTCTCCAAATCTGAACAAGACTGTGACTTACCCTGATCCTAAACATGTTTCCTTGGGAAGATAATAAGATTTATTACAAGTAATGGCACATAGGCTTAGATTCTCAGTGGAAGGGCTTTTAGGTGATGAGCAGAGTCCCAAGCGTAAAATCTCCCTATGAGTGGCTGAAGCAGAAGTCATGACACAGCATGCCTGTTCACTTGCTATGGAAACTATGTTTGGTTAAGTATCAAGTGTCCAGATTTCTGCTCATGTGCTTAGCAAGGAAGCGCTGCATATTTATAACTTAGGCAGCCTAAAGACTACAACAGCAAAGCAATTCCCTTATGGGCCAGCCAATTCATTCCACAGCTTGGCCTGAGCAATGTATTAATTATTGTTGTTTTTATATTGCCAGAAGAATGTGGAATCTCTTCTAGACCAAGATAAATTGATACCAGAAGGATTAATGGTCTAAATTAGCTACAACACAGTAAGGCGTGTGATAAACCAAAGAGTGGGGACCCATATTGAGGCCTGAGGGTTGTACCCAACCAAGTTATACTCGGAACAGAGTCCATGAAATTAATGGACCCGTTAGTCATGTCCATTCTTTTCAATGCGTTTACTTCAGGAGTAAGGAAGCTTTGACTTGTGAACCAAACCTAGCCCAGCAAACCTCCCCATTTGGCCTGCTAGGCTGCTTTTCTTAAACCAGGCCTACCTGCCCCACACCTGACGTATAAGATGTCAGGTCTGGGGCAGGTACCAATGTGGCTACAAAGTAACAATCAGGAGTGTAAAGTGAGTGACCGATTGTTCCTTGCTGGAGCATGGTGCACTTCAGACGATGGATGAAGGGAGTGCACCTTTTTCTGAGAGCACCAAGCAGTTTGCATTCAAATTGCTGCTAAAACAGGTTTTCCCCTCCACTTCAATGCAACCTGCTGGGCACTACAGGATCAGCAAAGGCCCTTGTTCTGCGGTTCCCAGTTGCCTACTGGCTGTCAAGCAGTTGACATAATGATGCCAAGTGATTGACAAGTGAGTTGTCCAGCCCAGCTGTCAAAGCTGGTCCACAGGTTATGGTCAGATAAAGATCTGGTTCACTGGTCCAAAAAGGTCCCCCATCCCTGGTTTACTCTGAGTAGTACCAATATTGACTACAACACTGAATAATCCAGAAAACTATTCCGTAGGGGCATGTTGGAGCTGCAAAAAGAACCTGGATGAAGGGTGTGTTTGAGAACATATATGAACACCTTAAATTAGGAGGCTGCAAAGGTACAGTGGTACCTCTGGTTACGTACTTAATTCGTTCTAGAGGTCTGTTCTTAACCTGAAACTGTTCTTTACATGAAGCACCACTTTAGCTAACGGGGCCTCCTGCTGCTGCCGCGCTGCCGGAGCCTGATTTCTGTTCTCATCCTGAAGCAAAGTTCTTAACCTGAAGCACTATTTCTGGGTTAGCGGAGTCTGTAACCTGAAGCGTCTGTAACCTGAAGCGTATGTAACCCGAGGTACCACTGTACATTGAATCAATTACCACCTTGTTGGTGAGATCCCGAAGCATCATAACTTTTTATAACATGTTGAGATTGGAAGCTTGGCAGGCTCCCCAAACAACTTTGTGATCCTCCCACACCCACAATCTGCGCTGTTGTTGAGACACACACTTCCCTCTAGTACAAAGTGTATTACTTAGGAGAAAATGTGGGAATTCTTTTTACCAAAGTTATGTTTGTGCAGAAAACGTGCTGCAAATGAGAAAAAGATGTGTACCGTTTTCAAAAAAACTGAAATTAAAAATTTGTGCAGAAAGTATGTAAACTGGTAAACATGCTGCCCCCTAGTGTATCAATGTATTCATGGATGGAGACTAGCTTTTCTCTCTCCTATTATAAGCACTTAATAACTGGAGCTTTGCACACTTCATAACATATAGCAAAACACAGATTTGTCATGATTAAAGAAAGCATTGCTTGAGCAACAGCATAGATTTGTGATACTAAAAATAAATTTTGAAGTACACAGTAGAAAATCAAGGTCTGATCATTAATTTAAATTCCCAAGAGATTACATGAACATGCTACATACCTAAATGCTCACAGTAAAGAGCCTGATTTTCTGTTTGGCAACAGCTTTCACATAAAAATAGACTTTTGTTACATGAAACTATCAACCTGGTTTAAATCTGATGATGGTAAACTACTTGTGATTCACACGGGATCTGGGTCTATGACAGCCTGTTCAGATACTTGGCTCAACACATATAATGCCAAACATATAATAGAAAATAATGATGAGTTGTGAAATTGGTACGACATCTTTGGCTATAATAATAGGGTAAGACTTTGAGTAGGACTTATCAGATGCAACCCTTTAAATCAGTAGAAGTTACTTTCTAGTGCTATGAATTGCTTGAAAGCTGTTGAATGCAGTCTGAATTCACTCAAGCTCAGAATCTATATCTCCATCCTAGGTGGTAACATTACATGACCCCAATATTGGCTAATGGTTAGAAACCAAACAAGCCAGTTCTCTCTAATATGGTATTCATTGTATGAACATGCTCTGTGTTTTTTGTACTTGCAAGGCAAAGGCACGTGCAGTGTAGCAATTACTATCGGATAGGTAAAAATATTGCCCCAGCTCAACACTGTGACCAAGCTAAGATGCCTCAGTGAGATCAGGAGACATCAAAAGAAAATGGTATTTCACATCCTAGGGAGTCTACTAGCTCAAGAGGTGATAATGCTAAGCATTTACATAGCTTCCCTAATATTATGTCTTGCAAAACTGTGATAATGATAGTGTAGTACTGCATTCTCATTATAATTTGTGAATTAAGAACTCCTGAATATGTTGTACAGTCATTGCATGATGCGCAGAAAGTCAGCTCCTAAAACACTCGGCTTGTAAGAACAAAGCAAGCTTTTAGCTGACATAATCGGCATGTGCTCAAATGTTGGGTGGCCTGACGCAAAAGGAGACAAAGCTTTTCCACCCTTAAGAGCTGTGTAGAAAAATGGAATTTCAGGAGGCATGGCTTGTCATGCAAGCTACATCTGCTGCAGTGCCCTCTTCTGCAGAGCTATTGATTTTATTTATTAGTTATATTTATTTCTAGCCAGACTTTCAGCCTACCCACACCACTATCCCCATCCCCAGTAATTACGGCCGGCATTTTGGCGGTCTTGTAATAACAAAAGGGAGAAAGCGGTACTCCTGAAGAGAGAGCGGCCCCTCGCTATCGCCTAACGTCAACCGTGGGCCCCTGAGCCCCTCTCTTATTAGAAGAAATCAGAGAGGACGTCGCTTTCGGCCCCGCAGCTCGTCAACTGCACCGATCGCACAAGCCCAAACCTGGAGCTAAACCAGCGTTTTGAAGGAGGCGATTCCTATCTTTGCCAGCCAAGAAAACAGCGCCTCCTTCCCAAATTTATTCTTCTTCTTGCTATTATTGTTGTTGTTACATATGTACTGAATTCTGATGGGATGTTGTTTAGGCTGCTGCTGCTAATTTAAGACAAAACATGCGAAAAGGTATTTCATTCAATAAGGCAACGCGTATCCCGCGCCAGCCATGGGAAAAGCCCCCTTCTCTTTCGCTGCGGCTGAGCCTAAACCAGAGACTAAGCGGAAGCTGAACGAAGAGGTGGGGGCAGGGCTATTGCTCAATCGATCCAGCGAACGGATTTCATCCGTCAAATTGGAATTTAACAAGGAGCCGCCATCTCGAGGCAGCAATAAACTCACGTGCAGCCCGAGAGGCAAATACACCACAAAAGGGTTAGAGCTGCTTAGGGGATGGGAAGCGGGGACCCAGCCTGGTTTGTTGTTCTGCAATCCAGGTTTGGTTTGTCTTAAAACAGCGTGTCCTAACGTGGTCATTTAGCTTCGGGTGCTTTTCGTGGCGATATATTACCACTAATAACGGAGGCTCAAGCGGCAGTTTAAACAGCAAAGTTACTCCCACTGAGCTATATAAGACCAGGTCAACATGTATAGGAATTGCAGCCTGAAGGGGCTGAACTCAAAAGCTACCCACCCTTGCATCGCTTTTCCTTTGCAATGGGGAATATTGCAAGCGCCACCCAGCACTGTGGGACCTACTTCCGTGTAAAGCTGGACAGGCTCAGCTGTCCAGCTACGGCTTCGTTGCTAGAGCCACCCACCTTGCGCGCGCATGGTCCCACGTTCAATTCCCGGCATCTCCCGGTAGGCCTTTTTTTTTTTAAGCACTCCGGCCTGAAATCCTGGATAGGTGGTCCAAGAGCCTGACTCGACTTAAGGCAGCATCTTAAGCCCCCCCGCCCCGTAGAACTGCCCTGTTTATACGGCTCCCCCCAGGTAGAAAGCGATATGTAAAATGTTGCCAAGACGACGAGTAAGCACCTTGGAGCCGTTTAATCTCTCCACTTAGGCTGTGCAGCTGCCTCCGCCCACGCCTCCTTGCCCCCATGGAAGCCAGCGTGGGGCTGAGTGCCCTGCGAAGAACGACGCCTAGGGGCTGAGGCTGGGACACGCACGAGAGCGGTGCGTTTTTCTGTCAGGCAGCGAGCGGGGCAGCCCCGCGACGGCAGTGTGGAAGGACCCGTCCCTTTGGCGGCACGGAGAGTGGTGGGAGTGCCCAGAGCGCTGTGCCCGCAGCCCGCCTGACTCGCAGCTTCTCCTCGGCGGCGTCGCCATGTCCGTCAGCGAGATGTTCATCGCTTTGCAAGGGGTGCTCACGGCCGACCAGGATATCCGCGAGGTAAGAGAGGGTCGCGCCGGTGCGAGGACCACGGACGCTTCGCCAGAGCTCGAAAGGGGGATCCCTTTCCTGCCCACCCCTTTCGCCGCTCCTCGGATCACGGGGACTAGAGCCTTGCTTTTCCTACCTTCCAAACCGCGGGAGCCAACCTTTTAACAACTGCATGCCTGAAACATGGGACCCATTTCTATCACGTAAACCCAAACCCGCCCTATAACGGCTCAGGAGAGGGAAATTTAGTTGTTGCTGCTTGTTACGCTAAGTGTGAGAGAAATCGCATCGGCTGAAATTTTCCGTCCTGCACCACCACCGTTAAAGATCTTGTTTTCCTTTGCGCCTATTCTTTGTCAAAGCTGAACAAAGAAACAACAACAACCACCAGTGATGATTGCAAGCACTTCCACCCATCTTGAGTCAAGGTGTGATCCACTACGGGATACTGACCCATCACAAGTAGCAGTATGATGAACAGAATCATAGTAACAACCTAATTGCCTCATAGATAACCATTAGTTAGCTAAGTAGTGCAGACCCCGTTTTTCAAAAACCAAGCTATGGACCCACTACTTTTAAAAAGTTTGATATCTCTATGGTAGTTTTTGTTACATGAATGGTGCCATAGATCTCCCAGGTGGATTACTGGGACTCCCTGGGGTCCATGGACCCCCCAATTAGGAACCAGAGGTCTAGAAATTTACTAGAGAGAAAGACGGCCAAAATTGAACAGCAGCTTTGTGTTAACACATTGCATATTTTTCTGTACCATCATGTTCTGAGTATTTTATTGTTGTTTACAGGAGATCAGGAAAGTTGTTCAAATTCTGGAGCAAACAGCCCGGGAAATTCTTACAGTGCTACAAGGAGTCCACCAGGGGTCTGGATTTCAGGACAGTAGGTCATTCTTTGTTTGCCTATTGGGAAAAAAAGGTCACAAACATGTTTACATGCATAAAGGATGGTTACAGAAGATGAGGATAAAAGATGCCACTCAGTAACGTAAAAGTGAAATGGTTATGTGTTTTGTGAAAAACATTTTTCTACTCCAGTTTCTTTGTGAATTGGAAATGCAGGAAAGTGAATCACGTACAATAGATTATAACACTAAATTTGACTGTTTCATTATTGGGCACTTAACTAGTAAACAAAGACTCATTCAGCTGTGAAATCTTAAAACAAGTCTGGTTTCTATATCGTATCAGACAGGGCAGGGCAGCTTGTAGGTTCTACTCTGCTTGAGCAGAGCCTGGTGCAAAAGACATATGATTAGGATGAAAGAATTCAGAGCCTGGAATTTTTTTAAAGGCCAGAACTGAGCAAAGCACACAGTCTTTCCACACAATAATCCACTCCCTCCCCATTTCAGCAGTACAATTTAGTGGGTCATTTTGTTGTTGCAAGTGTTAAACACATCTGAGCAAGAAATCCTTGCTGATCTGCTTCAGATAACCCAGAGAATTACTATTCAGTCACAATTTACCTTCTGTTCACTCCAGGTGTGGGGAGCCTAAACAAGTAGAAGCAGGCTTCCTGCTTCAAACTGCCACCCTCCAATTCATGGGGATTGGGGGTGGGCAGTGCTAGCACATTTGCTTCCACACCTCTACTCATCTGACAGCTTACCCAGTTGCAGGAATGAATCTCCCAGTAGAGCAGAGCGGCTGCAATAACATTCCCACAGCAGAGTCACTGCCATTTACTTCGAGGGTGGGAAGGGGTAGGTGGTGTGAAGGTCAGGGCTGTACAGACGAGCTAGCTAGCAGGAGCCCTGGATTGCCTCTGCCAGTGCATCCACAGAACCGTAACTCACCCACCCACCTAGTCTTTCCCTGTAAATGACAGTGACTTCTTCCAGGCACCTATTGCGGCAGCTGAACCACTCCTGTCATTATGAACTTATTTCAGTGGGATTAAACCATGACTAACTTAGGCTTCATTCCTGTATCCACTTAGCTAGGAATAAGCCCCATTGAACTTAATGGAACTTAGTTTTGATGCATAGGATTGTGGTGTCCTATGGATGGATCCAGTGAATCAAACTTAATAGAAAATTAATAAATATATAAATGCTGTTGGGGTGGTTGTTCATTATTATAGTGCGTACGTTTGTGTTTTTATGTTGTAAGCAACCCAGTGTTCTTCAGAGGGAGGTATAGATAGCAAATAAATAAGAAACCTGTTTCTTTAAAGTATCACAGTATTGTCTTTGCTCATGGTTCTATGCCTAAAGGGTGTATTCTTTAAAGAAACTCAAAAACCAATAACTAGCCTTTGTTTTCAAGGTTAAGTGCTGTTTGTTTTTAATTTCAGTACCAAAGAAGTGTCAGAAGGCTCGTGAACACTTTGGTACTGTTAGAACACAGTTGGCCTCTCTGAAAAACAAGTTCCCTGCAGATCAATATTACAGGTTAGTAAATGTCCACTTTCCTCCTGCCTTTTGTGGTCTTTTTAATAATATTTTATTCTTTTTTCCATATAGAAAGTTACATTTGTTACTGAGGAATTTTAAACCAATCATTTTAATATGGATGGCTATGATTTATTTCCACTGTTGGAGGCAGCATGCTTCAGCATACCAGTTACTAGGAATCACAAGTGGGGCGGATGCTATTGTACCACCACAAGGATAGGATTTAGGACTAGATGGGCCTTTTGTCAGATCCAGCAGGAGTCTTCTGTTTAAAGTGCCAGGAATCACTTTCTCTTTCCCCCCCATGCAGATTTAATGAACATTGGAGATTTGTGTTACAACGTTTGGTGTTCTTAGCAGCATTTGTTGTCTACTTGGAGACAGAAACCTTAGTGACTCGGGAAGCTGCTACAGAAATACTTGGAAGTAAGGAATTGTTTTTCCACTTAAACACAATGACTTTTGGCTTTAGCAAGGCTCCCTGTCTAAGAAATTCAGTAAAATGTTAACCTAAATTGGCACGTCAGAAAGCTTCTACATGTCACTTAGCTTTCCTTCTAAAACCTTTTGACGTAGTTTGACGGTGAAATAGAGACTAGACCTCTGCTTCAGCTCTGCCAAGGTTCCTTTTTTAACTGAAAAAATTAGTAACTGTTAGTAAAAAAAGGAGTCCATATATGCACTGCTCGAGAGCTATGAGTTGGCAGAGTTGCAGGCTCCCTGGAAAGGTAGAAAGTCCACAGTGAAAGACGGGAATGTGGGAAGATTAGGTGTACACATTAATTGTATGAAGCTTCTATACATTCTTATTTACTTTGAAGAAGCCACACTTGTATTCAGTGAGGCTTACTAAATGTTTAGGATTACAGCTCTACTCCAGCAGTGTGGACTCTAAACGGCAGCTACTCATGAGGATCTTGGGCAGAGGTTTTCCCCATGAGCCCTGCTACCTGAAAATCCTTTTAACCAGAGATGCTAGGGACTGAACCTGGGACCTTCTGCATGTAAATAATGTGGTCGGCCACTGTGCTTTGGATTTGGTGCTAAGATATGTAACCCTACAATCCTTCCTAGAGTCTGAGATTAACATCCAAAGTACTTCTCTGTGTGCACCCACCGAGAGATGTCAGAGAGTGGCAATGAGGGAATGGGCCTTTTCAGTGGTAACCTCAGTTATAGGATACTCTCCCCAGGGAAACTCACCTGACACTGGCTTTGTCCTCTTTCAGGCACTAGGTGAAGACATTTTTATTCTCCCAGGCATTTGGACAGCAGCACTGATGTTGGAACTTTTGGTGGCTACCAGGGTATACATCCTGTGTGAAGGGCGTGGATGCTTTGTGCTGTTTCAGATTACCTTTTCTTTGGATGAACACTTTTAGTATTTTATATTTGAATTGTTTTTGAATTGATCAGTGTAATTAACTAACCATTAACCTAAAAGGAAGGCCTAATCTGAATTGGCACTCCTTTCATTTTGGAGTCTTCTAACCCTGATGATTTGTATTATCAGAGTTGAATCCAAATCCGTTCATTCTTTTTGCAGTTGAATCTGAAAGAGAGAAAGGCTTTCACCTTGACATTGAGGATTACCTCTCTGGGGTGTTGACTCTGGCTAGTGAGCTGGTAAGTAAAGAGTATTGAGAAGTTTTAAAACTAATGCAGCATGACTTACCTAGTTGGACTGAAACTAATATCCAGGGCCTTGCGTGGACAAAACTAGAGGTTACATACCATGGCTCTTTCTTTAATGAAGTTGCTAGTTGCTCTTTTTCTGCAAAGGGAGGCTTATGGTTGCATATTACTCTACTAATAGTAAAGGTTTGCAAGATTGAGGCTTCTTCATCAAATATGCTCTAAAAGCCAGTATAATTTATCCTTTGGAAGGAAGACAAAGTGCTGAATACCCTGTTCAGATGCTAATACTCTTGTGGGACTCCAGTAAGGCCTACCTAACCCGATTTGGTCTGTGCACGTCTGCTTATCTTGCACCATTCTGCTTTCTTCCATAGGCTAGGTTGGCAGTGAACAGTGTCACAGCTGGAGACTACGCCCGTCCCCTCCGCATCTCTGCTTTTATCAACGAGTTGGATTCCGGATTCCGCCTTCTCAACCTTAAGAATGACTCCCTGAGGAAGCGCTACGATGGCCTCAAGTACGATGTCAAGAAGATAGAGGAGGTGGTTTATGACCTGTCAATCAGAGGGCTCAACAAGGACTCAATTGCTAATGCTGGTGGGGAGAAATAGAGGAGGGCTTGTTGAACTGAAGCAATCATTACCTCAGTCTTGCTGCCAATGAAGGAGAAGCTTTAACTTGAGCTCTCCAGCAGTAGTTTAGAGGAACCACAAAGCTGCATACCACTGTTGTTTTTTCCTAATGGAATGTTTAGTATGTCCAAGCAGAAGCACTCATTCCCCACCCCCCAAGCCCCTCTAGCAGGCGCTGCTTGGAGTCCTAAGTCACCCTGGTGCAAGCAAACTGTCATCTCTGAACTACAGCTGTTGCTATCCCATTATCCCTGCAGAACCAAGCATGGGGATTATTTTCCCCATGCATCACAGCCTTTGTTCAAGCCTCATCCTTTTTGGATCTCCACGTCATTTACATGTAGCACAGTTTATGCACACTGCTGCCCTGGGCTCCTTTGTAATAAATAAAAGTTCAGTACTTGGCTGCAGCTGATGTGTAAACAGCTTGTCAAAAAGCATTCATTTTCTGCTCATCTGTGTAAACCAGATAGATTGCTGCATAAAATCAAGAGTTTAGAACTAGGATGATCAGTTCAGTAGAAATATTGTTGGGAATATATGTTTTCAAATAGTCACCATTATTATAGTACACATATATTTGTATCCTTAAACATGCTGATTTTTGCATTTGGGAAGAGACGTGAAATAGTCATTGAAGCTGAACAGTTGCTTGTGGGCATGTTCCAAGTATATATATAAGTTTTAAAAAGCAAATCTTGGAACATGTTTTAGGTGATTTTTTGTGGGGGGAGGAGCACAGATTTCAAGGAGGTAAGTAGTTACGTAACAGGGCGAAGGTGTCTGTGTTCCTTTGAATTCTAAGTGACCTGTTTCACATTTCCTTCATTTTGTATTTTATCTTTTTTATATAACGTTCTTGGTCCATCATGCAGCAAAGAATGCATTTGGCCTTAACAAAAAACGGTGACACTTACCTTGATCCTAAACACATGTACATGGAGGCGAGTTGCTTTGTGCATAGGAGCACAGCTTTTGTATGTAGGGGGCAGGTGCAAATCGCTCTTCTTTCACCTCCATGTGTGTGCTACCTCCACTGTATTAGTATTTAACATCCGTCTTCTGAATCTGATTTATATGTGCAAAATTTGTTTCTGCAATATACTGTGTTGTTTTGTCTGAGCATTTTTCATATTGTGTGCTGTATAGGATCTGTTTTCCCCCTTGCCCTAAAGTTTTCCCTTTGACAAATATCACCTCCAAAAGATAAGAAAAATATTTGTACTTTACAATATTAGTGGCTGTAAGTATCTTTTGTTTGTAAATCTTTGCCTTTTTCTGGTTACGTTTTGGGATGGGTGGGGGAAAAGTTCATTGAAAAGCAAATTCTTCCTTTGTTAACGTGGGTAAATAAAAGACACTGTTCTTTAATATTATGCTTCTGTGATTTTGTTTTGTATGTTTCTTACAAGCTTGCACCCTGTAATTCACAATAACTTGTTAAATGTACAGGTGTCATATTTTCTTCATTTTAACAAAAACCCCTTCTTTCAAGACACTGCAATTCTACAGCACCCATTTTGGAGGAAGGCTATGATAAACAGTTCACAACTGGTGCAGAAAATCTTGCTAAACGATATTCTTACAGTTTTTTCCCTGTCGGCTATAGAATAGAAAAGTGCTGCCACGTATTTTGTTCTCTAGTATTCTACAGAGTTCTTTTTTATTATTATTCTCATGTGTCACTAGGATAGGAGTGATCTGGTATGGAAAACAAAAAGAGAAGTTAATTAAAGTGCAAGGAAACATAATTATTAAAACATTTTATGTTAATCTACAATAATGTAACAGATTCCTTTTTAATTAAAATTTTGAAATACACTAGATTACATCATTTAAATAATCACAAACTAGAAGAGGTAATTGAGCCTTGTTAACAGAAGCGTATTTCAGAACGATTTCTGATGTTAAGACATTCCTTGGATTTCTACAATGGGTTTTTAACCATTTACAAACAAATCCAGTGATCCGTAAAGGGAGAGAGTATTGCTTATCCACAGGATTATACAGGTATTCTGGAATGTTTGTGAGTGAACTCTGAATATATTTCGGCTTCCTTTTCCATTTACGTGTTACATGCATTCAGTGCAAAGTAAAACTCGGTAAACTGGTTCCTACATGGGCATGAGGGTAGAAGTAGAAAACTGATAAGCTAACAAAAGATGGATGAATTAAATGTTTCCTGGGAGAGCAAGCTGAAATGAGGCTAATTATACTGTCTAAACATTCTCCTTTATTGTGTTAATACTGCTCTAAATTTGACTGGATGTTGCCTAATGCTGTTATAATATATGCACAATGAAACCAGTCTATCATATATGGTCAAAATTCCTTTTTCCCAGCACAATCATGCAGTGTCAGACATCTCACACTCCTATCTGATCCCCACATTATTAACAATATTAGCTCAATATTTTCTCTCTAGAGACCTGCTCCTCATGATCTGGTGCCAATAACCCCTAATTACCATAGAGGAAGACATCCCAAGTAGGCCACAAATCTGAAGGGCCCGCCCTGCCCCCCTTGAGCAAGTCTTCACAGGGTAAAGCCTATTTGCCCTCAGACAGACAACACACATTTTGTTGTCTTCACTGTTATACCTATTTACAAAATGTGCAAAAGATTCCCATTACCCAGAATCTAGATCTCACTCCTCTTACCACTTAAGAGCCTCCTCTGATTTCTCCTTAGGCCAAGTTGTGCTGAAGTGATTATTTTGGCTAGCCAGATTAACTCCTTATGTTCCTACAGCTCATGCTTAACTTTCACTCCACACTTAACAGGCAGTCTTCAAACTAACAACACTCTTCCTTTTCGCTACCAGCTCAGTCAGTTACACTAAGCAGAGGGTCAGCCACCAACCTCCTCTCAAGATGACAGCCTCTTTTTGACAGTTCAATGGGGCCCTCACTTTATCACCTCATCAGGCAATGCCTCTCAAAATGGGGAATGTGGCCTCCAGAAGGGTTTGTGGGGCACCTACAAGAGAGGGGGCAGCATTTTGTAAGTCTTATTGATAAGTAGGTCTATAAAGAGGCTCAAGATTTCCCACAATCTGAGTGTCTACCTCATGGATTTGCTGACAGGGAAGGGTGGAATGGTCAGTCACAGACTGCTGTGGGTTACCTGAAACTAGAGACCATGGGCTGTGGAGCAGCTGAGAAGAGGAGTAGCGGAGGTAGGGGAGCAACTGTGTGTGTAGGAACCACACAATTGGGAGCAAAGCAGACATAAAGGTTGTAGGAGCCAGGTAGCTACACCCAATGAGGTTTCTAAGTTGGGTTGTATGGAAGATCTAACAAGCTTAAAAACGGGGCACATTTTTTCCTTCAATTTGAGAAACGCTTATTTAAGTGGTACTCGTCACAAATGAATTCTCAGTAGAAAATGACATCGTTACGGATAGCTCCAATGCTAATTGGCCAGGTGAAGTTCATTCTTGGTGCAATTTTTGTTGAAAAGGAGATCTTCAACCCAAAGCAGGTCGTGAGGAAATTTCTGAGCTTACTTAGCCAAGTCATTTCGCAGTCAGCGATCCTTTCATGACCTATTGTGCGATGCGCTTATCATGATGTTGGGCAAGGCGTTGCGCCGCTTCTTCCAGGAGCCCAGCTCCCGAGAGTACCTCCGTATCTGCCTGAACCAGTGGTGAGTCCGTGCCTTGTCTCCATCTCGGAACACAAAAGACTCCCGCCTGATTTCAAGGAGTTCAAACGTGTCGTCGCAGTCGGGATCCACAGAGACCACACAGTTGCTGAGTCTCAAGGGCTCCCTGAGCAAGCTGAACTTCCCATTGTTTTTGTCCCTAATCAGTACCAATACTGCATCTTTCACAGGCCCTGGCTCTCCGGGTTCAAAGCTAGACTCAGAGGCGCGTCGGATGTTGACCATGAGGAGCACTTGCATGTTCTGGAATTTTAAGGTCTTGCTGCCCTTTTTGACCCACTGTCCATCAGGAGGCTGGGCCAGCTGCAAGGGCCCTTCCATCACAAAGCGGGTTTCTTCCCGCAGCCAGCCCACAGTCTTGATAGCGGTTTCCCTCATTTCAATGTTAATGACCTCCCTGTTCTTCTTGCTGTCCTGGCGGAAGGAACGCAAAGTCCACGAGTTCCCTTCCTGCTTGGTCTTCATGTTTATGTGCTCCAGGTGGGACTCAATGCGGCTTTTGGCCTCCCTCAGGCTGCTGTGATCTGGGTGGTACTCAGTGGTGGCTTTGATGATGCGGCTCAGCAGAAGTGGGTACTTGGTGACTCTCTGCAGTGGAGCCATGAGGAAGGACCGCAGATTCATGCGGCGAAGAGCTGTGTTGTCGTTCTGGGAAACATTGAGGAAAATCCTGCAGGGAGGTCAAAAAAGAACGTATTTTGTAAACAGGTACAGGAAAACAGAAAAGCTTACACCGAGAGACTTGTTCGTACATACACATTAGGCATTGTTATCTTTAATTAATTAACATTTACAAAGTAATTATGACTTAAGATCCCAGAATATTATTGATATATACTGCTTTCCTGCAAAACCATTTACTTGATTTGCTAGACTCAGGAACATTTTTTTATTTTTTTTCCGTTCTCAGGCCTTGTTTAATGCATGACTAAGGTAAGGTTAAATAGACTTGCTGTTGATATCTTAGCTGTTAAATATTCCTAAATTTATGCAAATGTAGACACAGGGCAGTATCTAGCATATTAGTTGCAATAGTGCAGGGAATGTTTTCACCCTCCCCATGTCCTATGTGTCCTCTGTGCACCCCCTAAATCTGTTCTGAGGGTTTCCCCAGCCCTCTAGAACGGATTTGGGGAGGAGGTTGGAGGTGCAGGGAGCACTCAGACACTATACTGGGAATGTCACAGGTGGATGAGCACAGCCTTTCTATCGTTCTGATAAAGCCCCAGTTGGTGATGTGCCTTTATTGGTAAACTCCTCAGCTCTAGTTGATGCCATGTATCCTGGTGCAAGTGCCTGGTCATTGATGAACACCCCCTCCCAAAGCATACTTGCTCCAAGGGGTGTTGCTAAGTACTTAAAAGTAAGGGCTCATAGGCAAACTTTTGCATATCTGAATTAATATGTACAGATGCAAATTCAGAATTTTAATATTACAGATAATAAGCTCACCAGACACCCCAAATATGTTCAATTATCTTGCACCCCACTCCAGATCTGTCCCCCCTTCAATTAATTTACTCTCGTTTTCCCAACAGATCTTTCTCCAAATCCATTTAATCCCCTTACAATTGCCCCCATTCATTATTATCTCTAGGTACAATAATTTCAAATTCATTTATTTCCACAAATTTATATCTTACTCACTAACCCAGACCACACACCCCTCCGACACACACCCAGTTAATCTCTTGAATACATTACCTACCCAGAAATGCTCAGTACATTTAGGAAAAGATATGGAGTCTGTGCCCCAAGGCATATACTTCCTACCAGGCCTGTGCAAGGGGCCAGGGACAGCTGGGTAAACTTGCCCTGGGTCTTGGAGGGCTAGGATGACTGGGGGACTCCACCAGGGGCCTGCAGGACTTCTGGTGTCATGTCAAGAACAAGACTTCCATGCTGGGCTTCATACAAGCGCTGAATGGTCCTGCTACCAACCCAAGATTAAGAGGTCTCCTCACCTGAGTAACTCCTTCTCTTTTTCCAGTGCATTGAGCATGTTCACTGAAGATGACTGCTGGAGGCAGTACGTCTGGAAGGCAGGCAGCATATTGACAAATTCCAGGAATATTTCACCGATGCACACAGTCATGAGGTCATCATCGCCCTGCCAACACACAACACACAAGGCAATGCATCAGCCAGAGACGTGGAGGTACCAGAGGCCATTAAAAGCCACCGGCCTAATATTCAATTGTGGCGAATGTGCTGGAGTGGAGCTGGTGACATTGGTGTCTCTGCAGTTTACGGAGCTGAGGTGGGTCAGGGCAGCGGCAAAGGCAGGGCTGTGTGGACATACCAGCAGGAGGAACAGATTGGTGTCCACACAGCACTGACCGCATCACCTGCCTGCCCTGTCACAGCCCTGCCCAGGTAATATGCAGCCCAGACCTACCACCTTGACTGCAACTGCTAATATAATTACAAGCTGATCTTGGACAACACGTTAGCAACACACCTCATGATAGCTGTTTCAACAGTGAGTTTCTTTTGGCCACGTTTCCCATGAACTACAGCTTGAATGCATTCTGAATAATTAAGCTCTTTCCACACTGAAAACAAGCAAAAGTGCTACATGTTTTTTCCTTGAACTGCTAACTTCTGCAATCTATTCTCCAAACAGTGGCCTAAGCCCAGTCACTAGGAATCACAAGGGAGGAAAATGCTGTTAAACTCAGCTTCTGTTTGTGAGCTTCCCATAGGCATCTCACTGGCCACTGTGAGGACAAGATGGTAGGTGAGATGGGCCTTTGGCCTGATCTAGCGGGGATCTTCTTATGATTTTCTACTGACTCTGGTAGAACATTAAAGGTGTATGCAAACACAATGCAAAAGTGATTAATCTCAGCTTGACAACCATGTTGTTATTCCCTTCCATGTCTTTTAATGATTTACTCTACTGATGTATATTTTTAGAATCTGTTACATTTTGATTCCTAATTAAAAAAAGATAAAAGTATTTCACAAAAGACTACTGCAAGACCATTCCCTGTTTTTTGCCAGCATGAGGTGCTGTAGCACAGAGGCTCAGTTATGAGAGAGAGTACTACACTATTGCTGAAACAGAAACAAACATTCATAATTAAGGAAACATGCCATCCAACTTAAATGGTTTGCTGAAATCCATTAGCAGGCAGCATCCTTGCAAGTTAAACTGGATTTCAGTTGAATTCCATGGATTAAATCTGCACTTTTGAGGTTTTGAAACTGGAGACTGTACCACCCTATTCCCCCCCAAATTTCAACCCCATATATGTCAAAATAGAACACTCAACATCTGAACCCTTTAAACTTACTGCATTAAAATTTGAATGCACACAGATTCCTGCGAAGTATTGCAATGCAAATTTTGCATATATGATTTTGAGTTCTAAATTAATTTTTAAAATTGTGACTGGCAGGGCTGGAAATGGCTCACAGGATCTCTTTTACACCTTTGGTCTTATCCCTCAGCTCCTCTATTATCCTTGATTTCCCTCCTTGGCTCCCCAGCATCTTAAAAAGTTCAACTACATCTCTGACGCAGTGGATAGCATTATCACATTTCCCCATTTTGGATGATTATATCGTGGCTTAAAAAGACACAAACCTTTTGCCTGCTCGCACCACAAGCATGCAGTCCCTGGAAGGTCAGCTATGAGGAAATACAACCCTTGAACTGAAAAAGGTTCCTTGACCCTCGTCCAGACTGGCTGGGACTGACCCCCAAGGGTTTCACACAAGACTCGTTTCCAACCCTACCTGGGAGATGCCAGAGATCAAACCTTGAACCTTTGTATATAAAACATGACCTCCGACACCAGGAAGAATCCCTGTCCTGCCTACTTGTCCATATACCCAGTACTGTCTTCTCTGATGGCCCTCTAAGGCAGAGGGTTTTCACTGCACCTGCTACCTGATCCTTCCCCTTCCCTCCCTTTTAAAAATGGCTAAGTCAGAGACTGAACCTGGAACTTTCTGCATGAAAAGCATGTGTTCTCCTGCTGAGCTCTGGCCCTTCCCCAAGGCGATTATCCGGCCTTCAAAATAATACTCTCTCCCGCATTTGACTTGCAAAGTTCAGCAACAGGGCGCAGAGCCGTGTGCCATACACAGGGTGCTAGTCTGTAATAATGAACCATCAAGAACTGCTGTTCCAGCAAATTATAAGTAACCTTGAGTACGTTCAAGAAAGAGAGCCAGTTTGGAGCGTGGCTCAAATAACACTTAAAGGATTTAACTAGCCTTGCGTCTGTTCTTGGCCACCGGCAATTGTTGGCAGGCAAAGCCGCTTTTAATTGCTCTCCTGTGGGCAAGATGGGCTTCTTTGAATGCTGCTGTAAAAATTAATTTCATGGTAAAAGGGTGTTTTGTTTCTTTCAGAGCCCTTAATAAAGCACAGGGCATAATATAAATACACAGCGGCGTGTAAATGCCATTCGCTTTGCTGAGGTGCTAGCGCAACCGTCTGCCTGCCGGCATTATTTTCCTTCAGCCAATGGAAATGCAGTAATATTTCGAAGTGATGGTAGGCCTCGCTGCACAGCAAATTGAAAGGGCTAAAGGGGCAATTCCACATGTCATAAAGCTAGCCCCAGACTGGTCTGTTCAGGAGCACATGGGGCAAAGGGACTCAAGGGGTAAGGCAGCCTTCCCCAGCCTGGTGCCTGCCAGATGTTTTGGACTACAACTCCCATCACCCCTTACCATTGGACATGCTGGCTGGGGCTGATGGGAGCTGTAGTCCAACAACACCTAGAGGGCACCAGGCTGGGGGAGGTTGGCATAGGGATTCATGCATTGCAGGGGGCTTTCTTAGGTGATTCTATGATTCTACAAGGCACAAAGGATTTTTGAGATGCTTATTCACCAAGTGGTCTTGAATTCACGTATCTTGTCAATCACAAAGAAACACAGGCGACTTGTGGTAGACTGGGGGCATCCAATCAGAGCTGAGGCCTTCTTCCCTAATCTAGAGGCAGATGTTTTCTCACACAATTGAAATGACAAAAAATAAATAAAAAGTTGGTACCCTTTGGAACAAGAGCACAGGGAAGCTGCCTTATACCAAGCCAGACCAACTAGCTCAGTACTGTCTTCTTTGACTGGTAGCATCTCTGCCAGCCCTACCTGGAGATGGTGGGGACTGAACCTGGCACCTCCTACACGCAATGCAGATACTCTTACACTCAGCAATGGCCCCTTTCCCATTTCAGCAGCTAAAATGAGTCAGACAGAGGCATACCCATTCTCAATTCCCTTACCTGCTCATTAGGCAATGTGCCTTTCTAATGAGTGGCACAACCTTTGAGTGTCATAGTAACAAAGCTACAGTGGCAAAAGTAGGTCATTATAACTGCACAGGGAAAGGGAGAAGAAATCTGAGACCACACACGCACACGCTACCTGCTCAAAGGCCTGCTCAATCTCTTCCTGAAGGTACTCCAGGAAGTTTTCGTTGAGGTCAATGAGCTCCTGTATGTTGCCGAAAACCACCAGCAGCTGGTCCTGTGTTAGCAGGCCAGCAGCTTGCATGGGGAGGTAGAACTCTTCCTTGATGATGCGCAGGTCCTCCCCGTAGCTGGTTTCAGTGTTGACAAACTCCAGCACCGACTCCTTCCGCTCCGTCCGGCACTTCAGGCACTTCTCGCAGAGGACGGCCCGCCTCTTGTTCTGGTTCTGGACATCCGTCTCCAGCGGGAAGTGTCTCCCCCCACAGTCGGTGCAAGGCTGGTGGGCCTCCCACGCCTGCAGAGATGCCAGCGTCTCCGACGCCTTGCTCCTCCACTTCCTACTCAGCACCTGGCTGATGCCGCTGTCCGCCCGCTCCATCTCAGCTGACCTCATCCTTGGCACCCCTCCACTGCTGGCATCGGCACTGTCCCTCTCGTCACTCCCGCCCACAATGCCGCTGTCGGCGCTGAGACTGCTGACGTTGCTCCAGCGGTGTTTGGAACGAAAGGAGCCGCCCAGAATGCCGTGGTTCTCATCAACGTTGCTGCTGTAGTTGAGGTTGGCTTTCGTCAGCACTGGGCCTGAGTGGGGGGGGAAATAAAATAAATCTATTTGTAGAACCTTCCCATTGTTTTGTTCCTCAGCCCTGTTCATCCAACAGTAAAAAGATTGTCCTGTTTTGTTTTGTTTTTCTCCTTGTGACCAGGAAGGATTCTGCAAAGTACCTGAATACAGAGACAGGGAGAACCTAGTTCTTAATAATATGTTGCTACATTCTGGCATTTTCATACATACATAAAGATTTTCTTTTTCTTCATGCTAAGAAAAGCTTGACCTGATGGCTAAGCATGCTCTTAAAGGCACAGTAGCAGGTCATAAAAAAAAAAGACAGAAACCCTCCTTGTATTGTACTGGTTAAATTGTCCATCTTTCCTTGGTCAAGGTTTCCTCAGCCTTGCCTGCTGAGATCCTTTAAAATAGACCTAGACAGCTTGTGACCCACCAACCCAAATATTTGCTAGGTGCTTCTATATATTTGCAGCCCCCCAAAAGCAGAGGTTTATCAAACTCCTGGTGCGCCACAATGCACAACTGTGTTTAGTCTCGTGGGCCACAAGCTAGCAGGTCTACTTGACAGTATGCAAAGAACATATTCCGCTTCTGAGTTACATTTCTCTCTTTAATTCAACAGCTAGGGAAGGACGCTCTCATTTGGAATTTGGCTCAGGTGTGTTGGAAGGAACAAGCCTGTCCTAATGAACTATGCAAACAACAAGCGGAAGCCACCTATTGACGGCTCCATCTGCTCAGTATACTTGCAGAACAATTGTTCCAGGTTCTACTCACCTTTCGCTATATCATGCATGAAGTCAAAGAAAGCACTAGATTGAAGCTTAGCTCATGACACTGCCTTACTTTTGCATACCCCCTTTCCTGCATTTGCCAGGAGCCAGTTTGGTCCTGTATGGGCCCAATCCAGGCTATTGGCTGTTGCTATGAATTGTACAGACAGAGAGCACACTGGAGGAGGAGCTGCTATTGTATTCCCTCTCCTCTGGAGGAACCCTGGAATAAGAGGCTACAGCTGGCTGCAAACATAATCCACGGCTGTTGAGTGGGAGATGTTTGGAGGCTATCTCTCTGAATGATGACTGCTAACCTAATGTCAAAACACACCCAGAACTATGAGTGACATGGACAGACCCTGCAAATCACACACAAAGCAAAAGGCAAGGGGGGCATACTGGAGTCTCTCTCTTGCCGGCGCTTCTGGGCATGCTGCCGTGCTGCTGCAGCGATCTTCAGCTCCAGTTGTTTCCTCTTCACAGCATCTGTTGGCATCGGATCACTGAAATGAGGCCGCAGTCGACACTCCCGTTGAGCTTTGGTGCAGTCCGAAGTTTCGTAGGAGATGTCAGAACTTGATCGGCGGCAGTTGGGGCTGGAGCTCTGGAAGGAAAGCAAGGGGTGGTTGTGGGGAGAAGTTTCTACTAAACAATATATGAGCTACTTAAATAAGGTAAAGGTCAAGGGACCCCCGTCCATTAGGTCCAGTCGTGGCCGACTCTGGGGTTGTGGTGCTCATCTTGCTTTATTGGCCGAGGGAGCCGGCGTACAGCTTCCGGGTATGTGGCCAGCATGACTAAGCCGCTGCTGGCGAACCAGAGCAGTGCACGGAAATGCAGTTTACCTTCCTGCCGGAGCGGTACCTATTTATCTACTTGCACTTTGACATGCTTTCGAACTGCTAGGTTGGCAGGAGCTGGGACTGAGTAACGGGAGCTCACCCCGTCGCGGGGATTCGAACCGCCAACCTTCTGATCGGCAAGTCCTAGGTTCTGTGGTTTAACCCACAGTGCCACCCGCATCCCTTGAAGATACTTAAATATACATGGCCAAATCCGACACCCAGCACCCACTACCTCTAAAACCGTTGTTTCTCCTCATATCTTTCGGGGAGGGGCAACACCCTCACTCAAGAAAGGAAGCAAAATATGAGCTGTTAGTGTTACATTAAACACATGTTCATGAAATCTGTGTGCAGCTGTTTAAATATGCACCTAGTTTAATATTGGGGTGTGTGTCAGCAAGCAACATGTCTATTTTATCGGGCTGTATGGGAGAGTTGGCAGGATGGGCAACCATATGTGGACAGTGTATCGCAGCAGCAGCTTTACTCCAATTAAGATGGCAACAGCTCTCTTTCCCCAGCCACCACTGTTTGCAATCCAAACCCAATGATTTGGATTTGTAAATGCTTGACTGAGGATGAAACGGGCATTCCTCCCCATGCCTTTCCTTACACACTTTCTGAAGGCTGGAACTTTATGTCTATATTACATAGTTAAACCACTTTCCAGCTGCTTTCATTGTTGTGGGTCATGACCAAGCGATCAAGAAACACTTTTCCGTGAAGGATCTACAGAGATTACTCTGAGCACCTCACGCAGCTGTGGTTCACCCAAAGCTCCACTTGGGTGAAGCTAGGATAATGAAACAACTCTCAGACCAATTTTAAAATATTGTGGGCCCGATCCAGCTATGTGAACAGGTCCTATTGAAAGCAATGGAGAAAGTTAATCACCAGTTCCATTGCTTTCAACGGTACTTTGGGCCACTCCAGATATCCTTCTTATTGCGCACATGTGATGATTCATATTCATGCTGGTATCGGGGCGGTTATCCACAATCCCGCTTTCAGTCGTTTCCACCTGTCATCGTTCTGATGTGAACATACTTTTCAATTGGTGCATGTCCTGTAGTTTCCTGCTGAAACCCTATAACTTTTCATATGGCAAATGTCTCAGGTTTTTTGTTTTGTCCTGCATTTGTTTTGCTACAGAGCAAGATTATCCCTCCAGACAGGAATCATGCAGTAACACTGGGGAAACATTTGCAGAACAACTGATAAAGCAGAATAATCATAGCTGTCAACTTTTCCCTTTTCTTGCCAGGAATACTATTCGGAATAAAGGAATTTCCCTTAAAAAAGGGGAACGTTGACAGCTATGAGAATAATGTGTGGACAGTCCAGCGTCGATCCAACATGATTGCACTATTACTGCATGAATGACACGTTATGGAATACACCTCCAAAATGCACCAGTCTGGAGGGGCCCTTAGTCACATGTAACTTTAGCTGGATTTGCACGGTAGTGTTGATGTGCCTTAGGTATCTTCATTCATTGGCTTGTTCCTCGCAGCCACCCAGAAGCAGGAAGGGTGAGATGGGGTGCAGGAAAACAGGAAAGAGAGAGAGGGGAGAGAGGTAGAAGAAGGGAGGGAGGAAAGGGCATGGAGAGGAGAGCCAGAAGAGTATTAGTGACAGGGGTACAGAATAGCTGAGAGCTGTCATAGCAAGTAAAGTTACAGCCCCTTACCCAACACTTCTGAAACCCCTTTCTGCCCCAGGCCATGCAACTCACGGTGGGTTGATGCGAGTCCTCCACAAAAGTGAGGTCATCCTTCTTAAGTTCACAAAATCCTTTGGAAGGGGGCTCAGGGGTAGCTTCGCCACTGCAGCTGTGAAAAAAGGGACACCACCCCAATTAATGTTCTGCACAAACAGCAGTCCAGAGCCAACTCCAGGGGTTGAGAGGAAAATGCATCTTTAAAGCTACAGTGTATTATTCTACAGGTCTTCTACCTTGTGAAGTCAAAAGTACCTCATATCTTCTTTCTCTTACATATGCCATTCCATAAACGGACTTCTGCTGATGCAGTGGATAATAGGGTTGTGTGTGCGGTTTTTTTAATGAAACATGTTTGTAAATTTAAAGGGTTGCCCCCCCTTAATATTTCTGTATAAAAGCAGCATCTAAAGTGCATGAAATCTTTAAGCTTCTCGTCCCTCTTAGTTGTTTTATTTGCACTAAGATAGGAGACAACTTTCTGTTCTGTCATCAGAAAGAAAGTGCTCCCCTAAATTATCAGATACCATGAATAATTTCTCATTCATAAATGATGAGGAAACTGTATATCCAAGCCCCGAGGGACAGGAGAGAGGACAAAACCTAGTCACACCCACATATACAGGATTAGCGGTGGCAGAAACAGAGATAATATTTAGCATTTATGTAGCTCACTTGAAGTGTTCACTACACTCGGCACACAATTATGAATGGGTGAAGGGGTTTAAGATTTCCAGGTGTCAATCACATACAAAAATGCATGCTTTGCTTATTTGATATATTGCATTTGGGGATCTTGTGAATCATCAGGAGACTGCAGTATCCTTCCTTCTGCTTGTGTTAAAGAACTGTATACCATTCTAGATAGTTGCCCTCTAGGCAACCCTTCATACAAAAACACAAAATACATCTTTTAAAATAAATATTCCCTGTGTGGCCCATCACACATTTTCTCACAAATATACAGTGAATCTTTGGTTACTATGCTGCTTCATATAGCATTTTTAAAATAAAAAAATTACACCATTTAACAAAACAACAACAGAGTAACTATACCAACTCTGGATAGTGACATTGGATAATATCTGTATACATATTATTCATGTGGCTTGGCTCACTTTCATGAATCACTTGGTATTATCTGATATGAAGACAGCTCAGGGGTGTGTGACTTATTCACTCCTGCTTTCAGCTTGTGGCACAGTGTTCTGAATTGATCTGTAAGGAGCTGGTGCATGGATAATCCTGCCTTGTGGGGAAGAAAAGGGAGGTTGGAGTCCATGCCAGTTCAGTGTTCTCCAACTCTATGGCTCTGCCTAACTGGGATGACAGCGCTTTCTGCCCCACAATATTATACACACTGTGGACAAATTCCCAGCTTAGAATGCAGCTAGCTTGTTCTATTTCTCAACTGAAGCTAGTTTGGAAGGAAAGGCATCAAAATGCAGTAAAAGTATCTCCCCGCTTATGCATGTTCGATTCTTGCGTGGCCATGTATATGCTCAGTGCAGGGAAACAATAGATAGATTTAAACTTCAAAAAGGCAAGAAAAAGGCAAAAGCAGTCCTAAAAGAGCACAAGAACTACAAAAATGGTGTGAAAAGAGCAGAAAAAAATGGCTAGCAATCCCAGGAGCCTTTGCAACTGCAATCTCATGAGCTTTTGCACCAACCTTTGAGTTAAGTTTGAGAAAGGAGGTTTGGAGGGAGCGATTGTGGTGGAGTTTGGCATGTTTTGGGTGGCACTTGGTGGGGAAGCTGTTTACAGGATTTAGATGTGCCTAATATTCTGTGTGCCCTGCTTCCCAAACCAGCTGTGGAAGTACACTAGATGCAGAATAAACAGAACTGTGAACACCACCTCAGTTTTCCAGAGAAAGAGAGAGTACGGTAGGTATTTCAGGCGATATGCAAAATGGCAAATTATATTAAAACTACTGGGAATTTTCCTTTGTAGGAAGTTATTTCTGTTTATATTCAAGAAATCATATACACACAGTTCCATATTTATTGGATACTGGAGTGCTCTTATCTGTACATTAGTTCTCATGATATATATCCTCTCAACTGCCTCTTGGCCGACTGTTTTTGCATCTATTCTATCTCTTTCTCCCAGGTGAGAGTAGTTCTTCCATATGGTATTAGAGCAAGGAATTAATGTAATGGAAGATTTCTGGATGGGGGGGAAATGTACATAATGGTACTGCAACTATTTGTGGCTGAGGTGGTTCAATCAGAGATGTGCCTAATTCGAACGAAGCTAGGATGATCAGTATATGAGGCGGGTGTTGTTTTTGTTTCTGCTAGACATGGTAACTGGCTTCAGTTTTTGGAGAAGGGTAGTCCATTTGCCTGCTTCACTGAAAAAAAATTGTTCCCAAGGCTCCACCCTATTTAGTACCTCACTGCTGCAGATCCCAAATGGTCCAACTTCATCTTTGATTTTATTATGGAACCATCTTTATCCACCTCTTAAATAACTGAGCAATACTTCAATCTTGAGGCACCCTGTCATCTAGCATTCCTTCCTCTACTCTACAAGCTGGGCCTTTCTGTTATGGCTGAATTTTTCCTCTTCTCACTTCCCCCATATCATCCTTGACATTGGCTGCTGTTTTGACCTTGAAAGAAAACAATATTTTGCCCAGCAACTTCATGCACTTTAATATGCTCAAATCCAAATATTTTTATTTTTTATTTTTTTAACCTTGGGACTTTTATTTCCTTAACTGCTTTCTCTGTCATCGTAAAATTTTTGCCTGTCTTTATTTAATTCCTTATATACTGGATGATCTGATTTCCTGCCCATTCACTGACTTGACTATTAATAATGCCCTAGGTTTTCATCTTTCTCTGTCTTCAGAAGTCAAATTCCTCAGAAAGCCTGGTAAACACAATTCACAATCAAAAGGTAAAACAGGTAATAAATCAGGATCTCCTTTCAATCATGCTTTCAACCATTTCTTTTTTGCTCAAGTAAAAATAAATGCTCTACAATTCATGACAGGCTTTAGATTATTCCATGAAGATAAAACACTACAAATTAGAGGCTCAGAATTAAAACATTAAGCTGCTTATAAATGTGCTGAGTAAATTACATTTGGAAGAAAGTTCAGAAATAAAGGGCAGATGTGTTGCATGTAATTCAAACACACGCACAAAATTCCAGCAGAATCTTAAGAAGCCAATGACAAGAATAACCCAGGAAGTCTTCCACTTCACATGAATGAATGCTAACAATCTGAAATGATAAAATTGTCATGGATGAAAAGGGTATCAATGCCCATTAGTTATGAAGGCTATATTACCTCCAGTATGCCTCTCACTACCAGTTGCTGGACAGCATAAGTGCTATTGCGCTCATGTCCTGCTTGTGGGCTTCTTGTAGGCATCTGGGTAGCCACTGTGGTAACAGGATGCTGGACCAAATGGACCTTTGGTCTGATCCAGCAGTGCTCTTCTTATGATTTTATGTGCTGAAAAGATGCTGCTCCATGTAAACAATTGACTGTATGCAGCAGCTCACCTTACGGACTGGCCTCACACCAGATCTCCCCATGTTATTCATATTACTGAGGTTTTCTTACAACAAGCACTGGGTCAAATCATGCGGCATGGGGAAAATCCACACGGCAAGACAAGGCATATGAATACCTGGCCCCATGGAGCAACTGCCACAAGGACCCAATTTCAAGCAGCCTCAGCGCCACATGTTGCTGAAGTGAACCTAAGGCTTGCAACCCTGTCATTTCACTGCCAAATTCTGAGAATATGTTGCCTTTCAAATCTAGTGACACCCCGCCGCTGAGCCAGAAACTCCCATCGTCAAAACAAGATCCTCCATGAGATTGCTAAAGCTCTGGAAGAAAATGACAGCTGGGTTTTGAGCAAATAATGGCTCTCAGTTTTACAATTTCAAAGGGAAACTGTTTGGTCTCATAAGCTTTTGACTCAAAGTCATGAGAAGCTTGGCAACTGGTTGAAATGACCATTGTGCTTTTCATAGCAATGAATCAATTTCAGAAAGCTCTGAATGTAAGCAAACTGAGCTTGATAAAGTCCATCTATTACTATGACCCTGCCTGGCAAAAGGGATGTTGTGAACAAAAGAAAATAACACTGTGCGATGGATCTCAGTCCCATACTTGCAGAACCCATGGCTTACATTACTTCAAGGGAAGTAATAGTGCCACTGTATTCTGCTCTGGTCAGACCTCACCTGGAGTACTGTGTCCAGGTCTGGGCACCACAGTTCAAGAAGGACACTGACAAACTGGAACGTGTCCAGAGGAGGGCAACCAAAATGGTCAAAGGCCTGGAAACGATGCCTTATGAGGAATGGCTAAGGGAGCTGGGCATGTTTAGCCTGGAGAAGAGGAGGTTAAGGGGTGATATGATAGCCATGTTCAAATATATAAAAGGATGTCACATAGAGGAGGGAGAAAGGTTGTTTTCTGCTGCTCCAGAGAAGTGGACACGGAGCAATGGATCCAAACTACAAGAAAGAAGATTCCACCTAAACATTAGGAAGAACTTCCTGACAGTAAGAGCTGTTCGACAGTGGAATTTGCTGCCAAGGAGTGTGGTGGAGTCTCCTTCTTTGGAGGTCTTTAAGCAGAGGCTTGACAACCATATGTCAGGAGTGCTCTGATGGTGTTTCCTGCTTGGCAGGGGGTTGGACTCGATGGCCCTTGTGGTCTCTTCCAACTCTATGATTCTATGATACAAGAGCAGAGGCTGGCTCACCTGAGCAGGAGGAGGCGTTTTTCTGCACTTGGGGCAATGGAATCTCTATGTAGATCAGACAAGAGTGCCTCAATTTTTTTAGACCAAAGGGCTGCATTTTCTCAGTCTCCAAGCTCCTGTGTGGTTTTTAATGTTTGAATACCCCTTTCATTGACTTTTGCTGCTCTGATGGGTTTCACCAGGCTGTATATTATGTATTTTCTGTTGCGTTTATAGTTTTCTTGTTCTCATTCTTGTTTGTTACTTTAATTTTCAAATTTTGTATTGCTTCATGTTTGCACATCGATAAACCAGATTTTCTGGTTTATTGTGAACTGCTTCTTTCCCCTTCTAGCACCAGAAAGATAAACTAGGAAGCCTTGGCTTCCTAGTATACCTGAATCAGGGTTCATGGTTTGTTGATCCGTAACAAACAAACAAACAAACAAACCATGATTACAAGCAAACTTTAAGCCATTTAAGCCATAGTTGTTGGCCTATGACATGTGGACTTGTTAGGGAGCAACAAGTCATGATTCCTAGCTTGGATGTAATGGGAAGCCAAGACTTCCTGGTTTGTTCATCCTGCCCGGGGGGAATGAGGTGGGAGTGATTGAGCATGCTGCTCATTTACAATAAACCACAATCTGCCAGAAAATCTGACTTATCATGATATGTGAATGTAGATGTGATAGAGCAGAGCATAAATCTTTATATATAAACCAATAAGGGTTCCATTCAGTCACCCCGTATGACCCTAAAAATAGTGAATCCTAAGCTTATGGTTCCAACAAGGGAATTCAGTCTCTGCCTTGAACTCATCATGGAAACTATCCCTCATAGGATTTATGTTGTAGGTTGCCCCAAATACACACTGCAGGAAATCTACCAATATATTAGGCAGCATTTTTTTAATTATTTGCCCAAGTCACCTGAAAGTCAGTTTTCAAGTGGTCACAGACTTTAATATTATGTTTTGTATCACCTCCATTCACATGATTGACATTTCCTCCAACCTTCTGCCCAGAGTCAATAATTAACCCTCCCTGTGAAGATCTAGATGTGTGTCAATGAACAAGGAGGACCAGTCATTTCAGTGCCTCAAGGAACAGAGCAAACACCCCCCACGGGGCAGAGGGAGTCCCCACCTCTCCACAATCCCCAGACTACCCTTCTAGATTGTTAGGCAAACTCCTTCCTGACATCAGATATAGCAGTTAGTTAAAAACCCCAGCTTCATCAGTTCTCCCAAAGTGGCATATGGGAAAATGTCTGCACAAATTAACACAGCCCCAACACTGTCTCTTTCCCTACAGCTGCCTGATACCTCAAAGAAAGGAACTCCCCACAGGTCAAAAGGGGGAAAGCTATTAATGGCGTAAGTGTCTGTGCAAATTATTACACCTCTGCAGCATACTGATTCAGCAAGGAAATTCTATAAATTACTTAATGCAGCTAAATTTGAAAGTGCATTTATAAGTACCCGAAAACTGAAATTGCTCTCAAGAATTCTAACAGAGTTGGTTACCTCTTCTTAATGAGGTCCAGTGCAGAGCCTATAAATTCATCCTTCATTTTCTGCAGTTTAGCTCCATAGCTGGATATATCTGTCGCTTCTAATAGCAATGGGCAGCAAGAAGACTGGTTTTCAGGCACCACTGGCTGTCCAGCATGGTGGAGGACTTCGCTTAGCTGTCTTGCATTCAATCCCTGAGTCTCCCCTTCAGCAAAAGTTTTCCGTCCCTCCTCCCTAAGGGCTGCAGCAGACTGTAGAGGTGGTCTTGGAATTGGACTCGAACAAATGGGGACCGGGATTCTATCTGAAGTTGGCACTTCATAGCGCTTGTCCCTAGCCATAGGCATGTTCATCAGGCAGAAGCTCCTGTCCCATGTAGATGAATTATCTTGATAGCCAACAAGGCCAGAAGTGCTCTGGGTATTTTCATGAAACACATCATCATAATAATCTATCGTTGCAACCGTTTCTTTGGCAAGAATTTGCTGGGCACCTGAACAAGGGTTCTGATTTCTTTTTTCTTCCAACTTTTGGGTTCCTTCCTTCACATCTTTTGTCACGTCACCGCTGCCACCCAGAAAACATGTCTCCTTGATTCTCATCCGCTTGAACTCTTCAAAAGTTGGAATGTAGAGTCTCTCTTTGAAGTCCCCTTTTTTGCTCAGCTCCAAAATCCTTTTGGTGTCTCCTTCCCCCTCATATCCCTTTAAGGATCCAGTCGTTTGGGACTTGACCATGTCCTGGCCATCACTGGCACAATGGAGAGTCAAGTTGGGCGAGCTGTTCTGTCTCCTGATCTGCAACCTTCTCCGAGCTTCTTGCTTGATGTCTTCTGGGTTTGTTAGTCGGCGAGAAAAGCAAGGCCGATGACTCCCCAGAGCTGTCCATGGCCCGTGAGTGAGGGTGGCATGCTGCACAAATATGGTGCAACAGTTCACCGAACAACCGTTCTTATATTGCTGGCACGCCCGGCATTCAGAGCATTCCCTTGGAACCAGGTCATTCAAGGAAACCTGAGGTCTGAGAGGCTTGCAGATCTCTGCAGCTTTACTACTGTGAATTCGAAGTTTTTCCTTTAGGGTTTTTTTGGCATCCCCGTCGACGGAGGAGAAAAGCCACGGAGGCACTTTGGCACAAAGAGGAAGGGTGACGTCTCGCGCTGCAGGTGGAATTCTGTCCAACGTGAGAGGGAAGTGTCGGCAGCATTCAGGTGAGCTGGGGGATGGAGTACCTTCCGCAGAACACTTTGACCAATGAGCTGTGCCTTTGTAACGGACAACAAATTCTTTGTCTACATTTCCGTAGCGGGGATGGCAATGCGGCTCAGCCCCCGTGGCCCAGTGTAGATTCTCCACACTTCGATACAGATGTGCCCCTGCAGTGCTGTCTGCTTTGCTCACAGGATTAAAGTCCCCAGTAAAAATGCGAGCGTCCAAGTTCTTCAGTGGATGCATGCTGCTAACTGAGAAATCCTTTAAGCCATGTTGTGCATACAGCTGATTATTCTGGCAGCTCAAAATTACCCGACAGTGTTCCTGCCTCTCATCAACGCTGATGTATGTCATAGCAAATCGACGCGGACAATCTAACAGGCTGATGCTTTTTGAAGGAAGAGGGCAAGAGGAGGAAGGAGTTGTCGGACTGCTCAGATGCTGTTCAGGAGTCCTAGCCACAGACAGCGGGGCTGTGCTATCTGGGTGCTCACATCAACGAGCAGGCACATCTCCACTGTGAGAGCACGTGCGGATGGAGAACACCTGGTGATGCAAAGAAGAAAAGGGAGCTTACAGAAGAGACACAGCATCCAAAGAGAAGACGGGCAGCCAACGATCACAGAAGTAACCAAAAGTGAAGCTCACCCACTACCTCCGACTTTACAGCTGTTCAGCATGCTCTGTGTGGTGTGGTGTAGTGGTTAGAGTGTTGGACTACGACCTTGGAGACCACGGTTCAAATCCCCACTTGGTCATAAAGCTCACTGGGTGACCTGAGGCCAATCACTGTCTCTCAGCCTAGCCTACCTCACATGGTTAGTGAAAAGGTAGATTGAGGAGTGGGGAAATTATTCTCTCAGCATCACCCCAGGAACCTCATGGAAGCATGCAGTGTATTATTTCATTTTCTACCTTAAAACTTCTCTCTGTGGAGACTTCACTGTGGCTAAACGTGTGAATGTGCATTTCTTACAAGCAAGCCCACTACATGAACCACTACCCCACACGGGCTCTTTCTGATGTATATGGATTTTGTACTAGAGTACTTACACCTGCATATGATTCCCCCCCCAAATAATATAATAATGTAAAGCCTTGCAGAGCATCCCCAGTTTGCATGAATAAGATGTCCATGTTTTCCCCAAGGTTATTTTCTCTTATCCGCTCACCACCTCACCTGGTCCTCTCCGAGCCTAGGAGGGCTTGTTTTGAGATGCCTGATTTTCTTCATGCTTTAATTATTTCTCCTCTGCTGTTCTCTCTGGGGAAGGCTGCAGGTAACGGCAAAGAAGCATTTCTTGTGTGATCAAAGGGTACAACTTGATCTGCCAGGAAAGACAGAATAAAGACAGCACGAGAGGTGAACGTTTAGCAGAGAACAAAGATGGCTCACCACAGAGCAGCACTGGCATAGAGGGAGGTGGGAATCTGCCAGTGAAGAAGTTTCATAGTACGATTCTATAGATTCAATGGAAATTACTCCCAGCAAATTGCAGCTACTGAAGCAGTCGCTGTGAGTTCTTCTCCCACAGTGTGAACCTGGTGCTGTGCAAACTATAGACACACCAGCAAGCCAAGTGCTAGATATGTCAGTGAGTCAGTACATATGGTCTCTCTGACTTAAATTTATTTTTAAAAATAATAATAGATACACACTTGCACTTATGCATATGTGTGTTCATTTTTCCCACTACGTTAAAATAATGCTCCTGGGACTATGTGAATTGGCATGTTGGTATTGTCACAGTGATTTGCTAATAGATGCTTAACACAGCTGCAACACTATCAGCATTCAGTCTGAAACCAAACAGAAAATCTACACTCCCCCCCCCCCAGAGCTTATACCAGGTCTGAAAAACTTTATAAATGTCCAATTTATCCTGCTGTTCTTTGTCTTCAAATAATTTGGCATATCACTTTGTGTAAATATAAAAGTATTTTTTAATAAGAAGTCATGCTGATGGCATTTGACTCTGCACCACCTCACAAAAATCTATCCAAATGTCAGCAAGACATGCTGAAAACATAAAGCAGGCTATATGTGTGTACCTAGGTGGAAAGAAAACCAGAAGTTTATTAGGGGAAATTGTTAATGTCAAGGCTGCCTCAAGTCTTAGCTCACAAAAGACCAACGCCTACGTCTTCTTGAATACAAAGGTGTTTATTGCAGTTCATGGTTTGCTTGACATCTTAGGCGCGCAGCCTTACGTCTCTTACGCTAGACCGCCGAAGTCCCGTCTGAGTCAGTTCCTCCTCTGCACCAATTTAAGAGACTTGCGCTGCTCCACCTCTTTCTCTCCTTCCTTTTCCGCAGGGTCTTTCTGCCCCCTGGGGTTTGCCCCTTTCTGGATTCCTCTGACGCGGAATCAGACTGCTGCTCCCCCCTCCTGCGGGCTTTGGGACCTGGCCCCTCCTCCGGGCTCCCTGCACTTCCGCGCGCCTCTACATTTGAACTAGGCGCGCGCGCCACGCCTCTAACTTTCCTTTTGACAGTTACACTGCTCCCTTCACTGCTCCCCTCCCTTTCCGGGAGGGCTGCTTGCTCTGACCCCCCTCCTCTCTCTGCTGCTGGAGCTCCTTCCTCTGACACACTGGAAACTCCACCCCCTTCGCTGCACTTTGGTGGGGAGGCTGGTCCTGACGCCCAGCTGCCACTTTGGGATCCTCCGCTGGCACCCTGCTCCTGACATCTCCCCCCTGGGGCTCCCCTGGCCCTGACCACCGGCGCCCCCTTCTGGGAATCCTCTGATTCGCTGGAAAGACTCATGGAATCCCTTGAGTCATTGTCGTCCTCTTCCTCACTGGCTTGGAATTCCTCCCCTTCGCTCTCCATCTCCTGCCTACCCTGTGCCTCTCTCTCTGAACCCCTGACAGTTAATATTATGCAAAATATGATTTTTTATATAATAAACCAGTGAGTCTGTTGCAAATTCTTCTAGGATATCTTAAAAATGTTATACACCCAGAACATTGTAATTGGAAAAGAAACCTGCTAAGTACAGCAAAAAAGGAAGAAGCTAACAACAACTCAGTGTACTGTGAGCGTACTCAGATAATGCCAACTGAAGAAGAGTGGTTTAATAAACATGGCACATTACCTCACTGAGCTTACTGCGATGTTATGATTAAAAGAAGGAAGACACCAGAAAATAACACTTTGAGAAAACTTGGTTGTTCTTTATCAGTGCTATTTTTCTAGAAACAGAGGTACAGGAACTCACCATGAATGCCTCCCTCCTTCTCTTATAATGGCACTGGCACCCACCTGAAAGGTGCTGGAACTCAGTTCCGTTGAAAAAAAGCCCTGCTCTTTACCAATCAAATGGAACAGAAATATAGTTTGGAACTATTTTAAGCCTTTTAGTTGCTGATATAAATTTGAGATTCTTGGCTACTCCAGATGTCATGTTGATGGTGCATTCATGATTATTTGTGTGCTCGTTGTGATATCAAGCCATTATACATGATCCCACTTTTAACATTGTTTGCACCTGGAAAAGATTTGGGGCGGAAATACTGCTTTGTTCCCAGTCACAGCATGTCCCATAACTTTCCTGCTGAAATCCTACAACTTTTTATACAAAAAAAATGTCCTGGTTTATTTTATTTTATCTTTGTCCTGCTTTTATTTATTTCCGCTATTTTTACACCACTTAATCACCAAGCTTTCGAAGCCGTATACATACACGTTCCAAAAAGCATACAGTAGGTAAAATCAATCAAAATTAATCATGAAACCAGACTGTTGTGCTACAGTGCCCCTCCAGGCAGCAATAATGCAATAACATTGGGGAAGCATATAGAGCTGGACAGGGGATTGATGTGTGGAAGGTTCAATATAAATCCACTACTAATGCACTATTGCTGTGTCAGTGACATGTTGCAGAATACACCTGACAAAAAACCGCACCAGTCTGTCAGATGAATTGCATTTGGAGAGTTTATAATATAATGAGCTTGCACGGGAAAGGCCTTTTTTCTCATCATTGTTGCATTTAGTAGTAAACGTGTAAGTTTTATGTTTGTATGCGTATAAAATGAAAAACGAAGAAAAAAAGGACTTCATCCTAAACCAAGCAATGGAAATAGAATTCAGAAGGGGGCTGAGAGCTTAGACACCAGCTAGGAACCCCCATCTAACCAGAAGGTCCAGAAAAGAACCACCTGTATGAGGGCTTCTTCACTTCCTAAGAAGTTGCCTGGATATGTTTAGATGTGGCAAGGCTTGCTGTGTGATTTGTGCTTTGAATATCAAGGACAGTTGACAATAAATTTGTAAAAGCTGCTGAATGCCTGCTGTTGCTGTGGTACAGTTCCAAGGCTAATCACTAATAACTTACAGACTGTTGAGGAGCTTAAGAAGACTACCTGGCTTCTTACAAACTGCCTTGCAGACGTCTCTTGCCCATGCACTTTGGAGCTCATGTTCCTCTCTGGACCACATTTGGAGCCAATCTCCATGCCTGAATGAGTCATCACACAAGAGAACTTTCAGAACACTGAAGATGAAAGGTCACCTAAATTTTCTTTTCGGTTGAATCAGTTCGCACATTTAGCTGTGATCCATCAAATGAGGGTAATTCAAGTGGTGTAGATATGTGCATGCAGACCTCTTATGTCACTTCATCTCCCCAGATTTCAGATTTTAAGAACCCTTTCACAGCAGATCATGTCCCAGCTTCTGTAAGCTTCTCACATGGGATGCAATTGTGCCTGGGCTAATTTGCAAGATGACTGTACCAAGGCCTGAGATAACTGAGGTTCAAATCCCTACCCAGCCATGAAGCTCATTGGGTGACCTTGGACCAGACACAGCCTCTCAGCCTAACTTATCTCACAGGGTTGTTCTGAGAGTAAAATGGGGAAGATGAGAACCATGTATTTCACTCTGGGCTCCTTGGAACAAAGGTGGGGTATAAACGGAATACTAATATTAAGAAACTGAAGGTTTGAATGAGTCATATAGCTTAGCCGGAGCTGATAAGCCTCTGTGGACACCAGTCAGAGTTTTTTGCTACACCAATCCACGTGACTCCTGGGAGAAACAAATCTCATTGCTTACATAACATTTGCTAATTCGCCTGACTCAAAAATTGTTTAAAAAACACACACACACACACACCTCACAAACGCACTGTTCTTTGACAAGCACTCGGCAAGCAACAGGACTCCTGCCCACAGACCATTATTTCTTCCCCATCTCCCCTTGAACCTAGTACAGGACAGATTTGACACCACCAGCACCAAAATCACTGAAACAGGTTTAAATGACTTCCATTCCAGTGACACTGTACTGTACTTAGCTGGCTCATAAAGCTGCTGCCCATCTTCTATTCTATTCAAAATCCCTCCCCACCCGCACCACAGCAAAGAATCTGACATATTTAGAGGATTATGCCTCACTGGAATAAATTATTTCCTCCCAAGTCTGCCTCCTGCTTGCCTGCCTGGCCCAGCTTTATTAGAATTAGTGGGAACATCAGGAGGATGAAAACAGACAAACAAGACAGGAAGAGAGAGGTGGGGGGGGGGGAGAGAGAAATATTTCAGCACAAATTGGAAAGGACTTATAAAAGGAGCAAGGCAGCCTACAAAATCAACACAGACCTGAGCTAAACTGGTATGTCAGGCGCCCAATGATAATAGGCACATCTCAAAGCAATGGCAAAAATTAAAAAACTGCAGCACAGGTTGTTCACTCTGCTCCTGTAGGGATTAGCTAACATAGCGTTTTGATTCTGGAGAGCGGGTTCCTTAGATTGTCAAAGAGGAGATGGTTGACTCCATGCCTGGGAGAAAACTGCTTTGCTTGCATTTTTCCACTTCAGTTGACACCTCTGCCTGCTCCCTTCTTGCATTCCACATGGTTAAATGCGGCACTGGCCCAAGGGACTGGGGGGCGGGGAGCAGTTCCACGGCACATTACCCTGCACCTCCCTCTATCATCTACTTCCTGGAATAATAGCTCCCAATTAGTAGAGAACAAAGCACCTTGTGACATAATGCCAAACATGACTCTGGGGAGCAGAATGTAAGGAGCAGAGGCCAGAGCAGCTGGCTTTGCTGCAGCATTGGCTAGCAGCGGGCAGATAAAGTGTGCCTGGTCTCGTACCTCTCTAATCCCCACAATTGATGCTTCTCAAATCTCAGCAGTAAATTGGCAGTGGGACAGCATCACTTAAGAGCATCCAGCAGGGAGCCCTCAATTTTATGGCCCTTCTCCTAGATATTTAACCTATATATCTAGCAGAGAGAGCACATATGTTTTAAAGTATCTGATATCAAGAAACAGAAGTTATACAGAGTGAAGCATATCTCCTAATGCATCTCCCCCTCCTAGGCAGACAACAGCCGCCACCCCAAACTAATTTTGGTCATGCCATCGTATGATACACATGGAACTGGTTGACATCAATGATCCAATGTGCATTTGCAAATGCATGCTGTTGAACCCATTGAATAACACAACTCCATGTGAATCACAGCACAAGGTGAGTGAAAACATTGCTTCATGGTGGGTGGATTGATCAATCAATCAATCAATCAATCAATAGATAGACAGACAGGACCACCAGCAATGCAGGTAGGCAGAGGATTGTAAGGAGCCTTATGTAACCTTTAATGAGATTTTATAAGTAAAGAGCAAGCAGCAAGAAGCCAAAAGATGCTCAACGAAATTAAAAGGCCTTTGGAGTCCATTTAAGAACCACCTAAGAGGGGCTACAAAACATTTTTAAGAAAAGCAATTCCAGAGATGCAGGCGCATCACTAAAAAGGCCCTGTCCATGGTACCCAACAGCTTGATCTTCTTTAATGGTGAACCAGAGCAATAGCACCTCTGAGGCAGATCCTATGGCATGAGCAGGTTCTATATGGGTGCAACCAGTCCTTAAAATAACCTCCAAAGCATTCAGGCTCCAAACACCAGCCTGGCTCACAGCCCTCTTGTGGAGCAACATCGCAGAAGAGTGGTTTCAGGCAGCCTCCATATGGAGGCTGTAACCTTTGGATCAGCATCATGAGACTTTCATTTCTCAGACATCACTTTGGGGATACTGTTAGCTTTTTATTGCAGATAAAGCAGGCAAGATGACTGTGCCATTTGGATAGCAAGTTCTCCAGTAGTTCCAAGTCTTCACTTCTGGTAAGCACTGCTTCTCGGTTGACATGCAAAGTCTCCAGCATGCTCAACATCAGTAGGAGGGACATTGTCTCAGCTCCAAAGACATCCCTGGGTGGTTAGCAGGCAGCAGGGTTCTGGCATCGCCCATATCCAAGCATTGTAACGCCATCTGAATTTTACTTGAGCAGCTTGTTTCTTTGCTGGGAATGAGGCACCATTTCGGACAGAGGTTTGGCCTGTGCTTTGGTTGTGTCTGACCCCAAAGCTTTTCAGAAAGACTGAATGGGACAACAAGTCTGCAAAACAGTTGCACTCTTGCACCAGGAGGGAGTATTTGGGAGTTTGCTGGGGTGAACCAGGGTAAGGTTTGGATCTGAAGAAACTAGCACCTTCACAGTCCCCCCAAATGTCCCCAAGCTGGCATGGTTAAATCCTTTCCACTTGTTTACAATGGGAGAGAAATCAAGTTTTTAAAATAAAAACAAAAACAGAAAACGACTGATGAGTGCAAAACTGCTTACTGCCAGTCTGAGTGCCTAGCAGGGCACTGGATTAAGCAGTTTGATCACATTCAGCCCCTCACCCCACCCTGGCCTTTAGTATTTCATTTTAAAGCTGAGACTTATCAGGATTCTGCTGATATACTATCAGTAAAATGGCAATCATGCAGATTTCTAAGTGAGCAAATATAAAATATTTTAAAATGTCATTTTATTTACCATCATGTATGGATTTTAGTTAACATCCACGGGTATAAGCAAACTGGATATTTATTAATAACTTCTAATTCTACCATACCTGCTGATGCAATGCAATGTGTATGTATACTGTGCCATATACAACTGATTAGCTTCAGGAGAAGAAAAGAAATCTAGATCCGAGTCCCTAAGATGAGTGGATGGTAGCTTGCACCCAACCTTCCGGTCAGCAACTGAACAGCAATCCACCCATCACCTATTATTCAGTATAGTTTCCAGTAATCAGATATTTGAGAACATAAAAGGAGTCTCATAACCAAACTAGCAGAAAAGCCATGGATCATTCTACTATATTAGTTTGTCTCTGGGGGTGAGCAAAGAGCATATTTAGCACAATGTCTAACTGCCAGACTCACCAGTAAACAATTACAAAAGAGCCCAATTCCCAATCCAGTTCCCATTTACTGCGCAGAACCTATATGTTGCCTATAATTTAAGAATTAAGCACTGTTCCATTACCCTTGGTAAGAGACACCAACATTGTGGCAGTTATTTAGAAAAACCCTGTACAGATAGTCAAACTGTTCTGGGGTGAACGTGGTCACCTGTACCATTCTGTTACAGATTTTTTAAAAAACCAATGATAAGTGGCAGATGTGTGGTGAAATATGAGGTAAAGTGGTACCCTACCATCCTTAGGGACAAACTAAATGTGACATTAAAAGCACAGCTTGGCATAGAACATATAAAGAGTAGCCAATGTGGTGTCCTCCTGATGCTGTTGGACTATAGCTTCCATAATTCCTAATCACTGCCCATGCTGTCTAAGGCTGATGACAGTTGTGATCCAACAACATCTGGAGGGCATCAATTCAGCTACCTCTGGTGTATATCTTTTAACAACTGCAAATAGCAGCTTCAGGGGGTGATTTTTTTATTGGGACTATGGTGTGGGGAAGAGGGTTCTGCAGTTGCGATTCTTATTCTGCCCTTTTTTGGTAGCTATGATTTACAGTTGTTGCTGTTGGGTTTTATTTTGGTTTTTTTAAATATACATACCACACCAAATTAAGTGCTTTACGTCACATATAATTTAGTCCTTCCGAGTCTCCCCAAAACGTCTCTTATGCAAGGGAGCTTGTTTGCACAAAAAGACCTTCTGACAAGTTGGGCAATGGATTTGTTTAAATTGCAATGGGCATATCGTAAAATAATCACAAAATTTGATTACCTCTATCAGCATGCTGGTGTTTAATTTAATGAAATGAAGAACTCACCAGCATTCTTGTATTTTTCTCTCTTAAGCAGTTTACCTGGGAGATGTGCCACAGATCAGTGCCCTTGGCAATAGCGTCATTGATACAATCCGAATTGCCCTACAAATTAAGTCTGCTTAAGCTCTCTGCATCTGTGACTCAAGAAAAGGCATTTCAGGCATGGGTGCATGAACAGAGCCAGCTAAGTTTACACTCCCCCCCCCCACAACCTTGGCAGAAAATCTGACAACCTTAATGCTATGACTGACCCCAGAGCCAGATCCCAGGTCTTCCTCTCAATGCACAAATGGGTGCATCTTTCTCTATCCACCTAACCCCTTTCCTAAAAAAAATACCCAAAAGTAAGGCTGAACATTTTACTGGAAGAAACTTTTCTTGGATTTTCCCAGACTAACCCCATCCACCCAACTGCTTTTGGTGGGAATAGATTTTGCTATTACTTCAAAGCTGCAAGCTCTCCAAAGTCTTCAGAAGGAAGGTTAAGTACAGTATCTAGGGATTTGGTTAACATCAAGGAATATAAACTTATATAAAAACAACTATGAAAAAATCTGGCTTGATGATGTATTTTTGTTAAAATTATTGTGTTGAAATATGTAATAATAATAAAAAAATTCTTCAGAAGGAGAAAAAAAATTAAAAATTGAAAAAGATCTGTTTTGGACATTATCTGTGGGTAAAATTGACCATAACAAAAAATGACAGAAATGCAGGCAAGTGCCAGATTTTTGTAGAACTAAATTTGCTTTTATTGAATTGTTATTCTTTATTTATAATATGTTACCGTATATGCTGATTTGATTATTGTGATCAAAATGCTGCTTTTTATTTGGTTAAGGATTGGTTACTGTTTCGAACTGCTTTGGGCTCAGCTTGGTTGTTAGAAAAAGCAGCACACAAATATCAAGGTAACACAAATCAAGAATTGTGCAAGCCCGTTCCCCTACTGATCTTCACTCCCAAAGTCTATTAAACACTGGTATGACAGTGAAGATAAGCTTTTAAGGGTTTTGCTGATGCATGAAATTAAAAAGAGTAAATTAGATGCTACTTTAACGGTATTATTAGAAACCATGTGTGGTTTAAAAAAAGAAAATGAATAGTAAAATTTTGTGTATGAGTGAGTGTGCAAGCGCATTTTTATCAAGCCTGCAGTGCTGGGAGGAGGTTTTGCTCTTCCCTTCCCAATAACTCTCCTTCCTCCACACACACACACCAGGCATGGGGAAAAGGTCCACATGCATGCTACAGTCCTGATGAAAATCACACACACCCTTCAGCTTACTATTAGGATTCTTTTTTTAGGGGGGAGAGAAGTGTGGTTGCCAGCATGGTGCAGTGGTTAGAGCACTGGACTAGGAACCGGTCAAAAAGGATCAAATCCCCATTTATCTATGAAGCCCATTGGTTGACTTTGTGGGGCCAGAGCTGTGAAATGCACAAGGGGCACAATTCCTAGAACACTGCGTTGCTAGCTAGCTAGTCACTGCCTCTTGACAACGCGTATTTCCCCATCCACGTGTCTGCCGTACAGATGGCAGGAGAAACCTATTGTTGAAAAGGGAGAGTTGCAATTGGTTCATTTAAATCTATATGTCACTGGTGTGGCCTGATAAGATTGGTCTAGAAAGGGGAGGGAAGAGGAGAGAGAGAGAGAGAGAGGAGGAAGAGTCCTTCCCCCTGTTTCCTCTTTTGCCATTTTTACCATATAAGGAAAGGAAGCTGCTAGCAGGATGCCCCACAGCAACCACCATGCAGTCTTGACTCTCACTGCGAACTCTGCCTCCTGTCCTGGTGACTGAGGATGTTGCAGGAAGGAAAAAGGCCACGTGCCCTTTGCCTGATCTGGGGTTCCTGGCAGGAGGGCATGCCAGCTGGCAGCCTCCTATGCCAGATCCTAGGAATCACCCCCAGTAACGTGGCCAGTGAAAACAGCCTTCCCTAATTAAGATCAGGAGCAAGAAATTAAATGGAGCAGCAAGACATGCATTGTAATTTTATTCTGTCATCCTGCCTAACCTTTACAAGTGTCCTGCCTCCTAATTAGAACATAATTTTACTTTTAAACATGAAAACGTTTTGAATGAAATTATTCTGGAGGAACCATATTTTGTGGCACATTGCCCAGCTCTGCACTGTTCCGAAAAACTTACAGCTTTTTATCTGCTTTGGCAAGCATTACGTGTAAAGGTGGCTGTGCCTGTTTTGGGAACTGAGCACCCTAAACCTGAGCCTGAACTGAGGAGAGAGAAAGGGGGAAAACAACCCTCAGTTAAGCAGCATGGCTCTGTGAAATGGGCTGCACGGTTACTTTATGACAGCTGATGGACTTTAGGATCTTAGGATCTTTCACGGAGCAGAAGAGCTCAGGATTTCTGAAACAGGAGCCCGAGACTTGGCAGAATTGGGTTTCCCCATAGGCAGTGTCCCACTTAATGACTTCTTGTTGCTATGACATTACAGTGGTACCTCAGGTTACAGATGCTTCAAGTTACAGACTCCGCTAACCCAGAAATAGTACCTCGGGTTAAGAACTTTGCTTCAGGATGAGAACAGAAATCGTGCTCCGGTGGCAGCGGGAGGCCCCATTAGCTAAAGTGGTACCTCAGGTTAAGAACAGTTTCAGGTTAAGAACAGACCTCCAGAACGAATTAAGTTTTTAACCTGAGGTACCACTGTATTGACCCACAGACTTTAGATAGAGGGAAGTTCCAGCGAAGCCATCATAAAAGCCAGGGACCCTTTGGGAAAGGCCAGTATTTGCACACAGATGGATTGAAAGGACTAACTAAACTCCTTTGATGATACTCCCTGCCTTTTAGCTTACTTTTGTCATTTTTTTAAAAAGGGTATCACTCAGCAAATGTCCAAACATGTAGGTATAGAAAAGGGATTGTGACAGAGGGCATGGGAAACAGTCAGGTAGGCACATGGGGTGTGTGCATGCGCATACTAGTAAAACAGGTGTGAGGCAATCTATGGCCCTCCAAATATTGCTGAACTACAACTCCCATCACAGCTGGCTATCGGCCATGCCTGCAGGGGCTGATGGTAATTGTTATTCAGTAACATCTGGAGGGCCAAAGGTTCCCCCACAGTGGCTATTACTTATTTTATTGATTTATTTAATCCACTTTTCTCTAATGCTCTTGCAGTTTATCCCTTATGATAGACAACTGGTGCAAGTTCCACTGGCTGAGCACAAGATATGCCGAATTCAAACTCCCTCATCCCAGCAGATATTGGTTTTGGATTGAGCGAGCTCTAAGTCTTGAGGGATACTTAAAACAGAAGTATCACACAACCTAATAGCAGCCAAGTCCCAGGATGAGAGGTATCTGGTTGCCACTTCTGTAGCTGCAACTTTTTTCTTGTCACTTCCTATGCCACGGGGTCTATGGTGAGGATTAAAAGGCACAGGGCTTGCAAATTTCTGCTGTGCCTTTGAACACACTCATGAGCTGATCAGCAGCGCCCTCAAATTCTGATTTTGACAGAGAGCCACATCTTTACCCGCCCACAGATGTAGTGTGGTGGGTATTGCTTGGGAAGTTGGACAAAATGGCCTGGTGAGCCAGAGATTCCCCATTGCTGCCCAACAGTAATGCTGAAAGAACCCAGCACTCAAACTGCCTGATTCAAAAAGAGGTGTGGAACCCAGCCTTAAGCAAACAGTGGATTCAGGGCCATCTTACCCTTAGGCACTAGGGGTGCAGGGCACCCGGGCGCCGGGCTCTCAGGGGCACCAGGCCGAGAGCCCGTCGGTCGGAGCACTGCAGCAGGTTGTTCTGCTGAGGGTGGCTCTGCGCCACGAGTTCAGGGGCAACCAAGCCAGTAAGACACTGAGGCAGCCAGCCGGCTCTGCCCTCCTGCGCGCCTGGGACTGGGCAGCCGGGGGGGGGCCGCCGGGCAGATCTTTGCACCCCAGCACCACATATGCATAAGACAGCCCTGAGTGGAGTGGATTGCACCACACATGCGTGCACACATGCACGTGATTTCTCTACACTTGTTTACTGAATACGTACTAGTTAATAACTGACACCCGAATGTGTGGACCCACTCTAACGTAAAACATTACACTGGATCCAGCGTTCTCACGAACAAGACTCCTCTGAGGACACACCTGCTGGAAGAAAGGCATTGGGTGATTTTTGCTGGTTCCTCCTTCCCATTGTACCTCCTGTATATTTGCTGTGGAGGGTTGAGGGTTGGAGGAGACCTGGTGCAATGGGAATCAATGAACACTCTGCCTTCTCCTCTCCTTCCTCCAGCAGGAGCCTCCACTGGACTCAGTCCCAAGAGATTGATAGGAGCCCTTCTGTTGACAGAAGAGTCACTCAGAAGCTAACACACTGCATTTGTAAAAGTTCTGCTCATGGTATTCAACTTGTGATATGGCCCATCCATGCATGCCCATCCCTTCATGCTGCAGAGAGATAAATGTGCATTGATGAATGCTTTAAAAGCTCGAGGGTGGGTTGGGTTCCTGCCAAAGGGGAGCACAAATATACTTGGGCCTGGCCAGGTCTCCTTCAGTACAACCCTTCCCCACGTTTTTGATGCAATTGCATCACATGCTGGCAGGCACAAAGCTAGTTCTGCAATATTCTTTTCCAATATATGGGGGCTGTTTTATTCCTGTGCTTTCAGCCATGGCAGCAGAATGCTAGAATGCTCCTTTAAAAGAAATCAGAAACAAGGTTCCATAGTTAGAAATGTCCTTCGAGAAAAAGGAAATAAAAGGCTCAGAAAGCTATAAAATCAGCCAGCATGGAAATTAATAAAAAGAGCAGCAATAGAAAGGGAAGCAATTTATATTGGACACATCTTCCATTTCGCTGTCGCCCTCGTAGCAGTGGCACTCTCTCTGAATGCAAAATCAGAAGCAGTCAGATCCAAGAGATGGAAAAACCCTGCATCTGAAGAGGACAGGGGAATCCGCTTCGATTCTGCCAAATGCTAAGCCAGTATTGCTTTCCATGCTCGTCCATCAGAGGGCAGTTATCGTAGCCTTCCATAAAGACATGCCACAAAAGAAACTTTTTCAAATTCACAGCACAGAGCCGGGTTATCTCTGAATTCAATGGCTAGGCCTACAGCAGGTAAAAGAGAATAGAGGCAAAAGCCTATTCTTTTCAGATCCAGCAAGAGAATGGAAAAGAATAGATTCTACACACTTATTGGCAGGGGATGGGGAAGGAAGAGGGCCGGCTAGTGAGGATGGAAAGCTGTCTGACAACATCCCTTCACTAGCAAAGCTGCTCATATCCTACAAAATCAAAGGCTTTTCCTCAGAGGATATCATTTCCAAAATCTATGGGTGCACTTTTATTGCTGGGATACATGGTGCAGTCGAGTTGCTTTAATATTCCCCCCCCCCCATTGTATGACACTCCAAAACCTCACCATCTGCAATTAACTAGCGGAGAAAAATTCATCAATCACAAGCAAAACAAAGGTCCTTATTAAAGTGTTCCTCTGACACCGATAATGGGAAAGAAATTTGTCCACTAGTATCTTCTTCTACGGCGGTCAAGGGCTGATGGGAGTCGTAGTCCAAAATTAGTGGAGGGCGCCAGGTTGGCACAGGTTGCTGTACAGTGAGCTGCTGTGCTGAAGTCTGAGGCACCTCAGAATCTTCTGTGAGATGTGAGGGTTCTGCAGCAGCTATTCAAAAGTTCCTTAACATGCAGATTTATGTGCAAAGGATCTCCTGGATCAGGACCTATGAAAACATCTGCCTTATAAATGAGAGGCTGCATTGCAGTAACCACACCCACACTGCTTTGTGATACCATTACATCACACAGCAAAGAGTAAAAAATTATTGGCAGCCATAGGATGGAGCCGGCTGATTCAGTGCAATCTCCAAGAAAAAAACTCCCCAATAACGTACTGCTTTTTCAATTTCAACAGTCCTTTTCTGACAGGAAAAACTGTGTGTTTGGGTTGTACTTTAGACTACCGGTAGAGCTCCCATGACAGAATGTTCCTCAGCACTGTAAATAAATAATAAATAAAACTCCTGCATGCTGAAAACTAGTCTGTCAGGGTAAACGCCAGGCTAGACTCCTCCTCTCTAACATCTAGTTTTCTGTATGCAGGAAACACTCAGCACTCCTCCAGACTACCTGTCTATTGAGCGTTCATCCCAATTTGATGGTATGAAGCTTGCACAGCAGTTAGAATATGCTCTGTCTTCATCTGAGTGCTCAATTTGAGCGGGGAGATTATGCAACAATGAGCATTCATCATCCTTTTGATTTGTTGTGTGGTAGTTACACATCTTCCCATTAATCTTCATTCATCACACAATTTTACTTTCCGAACTGCAAAAAGTCTTGTGTTGTTTTAAGATGGATTTGTTGCACCAGGACGACAGAGCACTTTAATCCCCATTAATTGCGCAAACCTAAATTTCTAGCTTGTGTTTTAATCTCTCCTGCAAAATATAGTGACAGTCAACTGGAGGCGATCTCAGTCATGGGAGCTCCTGCCTACAAGGGTACAACCAAGAACTAAGCTTCCCTCTTGGCACTTGTGAGCACTTACAATAACATTTCTGAAGGTTTAATAATAATAATAATAATAATAATAATAATTTATTATTTATACCCCGCCCATCTGGCTGGGTTTCCCCAGCCACTCTGGGCGGCTTCCAAAAGAATATTAAAATACTGTTTTAGAACTCTGCACCTAGTTCATGTTGTATGAAAAGGTGGAAAACTAGTAGAAAAAATAGAAAGTAGACTTGCTCCTTTTTGCAGTGTCAGAAGCAGTTCTAAACACAGGATCCCTTTGCTCCACACAACAACTGCCTTCTGCTGCAATCAAACTGTAATTTTTGCCTGAATGGTGATGAATGGCATTGTTTGGAATGAGCAAAGGCAATGAACTAAACGAGTAATAGGAATTGCAAGAGTCCCTTTGCTCTGCGGCTCTCCTATTATTTTATTTAGCTTCATGATTTAATTAAAAACTCCATGACTCCACTGCTGGGTAAAGCGAGAATTGCTCATGTGAGCCAGAACTCAGAAGGCTTGTGATCTTTCTTACTTGGAAACTTAAGCATAATGAGCTACTTACTCATGTAGGGAACCTTAAGATAGATGGCCTAAATCTGCTTTCAGAGTTGACCACAAAGCTAACCAATGTTAAATTGCCCTTCAGTTTTCCAGAGATATCACTGTTTGCGGTTACATATTCAGACACCCTTTTAATTCAGCAATAAGATTGTGGGAGCTGGCTGTCGACGTTATCTACCATTGTATAGACTGTCTGGCTCCTAAAAAAAATCTCCCTGAACCATCAGAGCAAAAAGCTCTAAAATGTTTGGAAAGGTCTCCACTGCAGTTGTTGGTTTCAGTCCACAAACAGTATGTAATGCTACGTAATTTATGACTTTCCTCCCCCCAATTTACACTGGGTTTCTTCTGAATTGAAATGATGAGGAATAGCATAATTAATTATGTAACATTTCACCATAATGGACAGCAAGATAAATAATGTAGTTTTTGTCGGAAGATGAACTGCAGTGGAACAGAAACAATGCTGAGTGTTACGAGAATACAGGGTGGGATGGAATCTAATGCCTTCTTACATCACTGGTCAAGATTGTGTAATAGCTGCCAGATGGGCGACCTGGACATACTTTTTACCTTTACCTGATACAATGGGAGATGCAGCTGGTGAGGTGAGGGGGGAAGTAGTACTTGGCCACGGGGATTTAGGGAAGCAGCATGTTCTTACAGGTGGGGGCTGAGACGCAGCAACAGAAACAGAGAGAGGCTGGCTCTGAGCTGAATAGGTGCCCACCCAGTAACAGCATAGCAAGATGCAGGTGTCAGGTATAGGATGTTGCTGGTGCAGCATCTTCCACTTCTGATTGCAGCTGACCAACCACTCCCTGACTCCACTGCTACTTATCAACATCTCCTACATCCTTAATGTAGGAACCAATGTAGTTATTGCTGTGGTGGAACAGAGCTGCCCTTTCAGCACCAGCATCACTAGAGTACACCTGGATCTTCTTCTTTGGCGATCACTTGTAGCCGAGTAAGATTGTCTTCCATAAACACAGTTTTTACACCTGGATGGGACCAGAGTGGGTAACCCTGCCCAACCCCATCCCTGTCCAGATACACCGTAGCGGTGCCTGTGTCAGAAATGAGGCTCTGTCCCACCATACTGACTGCTACTGTGTGGGTACCACTCCTGCTTGGCCTCTGCTCAGTGGCTGTTGCAGAGTACCACTGTAGGAGATATAAAAGCAAACATCTCAGGATTGCGGTGTCCTTCATAGATCCTTGTTCCCCTCTACAGTTGGCAAACACAAAATTGGCAAGTACCCTTATGAATATTAACTGGCACAATTTGTCAGAGAATTCAGCATTCCCTAGTGCAAAATACTAGACAGTGGTTTTGTTTTAAAGCACAGCTCTGTGCATAGATACCACAGGCAAATAACTGAGCAGATGAACCCTGTGTATGAAGCAGCTCCTAACTTAACCTTTATACATCAGAGAGAGATTTTACCTTGTTTGTAAATACCATCCGGCTGTCACCACTATGTGTAGTTACGATGTCTCAGAGAACTTAATGATCACTTAAGGAAGGCAAGGGGAAAATGAGTTGCATGACCTTTGTCATCCCATATCCTGTAGGTCAGCATTATTTAAGGCAACTGGGACAACGAGGAACTGAACATTAGGCCTGCCAGATGAACAGATGGATGGATGAAAGCCAGCGCAATCCATCTTCCAGCTTTCCCCTCCACAGAGCAGAGTGACATTCAAGCCCATCTATTTCCTCACATACGTGGGGAAAGCACGTGGAATTTCACAGCAGCTCTTTGGCTGATGTGGAGGCTTACTACAATATGCTTTATGGCACAATACAGTGGTACCTCTGGATATGAACTTAATTCATTCTGAGGTCCATTCTTAACCTGAAACTGTTCTTAACCACTTTAGCTAATGGGCCCCCCTGCTGCTGCTGCACCGCTGCCGCGCGATTTCTGTTCTCATCCTTAGGTAAACTTATTAACCCGAGGTACTACTTCCGGGTTAGCGGAGTCTGTAACCCGAAGTGTTTGTAACCCAAGGTGTTTGTAAACTGAGGTACCACTGTACAAGCAACTGTGCAAAAGAGGAAGCACAATTTAAGGAGGCAAGCAATATAATGACCACTAGGGCTTTTCTTGGCAAACAATATAAAAAATGGGCACAATCCATTTGCTTTTATCTTGAAATATTTCAAATGAGTTGACCTTTAAATCATAATGTTGGGATCAAATGATACATTATACGTATCCGTGTATCTTTTTCTTTTTGTTTTAACTGAACTGTGTGTTTTAGGCAAGGGAACAAGACGTTTCTTAACTTTTTTGCTCTAGTTGTTTCTGGACTCAAAACTGAAAGCAAGATATCTTTTTCCCTTTTCTGTTTTATAGGGGAAACTATGCATGGCTTATCTTTTCCTCCATGGGGTAAAAAGCAGCTGGGGAAAATTTGGAATAAAACAGCCAGGAGGGAAAGAGTTACAAAGTCCTTCTGTTCCTGACCCTAAACTCCTATTCTGAGATTTACTGGCATGAAGACTACATTCAATCTTTTTAAAAAAGAAAAACATAGTTAAATAATGGATACACATGGCCGCATGTAATATGTCATTTGGCCTTTAGAAGTTGCTACCAAATAAGATGCCTAATTGCTTCTTGGCATCAAATATGTTTGGAACAAATATCTTGGAAGGCAAATACGTTCCAACTGGGGTTGCACAGGTCTAGGCAGGTTTCCATAGCTCTTGAGTTTGGATCAGGTATGTAGGAGGAGAGACCTGACTGACCCTAAGATGGTACAGCAAAAAGGGCAAAGATGGTATGACACCTGGTGAGATTAGACTGGCATAGGTTCATCTCACACCTAACACAGGTACAGACAGCCATCCCTCGCCACGCATAAACTGCTTATAAACTCACCACCGGACAGTTAAAACCTTGTGGGGAGATCTCTGTGGTGTCCAGCCACGGAATAAGGTATGCTCTCTCATGAAAAGGATGGCCAACATCCTAAGCACAATGACATTAGGAGGGTAGGTAAAAGTGGAAGCTGGGTTGGAGGGCATCGCTCCCCACCCCCGTCATGTTAACTTTATATATCACAGTTGTTGCTGGACTACAGGTCCCTCCAGGGATGTTGTCCCCACCCACTGGCTGAAGCTGATCTGAGCCCATCGGGGTCTAGAGGGCTGCAAGTTGCCCATCCCTGTATTTTCTTAAAATTCCCATTTAATCTCCAAACCTCTTTTCTTTCAGCATAGTCCTTGTCATTTCAAATCTCTATGAAAGTCTAAGATTTTTTTTTAAGAAAATGAGCCAGCTCTTACACATTCAGCTCTCACTCATACCGCCATACAGATGACAAAGATCTAATAAAACAGGCGAGCCCTTTCTAATTAAAGGTTCAGCCATATGAGCCAGCATCTCCTTTCACCCGACCTCCTCCTCCTCCTACATTTCCTTTATAAAGATCTACTGATATCACTGATTGCTGAAGACATCACTATATTTCACCTTCCATGGGCTGCTCCCAGAGGCCAGCCTATAAAAACTCCCCTAATGGCAAAGCCCCTTCTGCAAGGTCTGTCTTTGAGAAATTCATCCAAAAAGATCCCCATTGTCAGGTCTGCAGGTGAGCTGCTCCACTTTGACTCTCCCTGATGATATTTTTCCATTGGAATGGAAGCCAGAGACACATCACTGGTAGGTTAAATATTGTTGCACATCACCCCAATCTCTGAGTGGTGCAAGATCCCAAGGGTTCCAGGTTTGTGGAACAAACCCAGGGTCTTTGTTTCTTTTAAGAATAAGGCACAGAGGAGACTGTGGTGTCTTTAGGACATATGGTTTATTTACACATATAGGCAGTCTGAGCCTACAATGGAGGGGTGCATACCCCCAAAGGGTCTTGTTTCTCCCATAGCCACAGCCTTGGATTGACAGAGAAATGAACCATTGCTGCCTCTCTTGCTTTCTAGCTTGCTGCTTTGCTTCTGGCCCATATCACTACAAACTCAACTCTAAACGCAGGCTTTGTCCTTCCAACTATCTGTGAGTTAAGGGTGGGCCCCCACCCATTTGTCGTTCCACCCATTTGTCGTCTTGCACAGAGCCCCCTTTCATTTGTTCTCTTACTGGCCCATCACCCAGGCAATCACCTCATCAGGAAGCTAGCCTGGCTTATATTTTAACACTTGCTGGGTCCAGGGTTAGAAGCGTCTCAACTTCCCAGCCCACCCCAAACTCCTAACAGTGTTCAGGAGGAAATCACTGATTGGTACTGAAGGCTCACACTCAATGTGGCTACTTGTCTAAATGTTTTGTGCCAAATACTTAAATTCTCTCAAGCCCACAGCATTCCCCCTGCCTGCCAAGACTTAAGCACAGATTTCTACACTTCCTCTTTCTTTTTATTTATTTTATTTAACAAGATTTATATACTGCGTGATTGTAAGAAAGCCTCTTAAGTGGTCTACAAGAAATATTATCAGTAAAACAGTTAAAAACATTAAAAACAATTAAAATGATCAGCAAAAAAGATTTAAAAACATCAACATATTAAGTGTCTGGATAGGCTAGCCTAAACAAAAATGTTTTTAAGTAGGCACCGAAAAGAGTACTGTACTCTTTCTGCTTCTTATAGTCATCATGCTGCGGCTGTGATTGTAAGAACTTAAGAGCTTGCTGGATTAGGTCAGGGGTCCATCTATCCCCTGCCGTGGTCACAATCAGAACCAGACCACACACCCCATACTTGCTACTCACAATGGGATGAAAGTGGCAGTAAGAGCTTCTCCTCCTGGGGAATGGAAGGGCTACGGGATGGGAATCCAACTGGGTCCATGGAAGGTAGAAAAGCTTAAATCCTGACCCTGACTAGGGTTCTTTTCCAGCTCACCCTCATGCTTCCCATGCTAGTTATTTTTGTTTTGCTTTTATAAAGAACCACGCACACCAGGGCTAACCATCTGATTAGTATCATGTCTAGTTGGGCCCAATTTATCTCAGTTTTCCCACATGCAATGTGATGGTTTCAAACCACGATTCGAAATGAGAAACAAGAAAACAGTGTGAGCTGCCGAGATCCGCTCCCTGCTTAATCCCGCTCCAGCTGAAACAGAGCTTAATGCTTCCCTCCTGTTACACATCAGCCAAGGGATTAAGTCCAGCTGAACACAGTCTACGCACACACTATACCTTCAAAGCTCAGTCGAAGAACAATCCCGCCCCCCGGCTCAAAGAATTCTGGGCACTGTAATTTGCTGCAGGTTGCAATTGTAAGACATAAACTACAGTGCTCATAATTCTTTGCAGGGGGGGAGCGCTTTGGGGGCATAGTGTGCACACGGCAACAGTGGCACTTACGCCAGGTAAGCATGCAGAGGATTGCCACCACAAGCAGGTGTAACTGCATTTGCCAAGACTCATCTCTTGTTACCTTGCCTCTCCTTTCCCACCCACTCCTTGGCTGCCCCCCTGCCAAAATGCAGAATGTAACCTACTCAGAGCAGGGGTCTGTCTTTTCTTTGGTTGCGAAACTCTGGGAAGAACTATGCGCACAGATGGCATATGGTGGATAAAGGTAAAGGTAAAGGGACCCCTGACCGTTAGGTCCAGTCGTGACCGACTCTGGGGTTGTGGCGCTCATCTCGCTTTACTGGCCGATGGAGCCAGCGTATAGCTTCCTGGTCATGTGGCCAGCATGACTAAGCTGCTTCTGGCAAACCAGAGCAGCGCACGGAAACGCCGTTTACCTTCCCGCCGGAGGGCTACCTATTTATCTACTTGCACTTTGACGTGCTTTCAAACTGCTAGGTTGGCAGGAGCAAGGACCGAGCAACGGGAACTCACCCTGTTATGGGAATTCGAACTGCCGACCTTCTAATCGGCAAGTCCTAGGCTCTGCGGTTTAACCCACAGCGCAACCCGCGTCCCATATGGTGGTTATGGACAGATAAATAAATAAATAGCTTCAACATCAATTCACAGCTCACATGGTGTATGTAAAGCAAGGATAAAGAGCTGCTATATCAACATGAACAGCCTGCTCCTACGTAGGAATTTTGAGCAGCAAATCCCATTGACCTAAACAGGATTTAGGGTTCATCCATACTTCTGTTCATCCCAATACCCCCCCATTTGTCCCGTGATTTCTAGGCACAGGTCCGAGAGGTTATTATTTTGTCCCACTGCTTTCCCTGTGAAAACCCACTGTTTACTGCTGAGTTGGAACAAACAACAATCCGCAGAAAACCCAATTGACGTTTGTTCCAATGCAGCAGTAAATATGGGACCATGAGCCCTCACATCCTGGTAAGCATACTTAGTTTTGCAGCCTTGGGGTGCCAACAATTACAATGCAACCCAAGGCATGTATTTACTCAGAAGTAAACCCCGTTTCTTCCTTGGAACGTGTGTTTAGGATTGCAACCTTAGGCTTCTTAACTCCCCTTGGTTTCATCTGACTGTGGGCTCATCCAAACTTTCTCTTGACCCACATTTTGATCTTACTGTGTACCAATTAATTTCCATGGGTCTGAGAGCTTTTCTTCTTCCATCCATGGCTGTGCCATGCAAAAATCTGATCTTACCCACTAAATTGAAGCTCAGTTAAGCAAAGTCTCTCTTCGGATTTCCCACACATCTGGTAAGATCCAGTTCAGCAGGTAAAATCAGATTTTCTCAAGGTACAGACGCAGAACAATGAGAAAAGCTGTTGGGCTCTGGGGAATTAATCAGTACATAATATGATCAATATACTGATCAAGCAAGTGTGCATGAGCCCTGTGCACAGGTTTGCAGCCTTGGTCTACTGCTTATCATCAGCTATTCTGACTTAAAAATGGCTTACTATGTAATATTTTATTTTGAACCGCTATCCATAGCGGTACCAAATATAGTCATTGTTTGCCTTGTTTGTCCCCTTGCAATGAATCCAAGCATTGTTCTCAGTGTATTGTGAAACCTTGCTACAGACATTGCTCTTTTGTCAAATAGTGTTATCCAGTGGTGAATTTGAACAAAGACTGCCCAAGGGGAAAATCAATGTGAGAGTTTCATCTCTTAGGTATCAGCTTTCAGGTGGTCATTCGAGCTACCATGCAGCTTTGAAAGAGTTTATCTTCACACAGTGAAAAGAAAAGGGAAGTTCAGACAAGGCTCCAAGTACACAGACCCCATGCATTGTGTGTAGGATCAGAATTGTGCCCTCGCTGCCCACTGGGCATGGCAGTCCTGCCTGACATCCACAAGCTGGGTGCAATGTTTGTACAGTGTAAGAGCCTACATGCATAGGTATCCTTGGCAGCAATTCTGCAAGGCATTTGCAAAACGTAATATATTAAGTGCTTAACATTATTTTTCTGAAGGTTCGTCTCAGCTTAGTTGCAATGTGAACTTTATTCTCAAGAGTTTGGGGCAGGGGGTCACTGCCCAATTGCATCCATTCAAAGCTTTTTGCAGAACAGTGTTTCCCAAAGTGAGGCAGGCATGCACCATGCTAAATGTACATGCAGAGGGGCACAGGAGCTTCTTCTCCTCTTGATTCTTGCATTCCTGCCCCCCATTTTTGTGTGTGCCCATTATCCTTTTTCTCCCATGTTCTTCTGCTGTGTCACCCAAAGTTGCTCAGGACCCCAGGAGTGCTTTAGTAGTTCTGCAGGAAGTTGCCTCCTCTGAAAGACACCTTAACACTGTTGGGATACTGCCAGGGAGACAAAGTCCATCATGGCCCCCAAGCCGTGTCCGGACGTCCGTCGATCTCCCGTAGGCACGCAGTATCAGCAATTAGCGACATGAGCTCCAGAAATAGCCTGCCACATTCCAGAACTCAATGCACGCTCTGTCAGCAGATAATGCACAGCAAAAGTCGCACTCAGGAGAGCATTATTTACAAGTTTTATTCAGCGTTGATCAGAACAAAGAAAAACATGACTGCCTGCTTCAGTGTCTCTGACACAGAGAGAGAAAACAAAAGACACAACAGAAACATCCTGTGAAAACAGGAAATACGCAGACTCTGTGACTCACAAAGCCTGCTCCCTTTAAGGTGGAATGGAAATATCCTAACAAACACAACATTGCAGTACGTACAAAATATCATCCAGTCTCTATTCTGGCCTAACCTCACATTTTTAGGGGAACTTGCTGAGAAAGCTGCAGCAATACTCTTGCACCAGCACCCAGACTGGGATCAGTAACTGATGAAAGGGGTGGGATGTAAATTAAATAAAAATGAAACAGATTCCAAAAACATTTTCCTGGGCTCCAATCCTCCTGTGGGATAGATGTGGCACTTGTTGGGATAGCAAATGATTTATTTGCTAATGATTTCAGACTAAGGACCGATGGCAACTGTGGTTACAGCAGACCTCACAGCACATTCAATACTATTGAGCATGGGTTGCTGTTTCAGCAGATGAGAGACATTGCAGGGTATGACCACAACTGCCAGTGTCATAGGCACAAGATGAGAGTCAATCAGTGGTGATGGATAGCTAATCATCCCAGAGATGCTTAAAATGTAGCATCCCTCAGAGATGCAATCTGCAGCTCACTTTGTGAACAATAAATATGGGGGCCCCTGAGGAATGTCATGCTAAGAGAAGAGATTCAGTTTGCTGATAATATGCAATTGCACATTACTTGTCCTGTGAGGAACAGCAGCTCTTCCTGCTCCAGAGGAAGTGCCTGAACTAAGTAGGACTGCCAGCTGCACAAACAGCTTGGGATCAGGCTAACTGAAAGTTTGCCTTCCTCTTCGTGCATCTACTTGAACTTTAAAGTCCTCTTCCATAGACCTATTCTGGGTACCCCTGCCAAACAGTGAGGTCAGTAACTCATAGGGAGTTGGCCTTTGCAGTAATGGCACCTGAATTTGAATGAATTTACCTTATTACAGTCACAGACCAGCATAAGCAAAGCATCTAAATAAATAGCATAACAGTGAATGGCACCTTTATTATGGAAGAGCCTTCCCTGGGAGGTTCACCTGAGAAGGCTGTTGTGGTCTGGAGAACCTTCTGTTTGGGCAGACCTTTTAACCAACTTAGATAATCTGGGCTTCCATTTTTCAAAGTCTGTTTTTACTTTGGGTGGTGTGACGAGTTCTGTTTTGTTGTACTTATGTAGTGTGTGTCTCCCACACACACCTTGTTTTAACGGTTGTATGTTTTATTTAATATGTAAAAAGCAAATGCAATATATATTGTGAGCCACCCAGAGAACATACAAATGCCATTAATAAAAAAAATGGCATTTTTTTTTTCAGGGAAAAAAAATGGCATTTTTTTTTCAGGGAAGTTGTATCCAATTATGCTAGCTGCAGTTTTAGCCCAGAATGATGCTATTAATTTTAAAAAGAACTCCCTGTGCTAACTTTTAGATCAAGCTAAGTTAGACACATTGTGATCACCACCAGTGTTCATTAGAGCTCTGTAGTAGTGGTGGTGGTGTGGTCTGCATCTTGTTTATCTATGGCTAAGTTACAATCCCTTACCCCTTTCCACGAAAAGCCCACAACAGCATTTGGCAAATGAACCTCTTGGTGCCTCGGCTAGTGGTCCTAGCCTGCCTGAAAGGGCACTGTGGAAAACTCTGGGCTTATTAAATTTAATGAGGAGTTCAACCGGTTCCTAAATAATTCACTGCTTATCATCATCAGCTGCTGTGGTAATAAGAGCTCAGCAAGTCACCACTTCAAGAAACTATGCCAGGCTGCCTCATGTCCAAAACCAACTTACATAAAAGAAAGAAGTCTACAAAGATATTGGATGTTGCTCTAACGTATCAACAGGCATGATAAAAGACCAGGTTTTCAGTGGATATGTTATTATATAACAACAGAATATTTGGTTTAGATACATCTATGCTATAAAATTCATTTTGGCTTTAACGGTCATTCCCTCTCCCAGGTAACCTTGGAAATTGTAGTCTGATAATACGGAAAGTGGCTAGGGATTCCTAACAAAGAATGATGAGCTCCCACACCTGGCAGTGGCCAAGTTGACAATTAAAGGTAAGCCATAGTCTGAAACAAACCATTGCTCACCTGCCCTCTCCTCCGTATACTGTGCCAGAAGAATACAAGCCAGAGCAGTGGCTTAGTATTACAGAACAACTAGCGCTTATGGTTTGTTCCCCCCAAACAAACCACAAACGGTGAGCCAAGATCAACAAATTCCCTCTACCAATACACCATCGTTGCTGCTTTGTTAAACTGCTTCAAAATTACACACCTCCAGGCAATTTCTGGTGGAAATGAACATTTGAATGCTCTCATTTTAAAAACACAAACACAAAAAAATCGCTGCACATGGAAGTCAACACGTTGGGGATAATGTTCCTCCAACATGTCCACTGTCTATAAGCAGCACATTTTAAAAATGTGTGAGACCATTCAGATTTGTGACACACTCACCAAGGTGTATCATGTGCATTTTCTAAACATTGTAATCTATTCCAAGCTGGAAAAAGCTATGGATCAAGGTTATAACTTTAAAAATGGAATTAAAGGACAAGTCTTTAGCTCAGGGGTGGGAATCTGTGGTCATCTGAATGTTGGACTCCAATTTCCATCAGCCCCAGCCAGTATCCCAATAGTCAGGAGTGATGGGAGCTGTAGTCCAGGAACATCTGGACAGCACCAGGTTCCTGATACCTACTTTGAACTGAATTAAAAGGTTAGTGTAGCATTTAGATCAGGGATGGGGAACCTGCAGTCAGCTTCTATCAGCCCCAGCCACCGCAGCCAACGGTTAGAGACAATGACACCTGGACTTCAGCAACATCTGTTAGGCGATGGGAGGAAAGTATGATGTCAGCAACTTGGTGACTCAATACTTTTACAAAGTACAGAAATGAAACATATCTTCTTTACTCATAATGAGTACTATGAGAAGATTAGGAATTCAATAAGTGATGCCTACTTCTTCTCTTTCTATTTTCACAATAAGTGAAAACATTCCTCCTCAGTGATCCATAGTGATGTAAGCCCCTTAGTGTATCTTTCTTACATAGTGTTTGTGCCTGTTTACCAGACAATGAACTTCCCATCAGTCATATACAACCATGATGTAATGCTACTGTTTATACAATTTAATTGGTGTTTCTTCCCCCTAAGAGGAAGTCATCAATAATTTACAGCGTGTCCTCTGAGCAATAAGGCGCCATCCCTCAAATCATGAGCAACTGGGCATAATGAAATGATCAGAGGGGCTTATAGTTTGGAAAAGGCAGACATTTTTGATCATGAAAGGAAAAGCAACAACACAAAGTAACTTAAGACTTTTCTTCAAGTACTGTACTGAGGACTAATGATGACACTGTTAAAAGGAAGTTCAGCTTGTGTATAAAAAAATGAGTTGTTTGGGGGGAGTGTTCTGGAAAGCAATTCTCTCAGAGGGTTATTCAGCTAACACATTACAGTGCAAGAGAAATAAATTAGTACGAGCTAATATGAGCAAGGAGGGGAGTTTGTCATGGTACATGGAATGGAAAGTTGTCTTATGGCTATCACAGCTGGTTTCTATAAACCCTTTGCAAATGTGCCTAGAATCTACACATATTGAAAGATCGGGTACCCACCCTCCTTGAAATGGAGAGCTAGTGGCTAGGATTTTTTTTTTTTTAAAGTATTCCCCGAACTAAAATGTCAGCAACAAAATTAGACAAGTTTTGCAACTGAAAGGTCTACAATTTTAACAAATCTAAAGACTGTACAAAATTTTACTTCACTTGTAATATAAGTGATTGAGTCTTATAGAGAAATGTCAAAACAAGATGAAAATCTCTGTAGTTTCCCCAATGGTTTCATGCCCTTATAAATGTATCCCACCATGTGGTGCATTGAAGGGGGGATGGAAGCACTGTAAACTTATTCACTGAAGCATTTCTCTCTCTCTCTCTCTTTCTCTCTCATAAGCAATAAATATATGCCCCAGTTATATTACAACAGTTCCACATGGTAGCCTCCCTCCACAAGTCTCTTACAGCCTGTATCCCATTATGTACATAATATGAAGAGAATACTTTGTGATGGGAAGATACCTTACTCCTGTTTGCCACATTTAATAAAGTGTCAGCAAAGTGCACTCCAGCGCTTGAGAAGGCAAGTGCATAGCATCCTAAATTTAAAGCATTTTTAGGGAAAAGGAAATTTGTAAAAGAAGCAATTGGTTAAAATAATTGATTTAATTTTTAGGAAGGGCAGGTGCAACCTATTGCCAAGTGCCCTCAAAATGGAATAATTTGAGGCAGAGAAGGTATGAAATAAGTAGGTGCTTAACCCTTCCTCTGTTAGCCATTTTTTTTGGGGGGGGGTTCTTCTCCCCTCCCCCTAGCCACTTTTGCACCACTGCAGGGACAAGACCCAGGTCTGGCAAGAGTAAAAGCAACTTGGTGGAGAAGCTTCAGCAGGAAAAGGTGGCTGGCCAGGAAATGATTAAGCACCTTCAAGCTAAGAATGGCTGCAGGTCAAATGCCCAACTAGTCAGCATCCACTTCTCACAGTGAACAAGGAGATGCCTATGGGAAACTTGAAACAAGCAGGATATAAGTACAACAACACTCTCCTCACTTGCAGTTCTCAGTATTCAGAGGCTTATTGCCTCCAACAGTGGAGGTAGAACATAGCCATCCTTAATCTCCCAACACTCAGTTTCATTAAAAAAGGTAAAGGGACCCCTGACCATTAGGTCCAGTCGCGGACGACTCTGGAGTTGCGGCACTCATCTCATTTTACTGGCCGAGGGAGCCGGCGTACAGCTTCCGGATCATGTGGCCAGCATGACTGAGCCGCTTCTGGCGAACCAGAGCAGCGCACGGAAACACCGTTTACCTTCCCGCCGGAGCGGTACCTATTTATCTACTTGCACGACCCTAAATTCTATGACACACGAGGGAAAACGTTTCACTGTCCACTTTCTCCACACCCTGCACAACTGTAAACGCCTCTATCATGTTCCCCCACCCTTTACACTCCCCTTTTTCTAAAATGAAAATTATAAATGTTGCAACGTTTCCTCACAGCAGAACAGCTCCAAACCCTCGGTCATTTCAGTTGCTCCTTTCTGCACATTTCCCAACTCTGCAATATCCTTTTTGAGGTGAGGCAACCAGAACTGTACACCGTATTCCAAGTGCAGCTGCACCCTAAATATGTATTATGATACTGGCACTTTTATCTTCAACCCCTTTTCTAATGACTTCTAGAATGGAATTCACCTCTTTCACAGCTACCACACACAAGGTCGCAGAGTTTTGTTTTGTTTTGTTTTGTTTTGTTTTGTTTTGAAGCAGATTTTCAAATTGCACCAATTTCTCACCAAGACATCCCATCCCAAGAGTCCAACTGCCAGATGCATTAAGGGTGCTCTGAAATCAGCAGAATGCTGGGAATATCTCCACAACAGCTTAATCGGAAATGAGTAGCCTGAGCAATAAAAGAATTGTGTACATTTGTTGCTCAACAAACTGTGTGGAAAGGCCTTAATAGTGACTTTTCTTTGTCTGGATCTGTTTCACCATGCAGAGATGTATATCAAATGAAAAACAAACAACCTCTGAAAATTTACAGGGGCATTTTGCCTCATGACAACAAGCATGTTCTGAGCAGCGCTTATTAAAGGAAAACAAAGGGACAATTTTCATCTCTCAAATGACAGGGGGAAATCATTGTTTCAGCCTACATGTGCAGACCTGGAGCACAAAAGTTTACAAAGCTTGGTGTTTGTATAATTTCTAATTTCTACTACAGATGCCAATCATCCCTTCGCTTTTTCCAGTCCAGGATATACAAACCCCAAAATGCAGCACAGGAAGCAAGGTTCATGGGATTTTGAACTCATACCTTTGAGAACATGATAATGGAGAATAACCAAGCAAATAGGGAGAGGGAAATAATTCCTTCTGAGAAAGAAGTGACTGCAAGGACAGAAGCAAATGGAGATAATTAGCAACAGGGGAGTAAAAGCCAAGCTTCAGGTGCAACTATGTGCATGCTTCCACGGCTTAGGTTAAGCAGAACAGCTTTGGGAAAGCTACAACTAAACCCATTTATCACAGGCGATAAAATGGTCTCAGTGGTGTTTAAATGTTGTAATTTCTGAGGCTGTTTTAATTGGATAGAAAGCCTTGAATTATAAAGTCAGTTGTACGATGGAATCAACAACCAAAACACCAGAAGTCAATAATATATTTACACTCTATCTCCCTTATCAGACTGATAACATGGGCAGCACATATGCATATTATAAAGAGAGAGAGAACAAACATTGTACATTTGCAGTGATTGCTCTGTGCATAGTAGAAATTAAGGCACCCATGGCCATGGGTAGGGGGGAAAAGCAAAAGCTGCAGATTTTGTGATAATGATAATAGTAATAAAGATACAAGTGGCCTTCTGTGTGACAGTTACATCATTGTCCACTTACACGAGGCAACTGGTGTTCCCTCTACATTTGATGTGGCATGGTGCAATTACAAAATTTAATGATATCTAGAGGAACAATGGGCCATGTATATACTGGTTCTGGCAGATGAAGCATAAACATAATAGAAGGAGGTGATCAACAGTTATGAAATGAATACTAGAGAAGGAAAGTTCCCAATCCAGTTTGAGGACAGTTGTGTGGACAAAGCCCACAAACGTACAATTTGTACATGTGTAGGCTCTGTGCCAATGTGGTTCTGAATGTACATGGTGGGGGTGGATAGGGATGTGGCCAGGAGGTATGAAACAACTTCCTCCATTTATGTATTTATTGCACGTACTCAGTGTACACGCAGAGCTTTAGATAGGTTTTATTTATATTAAACTATCAGTGTGAACAAAACAAGGAGCTAGCATGATGCAACCCGTAACGCGTCTTAGTAACACCAATATATCATATCAATATAAAAATCACTTTTAAAGAACATTAATCAGCAGATTTCTAAAAAGAAATATTTGCTGAACTGCCTTGCCCACTCTCTCAAATGCATATATGTGATGCTAAAGAAAATGGTTATCATGGATGAGGGTCTCCCAAAATCAAACAGTCTTACAAGTGTAATCCTCTGCATGTCTTGGGCTGGGAATACACTCCACTGAACATGGTGGGACTTACTTCTGAGGAAACATGAACAGGATTGCATCTTGCAGATTTGAGAAACATGTCCAGCCACGTGCATAGTTACTGTGCAACAATTGTGCTGTTGTTGTTAAAAATTATTTCACAGGGGCATGTTTGAACACAACATGGTAAAATTCCACAATATATGAATACACTCAAATAATACTTTTTAGATTTATTGACTGCAGTGCTAGGAGAATTACACCAGTCCAAGTGGAAGAATCTGGATTTTTGTCTCGTCCCACAAAGAGACTGAAGCAAAGCTGCAGTGAAAGCTGCCATCCATTTATCACACTGTATGCTGCTCCCCCTGAGAGGCAGAGCAAAAGCAGATCAATAGTAAACATGGAGCAGGGACAGCTAATCTGCACCCAGAGCGTTGCTGCAAATTAAAAAGAATATGCAATCATCACAGTCCTCTTGCCCCTTGCCATTATTCTATTGGATGATAATTAAAATCCACAGGCCAAATTCAATCTGAGAATAACTCTATGGATTCCAGGAGAGGTTCAGCAGAGATCAGTTCACCTCGTTATGTTAATTGTTGTGCTGTAGCTGAAAAGGGCAGCAGCAGCAGTAGCAACAACAACAAAAGGAGGAGGAGCGAGGAAGCCTCTATGTAACAGCAAAGTTGTTAACTCCTGCCTGCTAGGCACATGGACTAGAGTGGCTGCTGCCATCCGCCACAACCTTGATGCTTTTGTATTCCATGGAAAGAATCTTCCAGGAGCTCAGGTCATTTACATGCTGAGTTCCCCACACTGGTATTTCAGAAAGGCTGCAGTGTTGTTTCACAGTTCTCGGCAAAAGACGGGCAAACCTTTGCCTAATATTAGGCTCCTTTCTGCTATACCAGGCATAGGCAAACTCGACCCTCCAGATGTTTTGGGACTACAACTCCCATCATCCCTGACCACTGGTCCTGTTAGCTAGGGATGATGGGAGTTGTAGCCCCAAAACATCGGGAGGGGCGAGTTTGCCTATGTCTGTGCTATACAGCCACCCATGCAGCTGTGCGTCCTCCTCATTGGATCTACCTCATACCACATCCTCCAATATATTCTTCACCCTGTGTGGTAACAGATGACCACCTTTATTACATATTTTACCACACCGTCAACACTTGATGTATAGCGAAATCACTCTTATTTATATACTCATTATTGGGGGGGGGTGGAATTTTACCCTTCCCTCTACCAGGTCTTAAACTTTGGCTTTCGAATCAACGTCGAAGAAAACCCAAACTTCAGTCTAAAAATGACACAAGGCAATGGCAGATCCAGCAACAGGAAAACAGGGAGACGAAAACAGCACAGAGATAAATTTATTTACGACTGGTCAAAGTCTTGAGAGAGAAACTCTTCTGCTCCTAAAGTGTGAAAGGCCATGGTTCAGTGGCAGAGTATTTGCTCTGCATGCAGAAGGTCCCAATCCCCAGCATTTCCAGGAAGGGCTTGGAAGAGAGCGCAGTCTGAAAGACCCACTAGAAAGTCACAGCCAGTCAGAGAAGCCCTGCTTTCTGTACTGTTTGTGCCAGCAGACTTTTGAGGGCAGTCAGATTGCTTCACTCCCAGTCAGTGCCTATCCCGTTGTAACTTCCTGCTGAAAGCCTTTAACTTTGTATTCCACAAATATTCTTGTTTATTTTGGGCTTGCATTTGTTGTACTGTAGTCCCCTCTGGGACAGCAATAATGTGGTAGCATTGGGGAAGTACTGCAGAACAAACTACAGTGGTACCTTGGGTTACATACGCTTCAGGTTACATACGCTTCAGATTACAGACTCCGCTAACCCAGAAATACTGCTTCAGGTTAAGAACTTTGCTTCAGGATAAGAATAGAAATCGTGCTCCAGCGGCACAGCAGCAGCAGGAGGCCCCATTAGCTAAAGTGGTGCTTCAGGTTAAGTACAGTTTCAGGTTAAGTACGGACCTCTGGAATGAATAAAGTACTTAACCCGAGGTACCACTGTAAAGCAGAAAAAAGGGACCACCAATGCACTATTATTGTGTTAAGAACATGTTGCAGAATACACATGAAATATAACAGCAGTCTGTCTAGATGTGCCCTACGTTATGTCAGAATTTCTGTATTGGCTGACCTCAGCAGTCAATAGACCTCAACTCTATTTATTTATTTAGTGCCACGGATGTGCATGGAGGACAGGCCCCTGCCACCAAGGAGTTTACAGTGTCAAAGAGGAGGTTACAACCTCCTGTTAATCAGCTGGCTGGAGCCTGGAAAGAACGAACAATCCGAATATTCCTTAAATATATAATTATAGAACCTGCATTGAAAATATATTTCACAAGTAAGCATGGTTGTATGTTTTTCATGTGCGTTAAATGATCACAGAAGAACCTAGTGCTTTAGACTTACTTGGGTTTCTAGAGCAGCTTCCCAGAGGAGCTTGAGGCCTTGAAAGTGTGTTAATAAGCAACTGTTCTAAAGAACAAAGCCCTCTTGTTTAACAACTGTCCTACTGGTCAGTGCCTCAGACTTTTGTTGAAGCTTCTTGCAGTGTTGGAGAATTACTGCTTTCTCTGAAGCTGGCATTGATCTGTGGCTGAGGAACCAGAAAGAACAGCAGTGTACACACTCCCATTTATTCTGTATCCAGTGCACTCCCACCACTGGTTTGGGAAGTGGTGTACATGCAACGTTATCCTGTAGCTATCCTGCCATTTCGTATGAAATATTGCATTCTGATATGTTTTCCCTCAAACCAGCTTTGAGACAAATGGAGAAAAAGAACACCCTAGCTGCATTTTGAGATGATAACATGCCCACATCACCTGGGATGAAACCTATACCTGCCTAGACGCTACTTCAGGACAAGGCAGCAGACTGTGCAAGTTGTTAAAATGAGCAACAAATGACAACAGCCTGTTGAGCCACCCCAAGCAAGCCAAGTGGGAACTGGGAAGGGAATGCAAAGAAAATGGTTACTTTACCTTCAAGCACCTGAATTTCAAAAAAGGCAAAGATTCCATCCTTAATGTGGTAGCTTCCAAAAGTCATTCGATTACAACTTCCAAGGATGATGGGAGCTGGAGTCCAACAAGTAGAATACAGTGGTATCTTGGGTTACAAACACCTCGGATTACAAACACTTCGGGTTACAGACTCCGCTAACCTGGAAGTAGTACCTCAGGTTAAGAACTTTACCTCAGGATGAGAACAGAAATCGCGCACCGGCGGCACGGTGGCAGTGGGAGGCCCCATTAACTAAAGTGGTACCTCAGGTTAAGAACGGTTTCCTGTAGCACAACCTTCTATGGACAGTGGAAGAGATGGGTGCCTTTTCAAAACTCTGCTTGTTGGTGTGAATCGCCTAACCTCCAGCTTCTGCACCAGGCAACACCCTGAAACAGCTCAGCTGGATTCAGAACTTTCTCCTACTCAGCAAGGGGTAGCACCTTGCAGGCCACGGGCTATAGATCCTCGTTCACAGTGGGTGGCACCCCATGCCTAGCAAATCAGCCAGTTCTTAGCGGGGAAACAGTGTTGCTAAGGGACAGCTGTGGAAGTAGCAGATGCTTAATGAGAGCATATGAGGGCTAACAGAAGGCCAGCCTGGTGGCAACCACGTGGATGCTTCGTGGGTGAGGAGCAGTTTGTTCTGTTTTGCAAAATAACCGAACTGAGGTACAGGTGATGAAGGGATGCATTTCTCCCTGTCATGTGAAGATTCTACGTACCCTACTACAGTGGTAAGGTAAAGGTACCCCTGCCCGTACGGGCCAGTCTTGACAGACTCTAGGGTTGTGCGCTCATCTCACTCTAGAGGCCGGGAGCCAGCGCTGTCCGCAGACACTTCCGGGTCACGTGGCCAGCGTGACGAAGCTGCTCTGGCGAACCGGCACCAGAGCAGCACACGGAAACGCTGTTTACCGTCCCGCCAGTAAGCGATCCCTATTTATCTACTTGCACCCGGGGGTGCTTTCGAACTGCTAGGTTGGCAGGCGCTGGGACCGAGCGACGGGAGCGCACCCCGCCGCGGGGATTCGAACCGCCGACCTTTCGATCGGCAAGTCCTAGGCGCTGAGGCTTTTACCCACAGCGCCACCTGCGTCCCTACCTCGGGTTAAGTACTTAATTCGTTCCAGAGGTCCGTTCTTAACCTGAAACTGTTCTTAACCTGAAGCACCACTTTAGCTAATGGGACCTCCTGCTGCTGCCGTGGCGCCGGAGCACGACTTCTGTTCTCATCCTGAAGCAAAGTTCTTAACCCCAGGTACTATTTCTGGGTTAGTGGAGTCTGTAACCTGAAGCGTATGCAACCTGAAGCGTATGTAACCCAAGGTACCACTGTATTTTGGAAGTAATTTCTGGATGACTTTGCTGTATACAACCAATACTGGGGGTGAATATCATCACACACAAAAAGAACTGGATACAACCCAGCCAACCAAAGTCTATGCAGCTAGTGCACAGGACTCCTTGACACCTTGCTTTCAATGTAAACACCGAGGACGCCCATTTTGTGCCATACAGTTCTCTCTGGGAACAGTGGAACATTGTCAAGTCCCATCACTTCCAGGGGGACTTCCATTATGTGCACTGAAAGCAAAATTATGTCATTTACTGATGATTCCTAATAAGTATTTGGGAACAACTGGTTTAAAAGGCACTATAATGTTCTTTTGTGGTGAGGCTGTAATTGCATTTTTTAAAAACAGGTTGCCATTTGCAATCATCCGAGTTAATATGAAGTAGTTTCTGCTATCCAAAATGAATTGTTTTTGCTTTCCAAAGGTCACAGTGATCTTCTCTAATCTGTTTTGCAGGTCCGTGTCTTAACTCTTATCCTATATTCTGTATTCCTATCTCCAAAGTTTCCCCTTTGACGTCAGTGCAGCTAAACACTTGTTAATAAATATTGTATGGGATAAGCATCAATATACAAGTACTTCATTACCGTTATTTTTTAAAGCATGCTTTTGCATAATTCATGACATGAGATATAGATTTTTTTTCCAGAGGCTGATCATTCTAATTAACCATGATATATGTTATTATTATATGCAATGATAATATCTGACTTACAAACACATTGAGAATTAATGCCACCCAAAAATCCATATAGTTGCAACCATAAAGAGTCAACTTCATCAGTTTTTTTCCTTCTTCAGCTTGTTGTCTTTCCACTACTAATATTTAGCACCACATTTATCAGCTATGGGATGCTAATTTTTTCCTCAATTAGTTTTTCTGTAATAAAAGAACCACCTGGTACATTTCTCATGACTAACACGTCACTTTTAAGGCACATTCCCCCAAGAGCTTCACGCCTCCATCCCAACGCCTAGTGCATTGCTTAGCCAGCTTTGGGAAGGCAAGGCAAGGGTGGGGAGCAGTTGTCAAATTTTGAGCTTGCTCTCTCCCCCCCCCTCCCTCCACACATGCAACAGGGCACTGTGTACTCCATGGGTTCCATGCAGCCCATTTTGTATGATAAGTTGGGTGGGCCTGTTCCAAGTGGTGCTGCTTGACTTTGTATGTTGAGGGCAGTGATATGAGATTTCTGGAAAGTTTTGAATTTGCACAGGGTAATTTGCATTGTGATTTTTTTCTGATGCCATAGTGTGAGCTAATTTAGCATGTCTATTTTACTTATATTTAATAAACAAGGTTTTTTTCTTTAAAAAAAAGTGCCACATGTTCATTTTTTCCCCAATACACAAGTATTTGACCTAAAATATTTGAAAGGGGGAGGAATTAAAGCACACTTAATGTGGTTTAAATATTATATTGTGTAGTATTGTTCATTGGAATGCTTGTAAAAATAAAGACGATCGCATGCCCTTCCCTTACAATGTTTAAATTTAAGGTAGTGGGGAAGACATTGAAAACCATTGACACACTAAAGTTTATTTTCGCAAACCCAACTGACAACCATTCTTCTAGTTTAGCATCAATTCATTGTTACTAATGAGCTTATGAAATGGAAAAATGGTTTCCAGGAAATTACCCCACATCACTGAAAGTTAAATTGCGTAAGTGTAACAAAGTACATTTCTGGCTCTCAGATCATTGTGGTCCCCAAGAATACAAAAACTGGCCACCTCTGATTTATAGCACTAGCATATCTGGCTTCATCCTTCACTCTTGCTAAGCTTCTCCCTCCTCTCTACCATTCCAGCACCAATATTGTGTCCTACTGTGAGGCCTAGTGAGATCTTCTTATATTTTATTTATTTTATTTATTTTAATTGCCTTTAATTGTACTTTAATCGTTATTTTCCTTCACCTGTTGCTCCAAAGCTTTAGGATAGCATTGCCTATGAATACAAGCAGTCAGCTTTCCGTTCCAGACACCACAGCCAAAATTAAGCAATTCCAGCAACCTTCCAGTTAGGCAACAAGTTTCCCGTATTTTGATCTTATCCTCCTATCCTCCCCTACTCAACATACCCAGAGCAGTGAATGGCCTGCTTTTGCATGGTCAGGCACTTATACAAGGACACTTTAAAAAACCCTTCATTCCTCTCCTGCCAGGAGTTATTTGCCAGAACAGTGCATACAAAAGTTTTCTTCAGTGCTTGTGGCCTGTCCTCTTTATTCAGCTCCCTGAATGTGTTCACACTGGCATTTTTCCTTCGCTGATCAGCTACACTGAACACAAGCAACAGCCAAACAACTTCTTCACAGAACAAATGCAGTGTATCTTGACAAAGTCCCCCAAGATATTCTTGCGGAGAAGTTGGTAAAATGTGGGCTGGGCAAGGTAACTGTTAGGTGGATTTGTAGCTGGTTGACTGACCAAACCCAGAGTGCTCACTATAATGGTTCCTCATCATCCTTAGAAAAAGTGACCAGTGGGGTGCTGCAGGGTTCTGTCTGGGCCTGCTGCTGTTCAACATCTTTAGATACGACGACTTGGATGAAGGAAGTGAGGGGGTGCTCATGAAATTTGCAGATGACGCCAAACTGGGAGGGGTAGCTAATGCCACAGAAGACAGAATGGGGATTCAAGATGGCCTTAACAGATTGGAGAACTGGGCCCAAATTAACAGAATGAAATTCAATAGGGACAAATGTAAGGAGTCCAACAACATCTAAGGGCCCCATCCCGGCAATACACCATAGGTGCTATTTCCCTTATAAAAAGCTGATTAGCTATGTACCTGTATAAAAATGCAGATTTTATTGTCAGTTGTTAAATAATGATGGTAGGGTTTCAAGTATCAAAATGGCTCTCAAAGATGGCTGTGCATATAAGCAAGCCAAGCAGAAACTGGTCTTTGGTGCTGATAGAGCATCAGGTGCAAATGGGAGTCAAGTCCGTAAGAGAACTATTTGGAAACAGTAATTTTGAAAACCCACCCATGATAGCTCCCTTTCATTTTAGAAACAAAAGCTTTGTTTTAAATGTGAAGGGTAAATTACTCTGTCATTTTAAACTCTGGACTCTAGGAGAAAGATAATACGTATTCCTCACACAGACAGAACAGTCCAACAAGCATTGATTTTTGAGCAGCCTATATTCAAAATATTACTTGGTCACTCCTTCATGTACACTCATGGTTTTCAAATGTGTGACATGTGCTAAGCTGAAGAGTCATGGGCAGTTGTTAGGAAATAGTTCCTAATCCTTCCAGTATCCCTGTTTGAATGCTGCCCATAGGGTTGAAACTATGTAAACGTACTGGCATCCAATGCAATGTCCCTATATTTCACTGTGCTTTCTTTCCACTGTTTAAAAACTGTGCTCATATTACATGAAGACCAGAAGGGACCACTTCCCCTTACCTTTTTGGATGACCACTTAGCCCAGGGGTAGGGAACTTTTTTTCTGGCAGGTAGGCAGAACCACCCATTGTCAGTCACCTGACACCAGGTGATGCTTCCCTTTGAAGCACCAATTGCCCCTGTTTTTCCAGAGTTCCCTGGGAAAAGGGACTGATCGTTAAACTACTCTAGGAATTGTACCTCTGTGAAGGGAACGGGGTCTCCGAGCAACTCTCAGCACCCTTAACAAACTACACTTCCCATGATTCTTTGGGGGAAAGCCATGACTGTTTAAAGTGGTATGACACTGCTTTAAGTGTATAGTGCAGGTCTTCTGAGAATCATCCCTGAGCCTAAGGGGTCGGAGCCTCAGGGACTGGAACGTGGAGTCACAGGCCAAAGAACAATGTTTTAGAGGTCCCCTAGACAAATACATCATATTATGATAAAACTGAATGCAACTGAATGCTATCCCATATTAAAAATCCCTGCTACAGATGTCGAAGTCAGTCTTTACCCTGATATACTCATTTTCTACATGTAGGAATATAACGTGCTTTTAATCGTAGTGTAATAACAGTGGTTTATGGCACCTAAGGAAAGCAAGGGAGATCAAAGGGGTTAAACTCACAGTCCCAAGGGCAAAAACCTGGTAAGCATGCTAGGCTTAAGCTACTGAGCTACAGTGTACTGTGCTAGTCTTTAAATATATCTGTACCACCACTGCACATCCCCTACATCTGCTATCATGGAGGCACTGCCCATATTTGGGCCAATACATTGAAGTAAATGACTTTTAATTATTATGCTTCCAGTGTGGAGAACCACCATAGTAAAGTGCCTTCAGGCAGCCTTCGCTTGAGGGCTGCAATGCTCAAAATCTTAAGCTTCTTCCACACAGAAAATGTCAGCTTTCTGCATTAGTGCTGCTTGAAGAAACTTCAAAAAAACCACAACCCAGTACCGAGCTGTTACCCAGAACTCTAACAAAGCTGCAAGCCAAAATAGTGCAGATTCATGCAAAGTGAGCGTGAAAGGCCACTGAACTCTGTGGGATTCTTTGAAGAATTACAGGATCCTGAGGGCTCTCCTACAGAGTCATTTGGAATCTAGAGATTTTGGTTCCAGCTCTTGATAAAAATTAAATGTCTATAAAGGCAATAAGAGGGGATTTTTTTAAAAAAAAGAAAAACCCTCTTACGTACCAAAGCCAAGACAAACATTAATGCAATGTTACTGAGACAAGCAAGGAGCTTTGCTAAAGCTAATGTATTTTAATAATGTTATAACCTTCCCAACTGCAAACAGACACAGTGAGAGAGACAATTTCAGCAGTGCTTTGCACCGTTGTCATGCAGAGTTGGTTCCTTCGACAGGCAGAGAAGGTTTCATCACAATGAATCGTGCACTAAATAGCCTTGCCTATCCTGCCAGACAAGAATGAACGGACATGGAAGAGATCACTTTACTCCACACTATACCAAGGTCCACAGAAAGTAGAGTGTCTCGCAACACACCCTCCATGGAATTGATGACTTGATGGTTTAGGTGCTGTTTTCCTGTCTTGGTGCTGAACATGGGCACTGGATGGAATGATCAGTGATGCTCATGACAAACGTGTGGGCCACCCCTTCACAGGATTCAAGGTCAACCAGCATTTGGTATGGGAAGGCCTTCGGTCCCGAAGGGCTATGAATTCACTGTGCTAATCTGTTGACCAGCTGTTGATCAGTGTTTGACAACACCAGAAGCTTTTCTGCTACCTGGGTTTGTTCCAATCACCAGGTACTTACTTAGCAACCAATGTGATGATGGCGTCACGTTCCACAAACAACCTTTCCTGAAATCTTTTTTCTTTTATAACCAATATCCTCAGGACACGATCCTAGTATACCTGGAGATCCTAACAGGATCTCAAATGCTTTGCTCTAAGTGTAAATCATTTAAACGCAATCCCATTAACACAACTGACAATTCCCAAGTAATACAGTAGTTAATAAATTTCACATCTAATGGCATCTCTCTGTGTGTTTCTCCTCGGAATTGACCCAAACCCCTCAGCACCAATGCTATGCCTGTGTTCAGCATTTACCAATATTCCACTCATCTGCACTGCAGTCATGCATGCATCTGTCTGTCAGCGCAGGGCTTGCACAGCAGGTGCTCTGTACAGACAGAGGAGCAAAGTCAGCACAATGTGTCAGTCCTGTGTATGGGGGATTTTTGCTCTCCTGGCACTTCCACATCAATACTAAAACAGCAAATCAGGAGTGTAGGAGCTCTTTGTGAGATACGCCCCAAGCGTTGCTAAGACATAAGAATCTGCGTGCTCTGTTAAGTAAACAAATTGCTCATTCAGAAGATGATGCTTTACCAAAATTACTCACTGAAAATCCTTTACAAGTCAAGTAAGGTACTATAGGCATCAGCATTCATTAGGAGGGCTGTTATTATGTCTTGTATTGATTTCAAAAGGCAAAGGTTGGACAAGTCAACTGTCACTCAGTAAAGGTACTCAATTTGGGAAAATGCCAAACTGGGAGAAAACTGTATAAGTTCTGGACCTCATAAAATCATTTTACACACCCTTTAACAAACTGTCTTCAACTTCAGGTTTTATATTTCAGTGCACTGTTTCTGCAGTAGCTGAGTTTGTGATTATGAAATGATACCCTTAGATGGAGTACTGCACTGTCACAGCCCAAGTCTTACTACGCAACCAAAGACGTACAGGAAGACATAATGTGGCAGGCAACATGGATTTTGGCATCCTAAGAATTTCAATATGTTTGTTATCAAAGAAAACACATAGCTTTGTTTTTGCACAGAGAAACTACCGTAATATGCATTGGCAGCATCTGCCAAAGGCAAGCTGACCGATGGGATCTTTGCAGGTACTGCTACAGGTTATAGGGAGCCAGAATAACATTCAGACTGCTTGGTTGTTGTAATAAATTTTACAAATTATGTGTGTGATTTTTATGGCATTATGCAAATTTAGCAACATCTGTGTACAACTACACCCAGCAATTGGGTTTTCCTAGTACAGAGTATCTGAAGACACAGTGGCAGAAACCTGAGATGGAAAGGGCACCAGAAACCTCTTTTCGCAGGAAAAGGTACCAGGGCCAACCCTACCATTAGCCAGAGTGAAGTGATCACACCAGGCAGCAGATGCTTGAGGACTTATCAGCGGCAGCCCCCAGCCACAAGTTCCTCTGTTTGAAAGCAGAGTTGTATATGGCACACAGTCTATCCTGCACCTTTTAAACTAGTCTGCTTCTCTTTGGTGTGGTGTGTGACACTGGCCTATTGCCAGTACTGAAGTAAAAAAAGGTAACTGCCAGCCCAGTCAGCTTTCTTCTTGTATTTTGCCTCAGGCAGCAATATGTTTTGAGCTGGTCCTGATGGGCACTTCCAAACAAAAATAAAATGCCAGCGTAGCACTAGCTCATTCTAAATGAGCTAGATCTAGTCTAAGGGGCTGCCCAAGATAGTTTGCCACTTGAGGCCAAACACATTAGCAGTTGATTCTTATGTCAACACTGGCATTGAGACAGCATTCTACACCACACCCAGGATAGCTCAGTTGGTGCTGAGCAGCATGCGTTGCACACACAGATCAGCCCTCCACAATTTGCCACCACTTCTTGCTTCCCCAAACTATCTGTCACCTGAGGCAACTACCTCACTCTGTCTAATGACAGAGCGGACTCTAATTCCCACAAATGTGATAACATTTCACTTCTGCTCAGAAGATTTCACCTGCCCAACCCCTTTCCATGGAAGAGCTCCTGCCACTGCTGAGTTCCTCCCTCAGAAAAAAGGGCACAGGTGTATAAACTAGTTTTAGAGCGCACCATTAATATTTTAATTAAATTCGCTCACAGTGCAATCCTATATACGTCAGCTCTGAAGTATGTCCCATTGCATTCAGCGGGGCTTGCTTCCAGGTAAGTTGGTACAAGACTGTAGCCTCAGTTGCCAAAACACATCATTGTAAAGTCTTCTGGGCTTTGCAAGGACAGAGGGCGTAAATGCTTTAGGAAGAGGAGGAGGAAAGAAAATACTCCATGGTTTCATAATCAGACGCTCCATTTCAATTAACTAAATTATGGGACTGTAAATAAAATAATCCAGTCAATAATATGAGTCCATCATGTTGCATTAGCATCACAGGCTAAGTGAATGATAACAGGGCACAGAATTAATCGGATGTGACAGGAAGCTGCAACTGCAGCACCCTGATGAAGGCCCCCAAGCAGTATCCTTTTCCAGAAAGCCACTCAGCCCTAAATGAAACAACAACCTGGCCTGCAAAACTGTGACCTTAACTAACATACGCAAGTGATTGCCAATACTTTTATTGAGGGGGGGGGAGCTCAAGTGGCTTTTGGACTTTGTTTGTCAGTTCCAATCCCTGCTCCTGATGTGAACACCATTTCTGTCTTTAAAAATGTTATTATGCAGTTTACTGCTTACAGAATGATGAGTTCATAAGAACATAAGAGCCTCTGCTGGATAAGCGAAAGGCTCATCCAGCCCAGAATCCTGTTCTCAAAGCAGCCAATTCGATGCTCATGGGAAGCCCACAAGTAGGACCTGAGCGCAGTAGCATTCTCTCCCACATGTGGCCCCAACGACTGGTACTCAGAGGCATACTCTGAGGCTGGAGGCAGTACACAGGCATCTTGACTAGTAGCCATTCATATCCTTATCCTCCATGTCTAATCTACTTTTATAGCCACCTCTACATCTTGCGGCACTGAATTCCAGAGTTTAAACACTTCCTTCTGTCAGTTCTGCATCTCCTAACATTTAGCTTCAATGGGTGATATCAAGAAAGAGGGGAGAAACTGGCTTCTATCCACTCTCTCAACACTATTCATAACTTTATACACCTGTATTATGCCCTCACCAGCTACACACCATTTTATCCAAAAGCCCCAAACACCGTGATATTCCCTCGCAGAGTAGTTGCTCTAGCTCAGGCATAGGCAAACTCCGGCCCTCCAGATGTTTGGGACTACAATTCCCATCATCCCTGACCACTGGTCCTGTTAGCTAGGGATGATGAGAATTGTAGTCCCAAACATTTGGAGGGCCGGAGTTTGCCTATGCCTGCTGTAGCTGCTTGATCATTTTGGTTGCCTTTTTCTCCACCTTTTCCTAGCTCTACGATGTCCTTTTTCAGGTGTAGCCAGCAGAACAGAGCACAGTACACCAAGCGCAGCTGCGCCATAGACATGATAATGGCAGTTTCATTTTGCAATCCCTTTTCTAATTATCCCTAATGTGAAACTTGCCTTTTTCACAGCTACAACACACTGGGTCAACATTTTCATTGTGCCATCCACCACAACCCCCAGATCTCTTTCCTGGTCAGTCAAAGCCAGGTCAGTTCTCATGAGCATATATGGGAAGTTAGGGATTTTTGCCCCAACGTGCATCACTTTGCACTAAACATTGACTTTGCTACCCACAGGTGATTCTGCAGGCAAATATATTGCTGGCTTCATATTAAACCATAGTCTTTAAACTACCTGAGTGGCAAAAAGTACCATCAGGTAGTGCCTTTGCCTCCAGAAAAAATTCAGTGAGGACATAGGTGATTTATTCTGATAGAACATGCTGGCCTCTTTCAGACGTAATCTAAACTGTGGTTTCATGTTTTACAAGTGGCTTCATCAGAGAAGAGGCAGGGGAATGGGGGCACACAAGCCCAAGGCTCACTGATGTAATGCTAAGCCAAGTCTAACATTACATCTGAACCAGATCATTGTGAAGGCAAGACCTAGTGAAATTCACACTAGGAAAGGTTTACAAATCTGAGCACTAGAAAAGGCTGCCAATATATTTTATTGTTCCTGTGCAAGCAATTTCTATTATATTATACAGTATTTTATTAACTTAATTTTATTTAGTTGTTTAATAAAATTTGAATATAACTTAGCTCTGAAGAAAACCTCTCAGCAATTCACATATATAAAATACACACATTAAGACAGTTACCAAAAAATGTTAAAAACAAGTTTAAAAAGCAGAATGAATAAAATCAACAGTTAAAAGCATAGATTATAAGTATACATAATAAACTAAAATTACAGATTAAAATATATGTCAGCTTTACATGCCCTATGTATTAATGTAACAAAATAACTGAATGGTTTGCAATGACTTCATCATGACCAAAATTAATATTTTCTTAAACACTGTATAGTTTTGTGCATATACATTAATTAGAATTTGTGTAATTATTTGCCTAGCTTTCCATCAGAAAGCTGACATGCATCTGTTGATTTGACACAACTGTCTACATAAAATACCTACTAGGAAGTAAGTATCATTTAACTCAGTGAGACTTGACTTGTTTCACAGTAAAAATGGAAATGTTCCTTTAAGATAATTATAGGGTCCAGATCGTGAGAAGTAACGGTATCACTCTATTCTGCTTTGTTCCATTCTCACCTAGGACACCAGTTCTGGGCACCAAAGTTTTAAAAGGGTATCAACAAACTGGAAAATGCTTTTATTTAAAATGCATCTCTGGGTTATTTGTGGGGCATAGGAATTCGTTCAGTCCCCCGCCAAAAATATATATATAGTTCAGCCCCCCACAAGGTCTGAGGGACAGTGGACCGGCCCCCTGCTGAAAAAGTTTGCTGACCCCTGCTCCAGGTGGTAGGACCCAAACCAATTGATTCAAATTTCAAGGCAAAGGATTTACAAAACCTTAGAAATACCTTTCCAAAAGGATCAGTTTTTCAACCATAGGGCAGGCTGGCTTGAAAAGTAGTGGAATGTCCTTCATCAGAGGTGACCCTTGCGCTCCTTTTCAACTTAATAACACCTTTTCAGTTTTATATATATATATATATATATATATATATATATATATATATATATATAATGTTTTGATGCACATCATTTGATTTACTGCTATAAAATGTGCAACTATATGATTAAGTAGGTCTTCCCCCAACGTACAATGGGCATATGGAATTGTCATTAAAGGAGCTTGTTTGTTTGTTTGTTTGTTTTTAATCACCTTTCACAGGCTTGAACACAAAAAAGAACTGACAAAACTTGTTTCGCATATTTCTGTACCTTTTTTTCTTGTTTCCCCCTATTTGTGCTGACCTGTTGCCATTAGTGATTTCATGTATATTTAAGACAATGGTCACCTGATCTTTGGAATCAATGAGAATTTTTTTTTAAAAAAGGATTAATAGAAAACCATAGGCTTGCACAATGTAACAGACGTCAGCTATTCATTTGTTTCCCCCAAAGATGGGCCCATGAAAGTTCTTGTTCCTCAAAAGTCAACCTCTACAATGCACACTACAGTGTGTTACTGCAGAAAACTGCCTGCAGAGCAACCTGACTCAAGGCCAAAATATATACGACGTTAAATGAATATAAGATTTAGCATGCAAATATTAAAGACTTTGAAAATTAGGTTGGGGAAAGAATCAATACCACTGTGCATAAGTAGGGTATTTTCCTTAATAATAATAATAATAATAATAATAAAACAAACCCTTTTCCCTGTGTGCCACAGTCTGCAGAAACTGTCCCTATCCCCAAAGCTGATACTAGTCCTGGGAAAGAAGCTTTTATTTAGGTGAGAATTAAAAACTAATACAGGTGTTACAAGGTTAAGAAATTAAGGAAAATTACAAGTTTTCCAAAGAAACAGATCTGGAGAAAGATTTCATTCCAACTCCATATATGGTAGTCAGACCCTAGCAATCAAAATCTTTCCATTGAGACTGTGTATCAACGATCATCTCTGCTGCATAATAAAACCTATTGCCCCCTTACTGCAATTCTTGATAGTATGAAGAGTTGATCTAGCATCAGTAGCTTGATAACTTTACCAACACAAGTAGGAAGGCAAAAGCCTCATTGAAGGGTGTAAGAAGCCTGTTCGGTGTATTCCTAATTACAGCCATTTCCTCTTGGGCTGCATAATTAAAAGGCAATAGGAAATTCAAACCAGATTACAAGCAATTAATAGTCTAGGCAATTTCACACACACAACCAAATAAAGCTACAATTCCGCCTCCGTCCCCCCCCCCCCCGCACATTTTTAGAAGAGTAGATGAACACATAATCAGATAGATATTCTTCAGGAGTGGGACACAGTGAAGGTCTCTCTCCAATACTCTCAGACCAGAATATATGCATCTGTTGTAGCCATGTTGATCATACTTATGGGGGTTTGTTTTCGCTTTTCTAAAGTACAGCTTTAAGAATGATGAAAACCTGCAAAATGTCCTCAATATCATTATATCCACTGATGGCTTTGGTTATATGGCTTGGTGGCAAACCAGGGTTTGCATCTGAACCGGGCATAAAAGTTGAGGGGTACAGAATAATGTTTAGTCTATGGCCCCAATAATTGGTAACCCACCTGTTCTTATCTGCATAAATTAGTCATCCAGTTATGCTTTATAAGGTGGCAAACTCTTTAGCTTGGCTTGCTCTGAATCACTCTTCTTTCAAACATTCTGTGCATCTCATTCACATTAACATTTCCCACCTTTGAGTAACTATGTTGATTTCTGAGTTTCCCATCACTTTGCTTTGGGGAAAAGATCTTAGCATGTTTTTCCTACATCAGCATATGCTTCCTCCAGCATGCATATTGCACTTCCCACTTCCATCTGTATGTGAGATGCCCCTGTCAGCAAGCCACATTAAAACCAATGGTCCTAAAAGCTCCACAGCAGACCAAGTACAGTGGTACCTCTGGTTACGAACTTAATTCGTTCCGGAGGCCCGTTCTTAACCTGAGGTACCACTTTAGCTAATGGGGCTTCCCACTGCCGCCGCTGCACAATTTCTGTTCTCATACTGGGGCAAAGTTCTTAACCCGAGGTACTACTTCTGGGTTAGCGGAGTCTGCAACACAAAGTGTTTGTAACCCGAGGTGTTTGTAAGCCGGGGTACCACTGTATTATTAGAAAATTGTGTTCACATTTTATAATTGGCATGCAAACTTGTATTTGTGCTGGCCTGTGCTAAAAAATAACAGCTTCAGCTTCCAGGTTCTCAAAGAGGGCAGAATATGGAATGCCACGTAAACAGAGACCCAGGTCAGGCCCAGAAATAAGAGATATACAATTCTTTCAGAAGGATGACATGATGTGAGCTTGCCCATGCCATTTTCATGTGCACATTCCCTACACCCGCAGTTTAGAAGCAGTGGAAATGGCAATAACAGAGGCTAATGCAGAGATACCACAATGCCTGTCAGCCTTGGATTTGCAGCCTCAACACCTGCAAGGCTGCATCCCCATTCTGTAGAACGCACATAGGACATTGTAGTAATTATTTGGGGGGCATGTAAAGTTTAACTTTACAAGGTGCTCATTCTTGGTAAAAAAAAGGGGGGCACAGCTATCAAGGATGACCTCATTGCTAGCATCTGACACAAGTGAAAGGGTCTTTCACATCATCTGCTACCAAATTCTTCCAATTGGAGATGCCAAGGATTTAACTTGGGACCTTCTGCATGCCAAGCATGTGCTCTCACTGAGCTATGGTACCTGCATTGGGAACAACAGCTGAGCTCTATGCAAGTGCAATGCCCATTCCAGAGAACAACCTCTCGCTATCCTGTGCCATGCATTGTGTTATATATTTAAAAGCAGCATCAACAAAGATACAACTGGTACAAAGCATGATTGTTATTGAAGTTGTTACTAACGCTGCTTATAGGGCATTTTACCATGCCAAGTCTTTCACAGGGCTCACCACAACCCCATGAGGTAGGCAAGGCTGAGTGATTCCTATGCAACAAATGATGCAGTGAAGGTGAGAATCTAGGACTTGCCTCCAAATCACCCCCACAAGTCCATTTTTGATGTGATATTTGAATTTAGGCTCTCCTCGACTTTTTGTTCCCCTCTTCTATGAGTGCCACAGCAAATAAATGCAAAGAACACCCAAGCCTTTAGGAACAATTGTGAATTAAATTTCTGCTGTGTAATTATAATTGAAGAGGTGTAGATTTGGCTTTGGCTGGTTATTTATAGATTCACGTTGGAATTCTATTTATACTTGACATTTTCCAATAATCCAATGAAATAACTCCCCACAAGCATTCAAACAGATGACCTTGCCAATGCCTTCTGGGGCTTCAAATCCATATGTATAAAAGAAAGAGGGGAATATATTATGAATCAGAGTGGTGAAAGGAAAAATGAGTCACATCCTCCTGATTCAAAGGGTGAGATGCTAAGCAGCTCTCTTTTCTTTCTTTCTTTTTAAAAAAAACACTTAAACTCCCGTTACAAGAAGTATGAAATCAGCTATCCCAGATGGGGAAACAATCATCCAGAAATGTACGCATTTTCTGCCCCACTGCTCTGAGAACGCTTAGCATTTTTGCCTACTACAGATGCTGAGCTATCTCAATAATAGACTGGAAAGTGTTTGGATTTCCCTCAAATCTTTATAAAAGCAGGGAAATCCTATTTTTCAATATATCCAACAGAAACAGTGCTTTTTGCATTGGTGAGTGCAGTATGGATGATCATGTACTTAAACAACCCTTGCATGCAAATTTCCACAGGGTGGTGAAAATTCATCCTTTGTATAGTATCTTCGTTTTACCTCTAGGATGTTTTTTAAAAATTCATACTTTCATTCATCCTATCATTAATGTTAGAAATCATTATTAATAAGAGGACAATAGGTACAACAAAAAGGCATGGTGAGTCGTCCCCAGATTGTAGGAACAGTCTGTTGAGCATCAGACACAGCCAGGAAAGGAGTTAATGCATTTTGGAAGCAATGCCTTGCCTCTGCAATGTGACAATTCCGATATGGATGCAGCTCTGGCTGGCTGTTTGGCAGGTAACAGACCTAGTAGCAAAAGGATTGGGTCTGTGTACCAGAGCAGATCCTCTGATAATGTAAGATGTGGTTTCTATTTATTTAATGATGTTCTTGACTTGCTATTTCAAGGGGGTGAGGGATGACCAGAACACAGGCAAATAAGAGAAGGCACTGCCTGCTCACTAACCTCTTGTAGCTCTCCCTTTCACTCTACGCAGCCATTTGCCTTTGTAGCAAAGCCTATGCTACAGCCCTGCAAGCTTGGGTCAGTATAGCCAGGTTTGCTTTGGAAACCAATTCCTTCCACGCAGTCTTTTTGAACAAAGCTATTCCTTTAATCACCCCCAAACTTCCACAAATCTGTCTTCTTATGACAACTAGCCCCACTAATGAAATCCCTACCAGACAAGGTATGGCAGAATGAGGATTTCTAAAAAATAATAATAATAAATTAAGCTATAAGTACATAAAATATGGAGATACAATCACATGGAAAGGAGAAATGGATGCTAATTTGTAAGGAGAAAGAAAAACGTTCTGAGAAGTAACTCAAGGAGACTCTTAAATTGAATACTAAATGTGTGGTTTATGCAAGGTGGCAGCTTTTTCTTTCCCAGAAATCATTCTTAAAACCATGGCAGAGTCAAGAAGAAACAACCGGTGCATGATTGTGGAATCCCCAACTGACAAGTGGTTGCTGCAGCTTTGGTTCTGAGGCACCCCTTCCTTTTACACACGGTGGCCCTTATTTTAAATGGTTGTGTTCTTTTTTCCAGAACACCGCAGTCCCATAAACCACCATGGATAGCCGGAACTCCAAAGAGCCCCATGCACAGTTCTCTGGTGTAGCCTATTATTATTATTACAAATTAAAATAAATCAGGCACCTTCACACAACGGGCACAAAACCGTGAATATCTGCATACAGAACTTAACCCTGCAAAAGCACTCGACCAACAGCCTTCAAGCCCAAGTGGGAAGTTTCTTCGCCTTCACGCCTTCCTCCACAACCCAGCCCCACCAACCCCTCTGCCACTTCAGCTTCCTCGCCCCCCACCCTTCGCAAGAAACTCCGTCCCCAACTTTAATGCCTTTTTTTGATCTGCAAACCTTCACGCACCAAACAGCCGTCGCTTTGCGAGGTGGGGAGGGGGGGGGAATCCGCAAGAGCCGGGATGCGCCTTATTGATTGTGTGCAGTGCGCGCACAATAGAGGCAAGGAAGGAAGCTGCACACACACACACACACACACACACACACACACACACAAAATAAAGACAACGACCACAACCCCAAACGGGGAAGGAGCGCCCATCCACGCCACAATCTACCCCGCTTCCATTTTGCCAAGTTCCCCTCACCCCTTTCTCGCCTTGCACCCCCCCCCCCCAGCTCTACACACGCGGCTTTTGTTCCCCTGCCGTCTCCTGCTGAGCCTCACGGTTCCTTTACCTGGAGCGCTTCGACTAGGATGTTTCGCCTCGCCGCTTTTCTTGCGCCCGCTCTCCGTCTTCGGCTCCAGCCGCTGCAGCACCTTGCGCGGCTGATAAGCGAGCCCTCCTCTTCCCCCTTCTCCTCCTCCTCCCTCCTCCTCCCCAGCCGAGCTTGTTGCAGGCTGGCGGGCAGCCTCTGGTTTAGTCCGTCGCCACAGCAACCCCCGGCGAGAGGCGCGCGCGAGAGGAGCAGCGCCCGCGCTGATTGGGTAGCTGCGGCATATATGCAAAATGGGCCGGGCCTGGGAAGGAGCTTCTTCGCCGGGGCGTGTCGTAGGCGAGCGTGAGGGATGCACCTGCTGGGATCCCACGAAGCTGCTGTTCCAGAGGGCGAAGCGGGTGCTTCCAAGGCAAGGATAGGGCAAGGTTGCCTGAAAGGGGCTTCTCTGAGCAAAATGCTCCTTTCACTCCCAACGCATCCCCCCCCCCCCGGAAGCAGGTTTATGTCCACGAAGATAACGCCAGACAAAAGATTTAGGGAGCTCTTATCTCGCGCAGAGAATGCCATTCTTGAATATTTCCAGAGGAGGGGCTGTGTTGGTCTGCTGCAGCGGGGAACGAGGAACAAGTCTCGTGGCACCTCAGAGACTTCAACAAATTGACGGTGGCAAGAGGATAAGTATTCATGGGTTACGGAAAATGGTCCACAAAAAGCTTGTGGCAACGCCAGAATAAATTTGTGAGTCTTTTAAGGTGCCACAAGACTCTTTGTTATGATTCTCAAAGTTGAAGGTGCTACCACTGCTGTTTATGAATGCTTTTGGGACTTGGGAGTCCCAAAGGGCCAAGGTCATATGGGATTTTCATGAGTGACCGAATGAGCTGACATTCAGTGAAGAGAATTGCCAACAGGTTAGAGTTAGGTCAAGGTTTAGTCCGATTTTCCATATCAGCTGAGCTTCCAGTTCTGCAAAAAAAAACCAATATACCTGAATATAGCGTAATTATTATTACTATATTAAGTTTGTGTACTGCCCTTCATCCAAAGATCACAGGGCGGTTCACAATAGGTTCATAATAGGCCATGGGGAGCAATGTAATCCCCAAATAGGGTACAAATTCTGACTAAACAAAAGAAATTTCTGACAAAGCTGTTTGACAGTGGCCTGGACTACCTTGGAAGGTAGTAGCCTCTTCTTCATTGCAGGTTTTTAAATAGTGGTTGAATGACCATCTGTCAGAGATTCTTTAGCTGTCATTTCTGCAGGGGGTTGAACTAGATGACCATTGGGATTCCTTCCAACTCTACAATTCTGATTCTTAGTGTCGTCATCTCCACAAAAAATCTGCACATGCAGCTCTTTGCATAGTCTTTTGACCGATCCTGACCCAAGTGTTGTTTCTCAATTGATAACACTATACTTTCTTTGACCCTGGGAGTAAGATGATACAGTACTGTGTTTTTAAAACATTGTATTTGATAATGCCTGATTTACTACGGGGCTGATCAAAAACAAGGCACTGTTGCCCAGTAAGAGGAATATTTTATTTATGCATCCATTCTACTCCATTTACAAGACTCGAGATGGATTAGTGTCAGAACAGCATGTGTTAAACACCTGTTGAAAACAGAATATATGTGTTTTTTTAATGGAGCAATGTGACTTGTCCAGTTTGCTGTCAGTGCAAAGGCAGTTATCACAACATCTAATCTATCCTTCATTTCTTTGAATATATATAAATACACCTAATTCTGTTTCCTGGAAGAAGAAAAACACCAGCAGTTTCTCAGTAAGCTTTGTGCATTTATTCACACAATAGCTGAGAAAGGATCTTTTGGGCTTGGAACCTACTGACATCAGTTTTGACAGCCCACTGAGATATGTTAAAATAAGCTGCTGCCTGTGCTAACTTTGCTTTTCAGGGAGCCCTTTGTCACCACAGATCTCTAGTTACTGGAGGTCTGAATTAAGGTGGGAAACAGGGTTTATTAGGAAGGAAGTACCAGGAGCAAATGACTAGATGATGTCAGGATTCTGCTTATTCAGGGACAATAATCTACCTGTTTGTTTAAAGTGATGGTTCTCCATTGTAGGAACCTGTGACGTATAGGACTCTTTTGCTTCCCACACTTATCAAGATGAATTTTCCAAATGTGTTCTGTGGCCGTTTTGTCGCTTGAGGCACTGTGTGCAGATGAATGGCTGTTATTTGTTATTTCTCTTAATTTGTATCCTTCAGAGGTTCACTCCTTCAACTGTAACAACATTGCCCCAGCCAAGCAGTATTATCTTAAGGTGGGAGGTAGGATGGGATGTGATTCAACAAATTGTTTCAATTCATCAAAACTCCAGAATTGTACAATAAATCTAAAATGGCCTCATGGGCCAGTTTGGACAGCAGGCTTATTCCCTTCCCTCACAGAATGTGTGCTAGTCTGAGGTGAATGCATCGGAGATGACAGAGCCTCTGCTCTGAACTTTCTTGGCCTCTGATGGGCTCCTTGGGTGACCTCTGCACGAGGACCCTCAAATAAATCCTTATTATTGCTGCTGTTATTGTTGATAATTTATGAATAACTTTTAACGTGTGCACCAAGATTATTTACGAACATCACAAAAAGAAGCTAAAAATGGTTTTTGAAAACAGAAAAAAAATAATTGAAGACGAAATACAAAGTCAACATGGATGGCAGAGAGGCCTTTTCACCCAGCTGGAAAAACCTGTTGGAACAAAAATGTCTTCATTCCCTTCTGGAAAGTACAGACAGTGGCACTTGTGTAATGCTATTTCACACCACAGGGGCAGCCACGTTGAAAGCCCTGCTCTGAGTTAATGTGGGATGTGTTTCTCATATTTTTGGAACTTGCAGGACCAGCTCTCCCAAAGACTGGGTGTTTAAAGGATAAGGTGGTCTCTCAAGCAGTCTGGGCCTGAGCTGTATAAGGGCGTAGATGTCAGTACCAGAACCCTAAACTCGGCCTGGTAGGTGATTGACAGCCCATGCAAATTCTACAAACAAGGTGTTATATGCTGGTGGTAGTTTGCCCCCACAGGCAGTGTAGCCACCACCTTCTGCATTAGCTGCAGCCTCTGAACCAACCTCAAGGGTAGCCCCACATAAAACACATTGCAGTAATTCAACAGTTGCATGGGCAGCTGTAGTGAAGCTATCCCAGTCCAGGAGCAACCATAAAAGGCACTCCTAACCACTAAGGACATCTGTACGTTCAGTGGCAAAGCTGGATGTAGGACCAACTCCAAACAACGTACCTGATCTTTCAGGGAGTGGAACCCCATAAAGGACAGACAAGTTACTGATTTATTGGACCTGGGAACCTCTCACTCACAGAGCCTCCATCTTGCCAGGATTCAGACATGGTTTATTACAGCTCATCTAGCCAACCACTACACCCATACACTGGTCCAGGGCCTTCTCCAGATCATGTAATATTTGCCAATTATTCGTTCTTGCATTATTTTTACTCCAAACCCAAACAGGAAATCTGCCCTCCCTGATTCATACTAGGTTACAGGCAAATCTACGATTCTTAATTCACATTGATGATTTGTGACTTCAGAACTGGGAAAGTGATAAATTATTACTTCGAGTTAATGCAGAGTGAGAAAGGGGCACAATCTCATTTATCTTTTCATCTATATTCCACTCCTCTTTGGTTAGCCTCACTCTTTCTGGACTTGGGTGGCTTTCTCACAGTTCCTGCTAGAAAAAGGCGTATTATAATGTGACTTCTAAAAGTGTCACTAAAATAACAATGGCATCAATGCATCCTATCATATAAGGCTAGGCAACTGTAGCAGACAACCAAAAACTGGGTGACTAAGCAGCCCAAAAAATGCATATTGCTGCAGATCCGATAAAATAAGTTACAGACCAAATATGGTCATAGGTTCCTCACTGCTTCTTTAAGACAAGGACAAAGAAAGTAACTTTGACATTATAGTAAAAACTGTGTATTACAAACTGCATGTTAATAATAGGTCTCTGGCCTAAATACGGCTTTCTCAAAAGATAGTCTTTCTGAAGCAGCAAACAGCATTTAATGGAAAAATGAGGTGACTTCAAAATTGTTTTGTGATATGATGGAACCTCAACAGTGGTTTTCTTGCAAATAAATAACAGATAAAACATTGATTGCTTGGACAGAGATCTGTATATAGATTGTTTACAATGATATCTATTCTCTCACAGGGGACCACTCATTAAGATTAAATTTAGAATCCCACTCAAATCAATTAAAAATTTCAACATTTAAATGGTGTGCATGAATAGAGCCCCAAAATACATACATTGAATGATGGAAATATGGTTGAAATTCTGTACTGGGAGGTTTGTAGAGCTCAAAAGCCAATGTGTTTGTACTTAAACGTAAGTAAACCAACCCTGACCCAGCCCTCTGGCTGGTAGCAGAAAGCTGTTTTCAGCCATTAAAAGAGGTATCTTACAGGAGCAGAATCCCAAGATAAAATGGTAGTAGAGACCACACAGCCCTGGAGAGAAGTAGAACCATGTTTATGCTGATGATAAATAGTCTTGTATGGCGAACTCCACTGACACTTAGATACTTTTAATCAGCCATTGAAAATGGGGGTTAAAAATGGAAATCCTATTATCTAGGAAACTGCATATTACAAAGGGGGAGTTCATAATCTAGTTCAATGGTGGTAAGTGGCAGAGGCCATTAGCATGACAATGAATGGACTTTTGGTGAGACAGCTCTATAATTCACCAGCTATTTAACACAGGCCGGGGGTTCATTTATTTAGAGGAAATGCATTATGCAGGACACCTTTGTGAACATCTCCCTGTGATAAAAAAGATGCTATAATGAGGATAATTATGAAGAGTTGGGTATAGAGCACTGCACTGCAGTAACATTCATAAAGCAAGGAAGTCCAGTGCAAAAGGTATTGCACACAGTATGGAGACAGAGAGAGCCTCGAGGGCAAAGTCAGGAGCAGCTCCTGAAATGTTTTCACATGTCCTAGAAGCAGGAAAACTCTAGGCTCTTCAAAGCTGTTTCCAAGCTGCTCTTGGAACACATTGCTGCACTGTTTTTAATGAGCATTGCTGATTCACTCTGTGCCTAGAATATGAAGTGGTGGGGAATAAGTCCATTATATAGAAGAAAGCCCGAAGTTTGACACAGTTCCACTTTAAGGTGGTAACTAAGCTACGGATTTGCTGGAGATAAAAAGCTACCCTCTCTCAATAGGTATACAATTTAGAAATATTTCATTGTACTGATGCATTACCCCTGCACTGCCAGTGTCATCATATCACTGCCACACCTCTGTGTTTCATGACATTAGCTGCGGTGATGTCCCAATGTAGTAACAAATGTTATGCATCAAATCTTAAACTTGGGTGGAATCTACACACATATAAAAAAATGTTCTGAAAATGCTTTTTTAAAAAGCATTTTAAAAATACATTGAATTTTCCATAAGGCTCACCATCACCATCTATCGCCACATTGTATACAGTTACACCTCGGGTTGAAATAGCTTTGGGATATTTTCGGGTTGTGCTCCACGGCGACCCGGAAGTAACGGAGTGCGTTACTTCTGGGTTTCGCTGCTCGCGCATGCACAGACGCTGAAAATGACGTCACATGCATGTGCGGAAGCGGCGAAACATGACCTGTGTACACATGCAGTCGCGTCTTACGTTTACTTCAGGATGCAAACAGGGCTCCGGAACGGATCCTGTTTGTATCCAGAGGTACCACTATATTGCACTTAAAACACACTTAAAACCTTTTATTTGCGGCTGTATAGCTGAGTCCTTGGTCTTGTCTTGGTCTGTTAAAAAGGGACTTATTTGTAACAATTTACTATCCTTTAATAATACAAAGAAAAGAACATTGATGGAAGAGAGGTGTATTTCCCAGCCACTCTATGTTAGAGGTGAGAAATCATGTTTAGAATCCAATTTGTCTCCATGAGCTTATTCTGTAAATTCCTTAAAGATTCTACAGTGGCACCAGAGAGACTGTAGGTTAACAGGGGTAGCTACCCAACTATACAATACAGAGAGCAGACCTCCTAAAATCAATAGACTACAATTACTCAAGTAAGTAGTGGGTCTACTCTGAGCATGTTGAGCACTGCATAAAGCAACAGCACATGGAACCTATCAATAAGATTCAGTAGATCAGCTGGAGACTTCCGGGACGGCGCCATCAGCAATGGCAGAGTTCCTCTGACCGAGAGGAACCCGCTCCGTGAAAATCGGGTCTTGCCGCCGCGGCGAAGGCGGAGACCCTTTAAAAATCCCAGGCGGAGGAAGCCTGGGAACGTGGGATTCGGCTGACACCAGGAGCGCCTCCCCTACTCGCAGGGAAACCCTTTTTCGGGGGTCCGAAGCGACGTGGGGTGAGTGGTGCGGTGTTTTGAATCAACCACTACTTTTACGGAGTGAAGCCGCACAGCCGTTGCCGGAGAGCGCTGACTTTTTTCCTGTGGACAATTGGACTCTAAACAAGTACCCGTGAGTAGAACGGAAAATTGGATTAAGTATTAAGAAATATTTTAATTTGGCATTGAAACGGGAAGGTTCTAAACAGGAAGTCCGCCTCCCGTTTTTTTGTAAATAGATTGAAGCAAAAACTTTGTAAGCTAAAGTCTGGAAAGTCGTATATAAAGTTCTAAATTTCCTTCATTCATCACCACCGAAACCCCTCTTGGAAGCAGGAGAAAAGAGGGGGATTTTTGACTGTTTAAGCCTGCAGGAGAGAGAGTAAAGAAAGATAAATTTTCCACCGTCTCAAACCTGGGAACGGGGTGTCAGAGACAGAAATTTATGGGGAAGTTCATCGACTGTGAACGGAACGTCTTTTGACAGACAGTAAAAAAAAAAGAGAGAAATAAATTGACTCCAATGTTGCTTCTTGCAATCAAAAGAAACAAAGTATTTGAAAAGTGAAAGTAACTTTTCTTTGTTGGTCCTGCTTTTAAAAGATGGATACAAATAGAAACTGTCTCCTCTAGAGGGAGCCTGTTAATTTGTGGCCGGAGCTGATCTGGGGACCTCACAGCTGTATGATTAGGATCGTGAGACCAGACTCTAACCTTGGGGGGGGGGGGAAATGTGTTTACAAGAAGTCTTGGTGCTTGCTTTTTGCAAGACAAGTGCTTTGCTGGAGCAGATGCATGAGAAGATGGATTTGATGACTGTTGCAGTTAAAAACTTTGGACAAACGGCGAATACCCATATAGAAACCATTCAGGAACCAGCCCAGGATTCCGTTTTGATAGGGCAAGCGCAAGTGCAGAAGAAAATGGAGGAGGTTGCTGTTGAACCTCAAATAACACAAATGGAGAGATCCAAGGCCTTGCAGGAGTATAAGCCGCTGTTCTTGAAGTTTGAATCTGGAGTGAACCGGGGGGGTCTGGAGTTGTGAGGGCTCTTAATTTTGGAAAGACTTTGAAACATGTTTTTAAATACTTTCTGGATTACAGTGTTGACTGTGGGGAATGGGACTGTGGGGAATGGGCTGATCTGCTGAGGAGAGATGGAGATACTTTTGGATTGGAGTCCTCCCGAGACCTACCCCCCCAATGAGAAAGGAAAGAAAATAAGAAAAAGATCAACAAAAGACAAAGTAAAGGGCAGGTATAAACAAGAAGACGACCTGCAGAAGGGACATGGAAAAGACTTAAGAGCCTCGGACATAAGAGCACCAGGTTGATGGATTAGATGGACGAGAAAGGACTGACAAAACCCGAGACCAGGAAGAAGAGACGATGGATGAAGATTGGAAGAAAGTTTCAAAATTTATTTAGAAAAGTATTGTAAAATTAATGAGTATTAGAAAAATGTTGGAATGAAATTATTTGGCTTTAGCAGAAATGTTAAAAAGAATTATGTAAGAATATGTTATGGTTAAAAGAATTTGGTATATATAAGATTTAAGTTTTAAGTTTTAGGGTTTTTTTAGGGTAAGATAAGGTTAAAATAGATTAAGGTAATTTAAATGACAGAATATTGTGAAAGATGGAAAGGATTTGCTGAGATAATTAACAACTAGAATACAAAAAAGGGAGGTGTGAGGAGGTCATTGAAATAAGTTAATGAAAGTTAAGGATTTGGGAATATTAGACTTGTTTTTTAAATGTTTGTTTTTGTTTTTGTTTTATTTAGACACACTGTGTTTTGTTATTTGGTTGTTGTTTTTTTTGACTTTGGTTTTTATTGATCTGTATTGTTTAATTGTCATGTTTATCTACTTCTTTCTCTCTTTTTCTTGTCTTTTCTTTCTTTCTTCTTTGTAACTTTAAAATTCTCAATAAACATCATTTTTTTTAAAAAAAAGATTCAGTAGATCAGCTAGCCCTAGAAAAGTTCTAAATGAGGGAAGAGAATATAGCTTATGCCATGCAAAACGCCTGGTAGTTGAAAGTCTGGCCATTTTTGTAATGCTTGAGAAACGCTTCTGATCATGAGAGTCTAGGCCTATAATTTAAAATGCAATCAGAGGCAGGATCTCATAAGGATTCCTCCATTAGTTTCTCAAACTATTTAATACCACTTTTCTCAGACAAACTAACCTAATAATAATGCTAATTCATTAAAACAGAAAAATAAATTTCATAGCACATCTAAAGAAGATAAAACATGTACAAATTGGTTAATCAGAAGACTCAAAGCAGAATGGGTTTGGGATGACATTGTAAGTCAAGCGTGGGGAACCTCAGTCAGGGGCAAGCCAAATGCAGCTCTCTATTGGGCTCTTTGCACTCTCTCTAGGCTACACCCCCTTCTCTGCAGGCCACACCCCCCACACTGGCCCTGCTTTGCACCTGAATGCTTTTGCCTGGCTGGAATGACCTCTTGAACTCTGATGATTGCTCTTGCTTGTCTAGATGCAAGATAGAGATGGGTGCTTTAGCTTACTGTGCAGAGCTAAAGCTGGCATTGGTCGCCTCACACACTTTTGCATCTGGCTCCACACACCATTGGCATCTGACCCTTGGAAGGCTACCTAGAAAAGGAATATGGACCTCAAGCTGAAAAAAATGCTCTAAGTCATAAGGGGACTGAAGATTCTCTCTGTTGACCCTTGCTTCCTCCCAGAGCTCCGAGGTTCTATTTCCTAGCCTATACATACACACAGCTAACTCCCCACAAAATTAATTTCAAAATCCCACTTTTTTTTTAACAATCCAACTGAATTTCACAAATATTTAAAATGTGAATTGTAATGATTTCCAAGTCATCTGAATGGTAAAATTTAGATATTCTGGTTAGAGGTCAAAATCTGTAAAACAGGAACTTGATAACAGCTATATATAGATATATTGCATAAGTACAAACTCATTTTATTAACTAAATATTTTGAAAAAATTAAATCATTTGGACAGCATTGGATGGACTGCTTGCTTCCTTTTTTCACAGAAGACATAGTCCAGACTATAATCTTGTTCATTCTAGATTATGTTTTGCTGCCACCAATGAACAAAGTTCCCACTTCAGCATTCAGATCTTCTGAGACAGCCTCTTCCTCTAAGAAGTCTTCTTCCAGCTTCTTCCACCATGGCCACCGTGTATATTTCAACATGGTGCTGTGGGACTGTTTGGCTTTGGCTACTACAGGAACTGATCTACTCATAAATATATTCAGATCTTTCGTAGTGGATTCTGTTAGACTTGGAGCACCTGTGACAAACGGAGCAAAAGAATCATAATTACTTTTTTTCTTAAAATACAAGGTTGATCATCTTGGGGCTATATTTATTCCATTTTCCATTATTTTGAGTCCTTTCATGGGCCAGATAAAGTGGGTTTATCCCTTTCATTTTTATAACCCGATTCTTCTATTTATAATTCAGTGAATCCATCTTCTGGGCACTACAATTAAAAACCAAATCTCAAACATGCTGGGAAGGTACATGCCACATATAGCTCACAATGGCAAAGGGCAATAAAAGAAGAACCCCAGCATACTGAACTTCATTTTGTTTCGTTTTTTGATATGGTAGAGGGTTACTGCCCACACAGCAAGTGGAAGATTTCTGTAAAGTTTCCTAAAGCACCTTTACACAAATACTCTCAGCATTAACATCTTAAAGGGGAAGAAGACCAAAATTGCCATGGAATCAACAGGCTACATGGCTCATGAGTCACACAACCAAATATTATCTCTGGATGAGTGCTGTGGTGTCTACTATTAGCATGAATCAGCCCCGACACTCACTTTCATCAACATTTACCACAATATGGGAAGAAAATCAGAGCCAGGCTAAAATAATGGTGATGATGAGGTAGACACATACTCATTAGCTGCTCCACATCCGTGTGGACTTGGGCGAGCAATGCCTCTCTATGCTGCTCTGCTTTGCGATCCTGGCTTCTTTTCAACAAATACTGGGCCAGCTTTTCCTGAGCTTGATGATGAAGTTCCCTGCTCATTTCTTGTGACATTTCAGAAGCCTGGAGAAAAATGATAGTGCCTGTCACTGTTAGCGGTTATCAGCTTCAAACCTTTGTGGATGTCTACAGCACAACATTTGCATTTCTTGGGTACTTGTAAATCTAATAACTGTGCAGCTTCCTGTGTTTCCTCCCTGAAGCCATCGATCTATCACTGAATAAATTTAGTTTCCTAATTAGGATTCAGGAAGAAGCAAATTCCTATTATTATATTAATGGGGGAAAGGGAGGGGGGAAAGCACCAAGCAACACCCAATACCTTGTTTCACAGACCAAATAAAGAGGGACCAGTATATTTCTGATATATTCAGAGTTTACGTTAGGTAAACAGCATGGAACTCTAGGTAAAGGCTGTGTACTGATATTGACTTTTCAAGATTTGGCAAGTGATATTGTAGAGCCATCATTACCTCTACTACCCATCAATTTCTCTCTCTACAATAAGGGTCTCTTGTCAAAGTAGTTTCGTAGACTTAAAAAAAATGGGTTTTTTGGGGGGGAAAGCTAACAGCAAAACTGGTACTGCTGCAACAGGTATGCACACAGGTCTCATAGGCACCTCCTGGCTGCAGTTGCTTGCAGCAGCAGCAGCACCACCATTGACCAGCAACATATGAAAGCAATACAAGCAAAATACTAAAAAAAATAAATCTGTAAACATACTGGCAGTCCTTGTGAAAAAATAAAAAGCCCAACTGCATTCCTGTTGACAACTATCTTCCTCAGGGCCCCCCAATTAAGGTTCTCCTATGAAGGTAATATTTCTCTGATCAGGAACACCTACTTTTTAAAGCTTTCCTTAAACACTTTAATATCAGTACCATAAAGGGTGTGTGCATATATGTATGAGCACCCATGCAACCATTTGATAAGTGGAAAATGTTTTGTCATTTATGGAAACGAAACAGACTCACTAGTTCATGAGTTTGTGTGGAATTAAAAAAGCAGTTGCAATTAGGATAGGAGGCAACAGATTTCCCCCTCCCCACTGAGTTATTGCAGTTATCTAACTGCCAATGCTGTATTGTGGCTCCTGTCAAAGTAGTGATTAGGGGCAAAACATTCCTGTTGTTCTATGGATGTGGTTTTCAAACTGTGATCCTAGGTTACCCAGGTTCCTTGGAAGTTACAGGGTCCTTCAGTGAGGAGACAGAGATGTGGCACTGATACTTCCCTAAAAGGCAGCTTTTACCTGTCTTCACCATTACCTGTCTTCTTCTGTCATGCACAGCTCCAATGAGAGCTTTGCGCATGGTCAAGGCTAAAAGAATGTCATGTGTGAACATGCCATATGTAAACTGAAAGTGTGCCTAGACTCCCTGGCAACATGTAGGGTTCCCCAGCATGTCTGTAAGCATTCCTTTGCCAACAAACCAATATTAAAAGGTGCCCTAGCCAAAGGAGGAATGATGATGTACCGGGTGCAGTTTGATGTAGTCATTCACTTTTTGTTGCAAGGATAGCCTCTGTTCATCAGAGAGGTGCTTGGACTGTTTCAAGAGAGAATAAGCTTTCCTTTTCCTTCGCTTTTCCAAGAACTTAAGCACCTGTGGAAACAAAAGTATTCAAGTAACGCAATGTATTTATACAGTCAGAATTTTTACAGCAGTATAGTTTCTTGATGTCCTTCTGGTTAGCTTGGGAATCCACACACACACACACACACACACACACACACAAAAATTCATGAACAAATAGTATCTTGTATTCCATTTAAACTAAAACATTATTACAGTATTCTTGCTATAAAAAAACAATAAAACAAGAGTGACTCTTAATTCAGTGCTCTGTCAACATGGAAATGAATACAAACCTTTAAGCTCAGATCTGTTACTTGAGTATCTAGTCCAGCACCCTCCTTTCTGCTGAGTTACGATGAAAGCTAAACCACTGAGAAATATGCATGTTTCTCCATTTGATTTTTTTCCTTCAGGCAGATACAACTCGGCAAGGCTCAATTTAGCTGGAGAATGTGGTTCTGCAAGTGCAGCTTCAAATAAGAACTTGGCCTCCATAATGTCATCAAATTAAAGAATAATTTTATAAATTGGTAGGAAGGATTGGCCAGGGGGCGGCGGCGGGGGGGATGATGAAGCTAGAAATGGTTTTCTAGGGTAATATTCAGCACTATGGTCTCAAGTCTTTGACAGCTTCTTGTAACAGGTTTTTAAAAGGGTTGTTCAGATTTTTGCAAATTTTTGCTATGAAGATTCTGAAGACTAATGCTCCAGCTTAATTTTTAAAGCAGCTGCTTATAAGTAGACTATACTGGAAGCTTTGAATTAAAACATGAATGTTAACTGTTTGGGTAAATTTTATGCCATGGCAGCACTTGGTTGCATACTCACCGCTCTCTGAATGAGGACAGCTGCTTTATACTGCTTAAGAGACTTCTTTTGATGATGAAAATTTCTCCTTTCCCTAAATGCTCTCCAGTATCTTTGGATAGTTATGGCTGACTTCTCCTCCATTTCATGCATATGCTTATCTACCTGACCTAGGAGATAAAGGAGGCAAATTTCTGAATATGCTTGGGTTTCATGGGAGACTCAACACAAGCCAGCTGGTTTCAAAAAAATTCAGCTCAAACAGCAGAAGCAGACCTTTTTCTAAACCAACATCCAGATACGTTTGAGGACATTTTGGTAAGGATGGAGATTTGTGGTCCAGCTGCTACACAGATGAGACCCTGTACCAAAGTCCAAGAGGAAATTATTCACATAGAGTTCCTCTGGGGAAATTAAACTATTCACATTCAATGAGCAGTTCAGATCCATGCGTAGAATTGCATTCCTGACAAGGGGCCGCAATAGTCAATACTGAAAGAAATAGATAGAAGAAATTGCTCAGGGAAACGAAGTGGATGGCTATCCTGCCCCAGGCTTTGATATTAAGGATGTTCCAGTACAGTTGTTACCTTCTAAAATGAAGGAAACAGAGAATGAGTGGGGGAGAAAGCACATAAACATAAGGCAAAGAAATGATTCACACATTTACTGAATGAGAATCGAATTACATTCATTTCTCCCATCAACTTGTTCTAAGTATACATTACCACTATCTCCCCATAAGTCCTAAAGGGGCCCAAGGGAAAGATGCTGATACATCCTTGAAAAAATACTTGGCCATTTAAGGAAATGGCATCTTGTGCCTCAAATACTAAGTCTTAGGAAACAGAGTATGAATAGAAGTTTTCAGCTAACAAGAAAGAATATGGGAAATTTGTTTCTGCATGGAAAACGCCCTTCATGCTACTATAATAACCATACCTGGATGAACTATTTCCAGTAGCGTAAGCTGTCGTTCATGGAACAGCCTCATGGCTCTCTGTCTCCGAAGCTGCAATTGTTGGCGGAGTTCCTCCTCTTCTTTCTGCTTTTTTAAACCTTGCAACTCCTGTTTTCTTTTAGCTCTACAACAACAAAGTTTTAGAAATTACAGGGGGCAGAGTATTCTACATTTAAACAGGTCTGCATTTATCATGCAGATGGGAACATGTACCCCAATAGTCTCAAGATGCACATGTAGTGGTATGCACAAACATACTTTAAATCATGGCCTGGATGCTTAGCGGTGAAGCCTGAAATTCTGATTGGAACAAAAGATTGCGCCGAAATCTGGAAACCCATTACATGCGAAGTCTGCCCTCTACTGGATTTTCCAAACATGTGCCCGTTAAGATACCTTTTTAAAATGCATTTTATTATACAGCAAACCCCTCTATACTTCTGCAATCAATTAGCTAATGTAGCACCAAGAAATTTGCATGCTGCTTAACATATTTTCACAGCAACATTCCTGGCCAACACAATATTATGAGAGGGAAAGAATGTAAGTATTAGGGAACTTCAAAAACCTAATCTCTAGCATAGGTAGAGAAGTTCCACAGATCAGCAAGCATGTTATTGGAGAAACTGCACAAAGGGATGAGGGTCACAGTGACCTGTAGAGGCCACATGCAGGTGCTGGGTGAGACCAGAAGAGAAAGCTGCCCCATGATCTGCCTTTGCAATCACCTCACCACTTTCTTTTTTCTTCTATAAGGGAAGAAAAGAGAAAGGAATGGGAGAACGGACAAGGGAGTGGGAGGAAGAAGGGCTCCATCACATAACCATCTGTTTGTATCCACAGGTTTGTAATAAACCAAAGGTCTTGCTTTACCTGAAATTTCTCTGCAAGATTGTTACTGTTTTTGGAAGCTGCTTTAATCTTTTTCGTGTTTGAAATCCTCTCCATGCTGCTTGGATTAAGCAAGCTGCTTGATGTAGTCTCTGAAATAAACAAGTCAGAGCAGTGTTTTTTATCTAGGAAAAACAGGTGCCGGTACTCACCATGAGTTGTTACAGTAAGTACGACACTTTTTAACAACAACAAAAAGAAGCTGGTACTGCGTACCCTTGAGTACTCCCTGGGTCTGAGGATTATGCTCATTTCCCCATTGAGCACAGTGACAATATGAATACAACTTTAATGCTTTGCATCTCCCCCCTGCCCCATGTCAATTTAAACTATTCTTCGGTGGTGGGGTGGACAATGTCATACTATTATTTGCCAGAACAGTTCCTGCGTGAATTCAAACTGATCTGCCTCTTTCCAGGTAATACAAAACCTCAAGTTTACATGATCCAAATGAAAACAAGAATTCATTTTTTAACAACCATTAGAAATGTTCTGAATATGCAAGCATTATCAGCCTGCCCAACGGAACAATGCACACAATCATCTCAAGGCAACATACAATTTAAACAGCTAACAACTGCTTTAAAAATAACAAAAACCACAGTTCAAGTCCTTTGAGAAAGGTTTGATCCCCTCCTCAACCACCAGTGTCCATTTCGCACTCTCAGAGTTGTCAAGTGACAACCTGAAAATCCCCCTGCACCTCAATATTCACTGATGAATTGGGAAAAGATCCATTTGCTTAGCTTTAGCTTGTGTGCCAGCTGCACCTTTTCCTGGGCCATGCTGATCAGGCCAGTGTCACTCATGCCCTGCTCACATCGAGACTGCACTGCTGCAGGGGTTGTGGGGAAGAGTGTTTAGAAACTGACAGGGACAAAATTCAGCAGCCAAGTGGTTTCTAGTGCTTGCTTTTCAGAACTTATTACACTAGCTCTTGTCCATTTGCACTGGCTTCAAATTCATTTGAGAGCACAATTCAAAATGTTGTTTATTACCTCTAAAGAGCTAAACAGCTTAGGTCCAGGTTATCTGGAGTAGTGCTTCCTCCCATATGAAGTTACCTGTGCACTGTGTTCAACATGTGAGACCCTATTTCATCTTCTCCCACCTTCAGTAGTGCATTACCAGCTTCTGAGGTGGGGAACACAGAGTGGACCCTCTCAGTGCTGGCACCTGGACTCATTTCTGGTAAATGTCTGTTGGCTCCCTTTCTCCCAATTTTAACAATGGCAGCAAAGACTCTTATTCCACTGTGTTTTTAATCATACCTACTTATACGGTGATGTGTCATTAAAGTGACTGCTTATGTGTTTTCATGCACTGTTTTAATGATTTAATTGACAATGTATTTTTGTATTTGAAAGCTGCAATAAAAGAGGGTGTGTGTGTGTGTGTGTGTGTGTGTATGAGATTTATAAACTCTTAGAGGTGTTTCTGTGTTAATTGATCTATTGTACCTATAACATATTGTGAACAGATGTTGGTTGGAGGCACTGAAATACACAGTAATATACTGATGAAACTTTAAGTATAAGCTACTTCCACTACATACAGAACTCAGTAAGATTTCCACCACACCTGTGTTTTGACAGCCTTGTAATTTTCTGAGCACAGCAAGTCCAAAAGCTGATTGAGGTTCCTGTCAAATCCTTTGCCAGTCCACTGCTTGCTTAGAAGGCTTTGTAGTCCTTAATCAGTGAGAGACATCAAGATAAATATGCTGCTTTATAAGAAGCACAGTTAGTTTGCTTATCCTGCAGACACTGGAAAATTATAGTTGTACATGCCAAAGCAGGCAGTAGCATGAATTTTCCTCACAAAAACATGAATGGTGAAAAGAATGAAGTGTTGATACAACTAAAGGTGTTTGCACCTGCAAAGTGAGGGGAAAGCCAGATTTCCCTTCAGCTGGAAAACAAGCTAACCATGGGCCTTCTGGTGTATGAACTAGTATAATGCACACTGGCAAATGCATTTGTCCCAATGGTACAGAGTATTTTCAAATGTACACATAAAACATGTACAGACATGTCATAAAATGCAATATTGAAATGGTTGCAATAGTGCTACAACTTTCTAGGCCATTTATTTTGAAAAAAAATCATATTAAAAATGGCAAAATACTCAATGCAATTAGTACCATGCAGGAAAAAACCAATTTCATATATAATGACAGCTCAAGTATGCTGTCCTGGTTTAATAAAGAACCTACCAAGACAATTGTATTGACTGAACAAACTTGGCATTGGTAATCGGTGGCAGAATGGCAGCTTATGGCATTCACTTTTGGAAAATTTGGAGGGAGTGCACTATGTTTACCCAGAAGTAGTTGCTCTCAGATGTCACAAGAGGCACCTGGAATTAATCTATACATGCTGTAAGGAGCCCAGGTACCAGCTCAATTGAATGGCAATGCAGAATAAAAACTTACTTTGTTGCTTGTCAGTTTCATGGGCTAGCTTCGCTAATCAATTTCAGGTTGGCTTAACTTTATAGATGACATTGACAGTGTTTACATGTAACATTAAACCAGTTTAGCACAGGGACGGGGAGCCTGAAGCCCTCCAGACGTTGTTTGGTTCCAACACTCATCTATTTCAGTCAGTGTGATTAACGGTCAAAAATGATGGGCATTGTGGCCATCCAGATGATGTTGGACTCCAGCTTCCCCACTGTTGGTTTAGCACTATATACCTGAGCATAAAGGAGCCCAAATGAAGCATTAGACTCAAGCACTAGACCATCCCCCTAAATGGCTGGGAGGAGGAATAACGATGATTAAGTTTCACTTTAGCCAATTCCTGGCTTGTCCTTATGTACAAACCAGGAATCCTGGTGTTAAATAAACTCTAGTCAATGTAAAAGAAGCCGACTTAAAACCATGAGTTACAAAGCAGGCTTGTTAACAACTTAGGAGTTTATTTTAAACCTGGACTCCTGGTTTTTGTGTTAATGACAAGCCATTAAGTGAAACCAAATTCTGTTTTATTCTTCTAGCCTTACAGAAGGTGAGAGGGGAAGACTAGTTGAACTCAAGCCTTTACACGGCCGTGCGGAGGCTCAAGCTTATAATGTTACATCATACAATGTATGGATTAGCATTATTGGCAAATGTGCCTATTGCCTTTCCTGTGCAGTAAAAGTAGTGCAACATCAGATGCAGTTATTTTGTGAAAAGGTTTGTACCAAGCATAGAGTTGGATCCACATTATGTTACATGAACCTAGGTCCCATTCAATTCTGGATCCAACCAATAGGATTTATGCTTATCTGAGAGCAAGTCCCACTGACATCCATGTATGGAACTTTAAGTTTTCACATTCAATACCTTTTAGAATTGATACACAAGTTCTAGGCTGTACAAAGTATACCTTTGCTTTTGGAATTATAGTGGGCCTTGACCCTGAAGGGCTAATCAGTGCCAGCGTTACTACAAAATTCTTCCCAAGTCTGAGAAACAGAGTAACAAACCTTTGTAGCGGGTAGCGAATGTTGTCACAAGTTGGGCATCAGACTGTGCAATCAAGAGTAACAGCTTTATAGCTGCATTTCCTATGACAGGATTGATGGAAGACGAAAGCTTGTAAACAAGCTCATCTAAAATGCAGTGCAGGGACTTTTCAGCAACTTGAAGTAACACAGCACTGACATAACAAGAAAAAAGATGGAATGATACTGGAGTCTCTTCAATGGTGCCAGACGGGAGGGGAAGGTAAGCAGATTACAGTAGCTAGCAAGTATTGCACCAAACCCTTTAGTAACTTTAAAATACAACTGTAGTGCTGCTTAAAGGTTGTAAAAGGGATTTCTCTTAATAGTATTGACAAGTAATCAAAATGGATCACACAGAAGAAGTTTTGCTTGGGTTGACTCTGGTTGTACTGGCTTTCATTATATTGAGATTATAAGCTACTACAGTGGAACCTTGGTTCTCAAACGGCTTAGTTGATGAACAAATTGGCTCCCGAATGCCAAAAACCTGAAGTGTTCCAGTTTTTCGGAAGGTGAACGTCTGACGTGGCTTCCACTTGAGTGCAGGAAGCTCCTGCAGCCAATCGGAAGCCATGCCTTGGTTTTCAAACGTTTCGGGAGTTGGATGGACCTCTGGAACGGATTAAGTTCTACAACCAAGATACCACTGTATATTCAAGTGTTCTAAACTACTCTGAGTGGACCACTCTGAGAGGTTCTCTGTACAAGAAAGGCAGGATACAATATTTAATAAATAAATGCACACAATAAAACAAGCTGAACTGATAGATGGTCCTCCAGAGAGAAGAGGATATGGCTGTTGGTTCGACAATATTAAAAGTCGCCTGCCTCTTGAGGTAATGCATTATAAAGCATTCCTTCTAAATTTGGAATCGTAACCATTTGGTGCAGACAGAAAGGACCCCTCAAGGTGTATGAATCTATATGGTATCTCTGCTTAAGTCAAAAAATGATACTGTTATAGCAGGAGGTCATGCAACATATGCAGCAGTTAATGGAATGGAAGAGTTTGTCACTTATCACTAACATATTACAAAAACACCCAGTAGAGGGCCTTGGCACACATTTGCATTCAGCACAGCAATGTCACCTGCTAGTTAGAGGGAATAATAGATGGACTGCCTTGAATGGGAAAGAAATGGGAAACTCCCATAATAAAAGCATAATCCTGAAAATGATGTGAGAACACTCTACCATCAACGGGTAATTAATACACAATAAACTGCTCAAAAAGGTCTTTGCTTTAAGAATCCTGGACGCCTCCTATGAACGATCATGAAGTTCTACGGATGATATTTATGTGGTTATCTTGAACTAAAACTGCCACTAGGAAACCACCTGTCATTCTTCTGGAGCTTTTACTGTGCCTTTAACTCTCTGCTCCTGGCAGTATCTCTTACTCATGTAAATAAATTCAGAGAAGTGATTAGCACTGTATGATAAACTTTAAGATATATTAAGGGAAATGTTTAAATTAAGGTATATCAGTTACCTATTGACTCTTAAAATATTCTGCAACACAGACATCATTATGGTTGAAGTTTCAACATCGTCCGTCATCAGCAGTTGCTGGAAGTGTCTGTTCTGAAGCACTAGGGTGAAAAACAGGAAGAAAACTCAAGCCATGAAGCAATAGCCATGAATTTGTAGTTTTACCAAGGAAAAACACAACAGTTATCTACAAACAAAAGAGGGAAATATTTAATCAGAAACCGCTATGCAGCTATAGTAATGATCTTTCAGATCTTTCTTCCCTTACCATTTGCTGTTAGCTGAATGAATCCACCACACAGCCAGCAGATGGCATCAGTTACTGTTCTGAAACAGTGTAAAAATTCATTCCTCTCTTCATCCTTCACAAAAAAGCAAAAAATTAAGATTATAATTCCTGAAACATTACTTTGAAAGCAACTTATTCTGAAGTTATATACTTGCTGAGCAGGATAGTTAATTCTGAAACTGCCTCCATCCAAACTTCATCAGTCTGAGGTCTGGGAACTCCTTTGCCAATCACCATTAGTGGACAGATGCAGCTTTTAAAAACTTAAAACACTTTTTCTACTGGAAAACTAGCTGGTTCCATGGGTCAGTAATGCTACTACTGTAATCTGATTCATCAAATCCACCAACCTTTTTGGAATGCTGTGAATTAAATCTTTCAACATTTAGTTCAACTTTTTGAAATGCTGCTTTAAGAAAGCATCTACACCACAATATTTGTCCTGGAGGCATGTCATAATCCTGCTTGCATTTTTTTTTAAGTTCAATAAACTATTAGTGATTTAATTTTTACTGGAGCTGATCCAAAATTTTGGTATCCCTTGCTGCCAACCATGGCATCAAACAATATCATAATAGGCCAAAGCTTCCTGCTGTAATATAGTTGTTCTGAGTCCTGATTCCACAGAAGATATGCCCTTGGCATTTGGTATGCAAGGCGCCTGGAGTTGGGGGGCAGGGCAGGGGAAGACTGCCTGAATAAATCAACTATTCAGCATGTTAACATGTCAAGAAGTTACAAAACAGTTCCACTACACAACCTTAAGCTGTTCAGCCTGAATACCTTGATAGCTCGGATGAATCGTGCTTGCAGGCGCCTTCCCAAGAAGAGGAGATTGTCTGCTACAGAAGGAAGTAGCTTATTGTAAAACTCCTCTGGTTCTTCTTTTACCTCAAGGCCCACACAACACTGGCTGAGAAAATAAACACACATACATTTTAGCAATTTGCAGGTAATGCAGTAATACACCCAGGCTAATACACAGTAACACAATGATTTCAAGAAGGGTGGGCTAGAGGCAATTCAGGAATAAAAGCTGTGTAACCAAGGAAGAGTTTACCTTAGTATCTCTGCTATCTGGGCAGCAGTAGTCCAGCCTCCAAGCACTCTTGTGTAATCTTGCTTAAGGACTAATGTGCAGTATTGAACCAGATCATAGTAGTACAAGTCTTGTTTAATTTTTTCTAATTCTTTGCTGCCAGGCGGTGCACTATTTAAAATATCTAGGGAAGAAAAATAAACCGAAACAGATGGACCAGAAGCTTGGGTGACAAAATTATACTTTCTCAATTACAGCATGTGACACTCAAGTACCCTTCTACGCTGAAAAGGAGTATAATATCAAGAAAGATTAAGTGAGCATGAGACAATGTGGAAGCCCAACTACCATCTTGTCGTTACTGCAACACTGATACAGAGGCAATTGCCAGCTAGGAAATCTATAGAACAAACAAACCAGATGATTCATGCGTAGAACGCTTACAGAATACATTATAGATGGATAGAAAAAGATGGGCAAATAAGTCAGTGGGATGGTGCAAAGGAGAATTAAGAAACGGTGGAGATGCAAGTATGATGAAAAATAAGGTGGCTTATAGACGACTTCCTTGTTTTGCACCAATAGAATTACTAGACTCTGGCCACAAAGACTTCCTTTACTAGAAAGTAGCCCTCTAGCAACTGACAGTTCCTCTAGCTATTATGCTGCTGCAGTTCATCAGCAGTCTCTCTCCAGAATGTATATAAGACTTGCCTGTAAGTAGGAGCAACTCTTACCATAGAGATTTTAAGAACACAGAAACAGGCCCATGCGGGGGGGGGGGGGGGAGGTGTAACCCGGTACAATTGTCCCAGGCCTCAGAGGGCCAAGGTGTCAGGGGACCCTGCTAGGGGCCTGCTGGACTTACAATGTCATGCCAAAACCTTTATTCTAAGACTCCCACCCCGGGCCTCAGGCAAGCTCTACGCAAGCCTGCACAGAAGTCCCATTCTAGCTCAAACATAACAAACATACATACAGCTCCCAGTTCTTCCCTTCATCCTTAATTCTAGTTCTTGTGGCACAGCACCTCTTTGGTTCTATTTCCCTACTTTTGCCTTTCAACATTCTATTCCTTGCACAGTGTTAAAAATAATGCAAATTAGATACACTCGTTAAAATTGGTTTAGTTTGCATATAGTCTCTTATGCGCTGGGTACACACATTTCCAATGACAGGCAGTGGAAGGCAGGGAGAGAAAAGTTTATATATTCATGGAGAGAGAGAGATTGTTTCTATAAACACATATACTCTGTTATATCACCCTCTAACAAGATCTCGAGGAACTCCATGACCCCTGTCAAACAGCAATATCATTTATACAGCTGCCGTATTGAAAAAGGACAGAAAAGAAACTAACCATCTCCTATAGATGAGTTCTTTTTCCTCTGTTGGCCTCAAATCAATAATTATATTTGGAAAGACTTGCAGAAAATATAAAATATGCACATATAGACTTTGTAGAATTTTGTTTAGTCGTTTAGTCGTGTCCGACTCTTCGTGACCCCATGGACCAGAGCACGCCAGGCACGCCTATCTTCCACTGCCTCCCACAGTTTGGTTAGACTCATGTTTGTAGCTTTGAGAACGCTGTCCAACCATCTTGTCCTCTGTCGTCCCCTTCTTCTTGTGCCCTCAATCTTTCCCAACATCAGGGTCTTTTCCAGGGAGTCTTCTCTTCTCATGAGGTGGCCAAAGTATTGGAGCCTCAGCTTCCCGATCTGTCCTTCCAGTGAGCACTCAGGGCTGATTTCCTTCAGAATGGATAGGTTTGATCTTCTTGCAGTCCATGGGACTCTCAAGAGTCTCCTCCAGCACCATAATTCAAAAGCATCAATTCTTCGGCGATCAGCCTTCTTTATGGTCCAGCTCTCACTTCCATACATCACTACTGGGAAAACCATGGCTTTAACTATACGGACCTTTGTAGAATAGTGAATCTCAATAGTTCAGATAGAGTTTAATGAGTAGTGAAAAACAATTTCATTTATGGTATAAGAATCTCAACACTTGAAACTATTTCATCACAGGTCTGAAAGAACTCAACCTATTTACCTTTTAACTTCAGCAGCAGCACAGGGACATCCTGATCAGGGCTTTCAGTAGCCTGGGAAGCCAGGGACAATATTCTGGAATCCACTGATAATGGCTTCATTTCATCCAAGCCAACTATATTTTAAAATAAAAGAAGAAAAGAGACAAAACATTTGACTTCAGCTATGGAAGAGAGCACTGATGTTTTATAGGAAGTGAACAGATAAATAAAAAACAGTTCAACAAAACAGATGCACCTAATAAAGATGATGTATGATAAAATCCACAGTAGGTAACCATAGGAGGATGTGTTCCAAAGACAAACCAATTTTAATAGCAGATTCACAGAATATGCCTCTTCTACTCTAAATGACATCACGTGTTTTCCACAGCTAAGCTAGAAAACATAGTTTAATAATTGACATCTTAGCCCAAAGCCCCAGGCCCACTCCCTGGCACTGCCAGTTAGTTGATTTCAAATAAATCTGTTTGAAACACTTTTGCCAGATACCCTGCAGAGCTGTTGCCAATAACAGTAAACAGACCTGGCCTAGATGGATCATTGGTCTGACTGTAGGAGCCAGTTCCTCATACCTTTATTAAGTCATATGGAGCTGTTATTAGTAGGCGACTGCGGTGCTTGTCAAAACTGGGACAAACTGGAAGGTGGCAAACTACTCACTTTACAAATACCAGCTTAGTTGGTCCCATTGACTGATTCCTAGCGGGCTATAGCTGGAAATTATTAAACAGAAGAAAGCAAACAAAAAGCCCACAAAGTAAAAAAAAAAAAAAAAAGCCACTTCATGATTTTATGGCTATCCAGAGTTGGTAGAGGGGAGAATCATAGCTTGGGAAACAATTGGGTATAAATATTTGTGATCAGAGAAAATATCTAGGACACTTGAGAAATATCTGCTACTCTGGCCATATATGACTGATGTGAGACTTTTCATTTAACAACTACTAGCTGGCTGAGTATTCTTTATGAAAATTTGTTTGCAGTGAAGTAACACTGTTGAACACCAAGGTATCAGAATGAAACGTAGTATACATTGCCCAGGGGACAACTCTCTGTTTCTTCTTTCAGTACCAGCTTAACTCCCACACCTGTTTCAAAGGGAAAAGAAAATGAAAAATGCAACACAACGTGCTGAGGCACTGGAATGGCAACTGGCATGCATTTTCAATACACACTAAACTATTTATTTATTACATTTATATACCACCTTTTTCTTCCAGTGAGCTCAAGGTGCTGTACATGGTTCTCCTTTGCCCCATTTCATCTTTACAACAGTCCTATGAGGTAGGTTAGGCTAAGAAGGAGTGATTGGCCCAAGTTCACCCACTGGGCTTCATGGCTCAGTGGGGATTTGAATCCTTGTCTCCCAGGTCATACTCCAGCACTCAAACCATTATGCCACACTGGTTCTAGTCTAGTTTTACTACAAACCCCAGTTTGATGTCACCCCCTCCACATTTGTGCATTTCCCTTCTCAAATGATTAATGATCAAGAGTATAGCGATAGTTCCCAAGCCCACATGCTAGGGAACAGTGCTGTACAGAAGAGCGAGATATGTACACATAGGCTTCTCCTATGATATGGAACTCTGTGCAATGAGGAATCCACATCACAAGGGAACTTATTTGACACATAGAGCACTCTCCCTTCTATGCATGAGCAGCAGTGGAGTGAGAACAGGTGAAGGCACAGTCCCATTGCACATGACCATAAATCACATGAATGAACACACAAACAGGACACAAGTGTCAAGGGAAACAAAACACTGTGATACAGAAAGACTTATGGACCATAATGAAAATTGATGCACACATTCACAGCTTGCTGCTGTTTCAAGTACAAAGTTCAGCTCAGCCTCCGCCCCACATTTCCAAAAGGGAAGAATGGGCAAATGTAGGAAGCTGCTTTATGCAGTCAGATCCTTAGCTCAGCATCAGACTGCATTTAGCTCAGCATTGTCTACTGATGACAAAAACCCTTTAGGGTTGTTGTTGTTTTTTTGTAATGAGTCAGGATTGAACCTGAAAATCTATGCATGTAAATACAACTTAAGAAGAAGCTGCTGGATAAAACCAATGGCCCATCTGTTCCTAAAGTGGCTAACCAGATTTATTTATTTAAGATAAATAATGCATCCTCCTGAGGGGACTTACAAAGGATTATTTCATATGCATAGTAGGTACATTATGCTTCCAAATGATCTACAGAATCGGAATTGTGAAGCTGGAAGGGACCAAAGGGTCAGCTAGTCCAACCCCTTGCAACACAGGAAGACATAGAGCAATCCACTCATAATGCTTCCAAGTCAGGCCCCCAATGCTCTTTCCTTTTCTAATCCACCTCTGTGCCTATTCACCAAAGTAGTTCCCAGCTCCTACACCTTCGCTCACCCTTGTTCCACCTGTTTCCTTGGATATCCCAATGTCTCTGTCCGCTAGAATTTGTTTGAAGAATGGAATGATTCTGTATATTGAACAGCCCTCCCCTTTTGACTTTCTGTTATCCAAAGCCCTTCATATCTGCACTACAGCAAGCAATAATCAAGGCCATGAAGCTTGATCTAAGCACAATGGAGAGAATCTGACCAATCAGATCAGTCTCCCCCCCCCCCAATACTGGCTACACCCATGTTCCTCAGCAACTATAATTCAGAGACATACCACCTCAGAGTGGACAGCTGTCATGACCAGCAGCCACTGAGCGCCTTATCCTCCGTGCATTTGTCTAATTCCCTTTCGTAGCTTGTCCGAGTTGGCAACTATCACTATGTGACGCGGTAGTGGATGCCATAGTTCAACTACCGGCCTTGTGAAGATGCATCACCCTGGATGATTCACATGGCAGAAGAGAAGTCAGTGTGCATGTTCAGGGCACCGTTCCGAGTCCCAAGCACAAACCTGAGGTTTGATCCTCCCGAAACCTTTCACGGGTTGTTAAGAAGGCCTCTCAAACACTGCGCCCTTTACCAGATTGTTCACAATGAACAGCCTCACCCTCCGCCCATTACCCTCAAACTTCACGCTCCCGCAGACACCCCGACTATTACCAGCCCCCTCATCCAAGCGCCTCCTTCCACAACCGGAAGGACTAATGCGGTTCTCTTACTCACACGGCCAGTTTCACGGCTGAGGTCACGAGGGCTCCTGCCCAATAGGAACGCGAACCTGGGCGCGAGGAAGCGGCAACTGTCCCGCCGGCACGCGCTTCGCCAACCGTCCCTCCGTCCTTATTTGCATGTGCTCCCTCCCTAACGCCTCGCTCGAACTCCAGGAGGCGCGGCAACAGGCGGGCAGCATCCCCTCACCCCACCGTCACTAGCGACGGACGCTTACGGTGGGCGTGACTAAGGTGCGAAGCTGCAGCCAATAGAGAGGCGTTGAAGCTCCCAGCGCGGCGCCGCTTCCCTCTGAGGAAAGGCGCGGGGGGCGGGGTTGGTGCTCCCAAACTCGATCAGCCGCTGAGGCGGAGGCGGGGCGCGGAAAAGGGGGCGCGGCCTCTGGGAGGAGAGCGCGGCTTGGCCCCGCCCCCTCCCCTCGGCAGGGCGAAGAGGGGTGGTTTAGCCTGGCAGCGGCAGAAGTGGAGCGGCTCCGTTGTGCGTTGGTCGGTGAGAGAGAGAGAGAGAGAGAGAGAGAGGAGAGAGGCAGGAGCGGGCGGCTCGGGGATGAACGGGGCGGCCCCGCCGATCTTTGACTGCAAGGAGCGCGCCCTGCTGCTGGGCGAGAGCTTCGAGAGGCAGCCGCGCTGCGCCTTCCACACCGTGCGCTGTGAGTGAGGAGAGTGGAGTGGAGCCACTGGCTGGGAAGCAGCAGGGGCTGCCAGGCAGGCAGGCAGGGAGGGAGGCAGGCGGGCGCCTCGAGCCCGTCCAGGTTGGCGTCGCGAGGTGGGGAAGAGTTTGGGTGAGGAGAGATGGCTCCCTCGTAAGTGAACGCCCGACAACCTCATAGCTGGTGTATATGTAATAATGATGGGTGGTAACTTGCTAATCGCCGTCGTCATCACTGCTATTATGTTGGAAGCAGGAAGGTTGGCATCTGTTTGGAAAGGAACGAAGTGCTTCATCCAGAGCTAAGTCAGAAATTTTGGAAGCGACGGGCACTTTGGACTTGCTGCGGGAATATTTTTTTTGGGGGGGGGATTGTTTCCGCAAATACCACGAACAAATTGAGGGAAAGAAGCTGTCACTGTTTGACATTGTAAGAGTTCAAGAAAGGAATAAGGCTTTTTTTTAAAAATGCCTTTATTTGCTCAATATGATAAAGCTCCATACTTTTAAACCTATCAGAAATATTAAATTCAGCATCCAGTGACATCCAGTGAACTTTAAGAACCCATTGTGTTCTTAAAAGCGACGAAGAAAACCAAAGGTGACCTGTCAAATCTAATTAGAAGGTCTGCATGGAAATGGGGAGATCTGAGGTATTTTGGTGTGTTTGGGGAGAGGAGGCATAGGGGATGAGTAGAGTGCCTAGATATTGCCCAACAACAGTCTCTACCACAGCAATGATATAAAGATGAGCATAACTATAGGTTATTGTGAGTTTGATTTTTTTTAAATTAAGGCAAGAGACTGTTTAAGGTATTGCAGCTAGGGAATATAAAACAAAGCCATGCACTTCTTTTTGTAGGTGATGTATATATGTATCTCATGCTCATGAACTCTTCTAACTTCACAGAGGAGCAAAAGCCAGGCACTGACTCTCAGAAATCATGGCTTCCATGCTCACTAGATGTAGGCAACATTTAGCTTTCAAATATCTAAATATTTCATGCATTTGTGGCTTTTAATGAATTTAAGTATCACTCTTCCAATGGAGCTCAGGGTAATACATGCAACCTATAATATAAGTATTACAAACACAATGCCAAAAGGAGATCTTAGCAACTCATTAAAACATGGCTGCATTTACACTGCAATCTTTTACATGCTTATTTGGAAGCAAGCCCAATGGTGATGGTGTTTACTCCCTTGGGAATTCAGAATAGTAGTGTATGGGTTTGAATTGGCTTTAAAAAAGACCTGTTAATTTGGAGTTGAAGCTAGTTCCTAGCCATGTGGAAGTTTGAGATCTATTTATTTAAAACTTAAACACTTTGTTACAGTGTCAATAATTAACAGGCTTAGTTAACAGGATCAAGACCAAACTGGCAGTAACAAGTGTATTTTTAGTATACTATTTTGAAATATTTCAAGAAAGCAGTATGTTTTTAAAGCAAGCAAAGAAAGAAAGAAAGAAAGAAAAGTTATGTGTCAGATTGTCTTGACCTAACTGGGTGTCAGCAAATTCAATGTTTTATTTTACTAATGCCTATGGTAAGTCAGAAACTCTTGGTAGATCCTGTTTCTTTGGACCATAATAGAATGCAGAAGGCTACAAAATAGAAAATAAAGCTGAAACTTAATCTTTTAGAGCATTACTGTGTTTCAGTAGAAGGATTAAAATCACTATATATGTAACTATTGAGAGTTCTACTTGTTACAAGGATTTGGGGTAATTTCATTTATGCTTGGGCAATATTTGTCTTTAGGTCTGAAAGTTCGTGAACCTTAGTTTTCCATTATTTTCTCTTGAAAATTAGGTGCAAGTGAATTTCAGTGCTCTATTTAAAAATCATTCAGCATATCTTGGTGAATTTGTACAGCTCCTACGTGTGGTGAATCTATGATAGGTATTAAGAAAACCTGGTCTGTGCACATTTTGCAGTCTTTTGGATAATAATGTAACTGAATGTGGCAGGCAAACCAGCATTAGAGAAGAGATGAACAGAATGATCCAGCACCCTCACCTTCGCCTTGTGACAGGATCACTGATTAAGGGAGTAGTGAAAAACATGACCTAATATATGTAACTGTAACTTTTTTTACTTAGATGATTTCAAACCAGCATCCATTGATACATCTTGTGAAGGAGATCTTGAAGTTGGTAAAGGCGAACAGGTGACAATAACTCTGCCAAATATTGAGGTGAGATTTTCTGTTCCCTTTGAGGGGAGGAGTCTAGCTAATTCTTAAACTGTGGCACTCTTTTGTAAATACATGAAGAATGTGGCAATAACATATGCTATGGTTGTGCCGGTGTTAAACCAATGTATTCTACTTCACATATTTACTGGGTGGATGGGGAAATCCACCTGGGTGGGTTATAAATCATCATCATCATTTCACTTCATTAAAATGCAGTGGTCATACATTTGGAAGGCACAGCCAATCAGAGTTCAACACTGAGGAAGGCATATCTGTACTGTTCACTTTATTGATTCTTATCTCCTTCAACCCTGCCACACACACTTTGGGTAGCTTTGACACATAGGTAGAGCCATCCACCTGCCAATCATCTGATGGCACAATAACATCCTTGCTTGCAAAATGCTTTGCCTCCTAGACGGCACTAGGGAGTTCTTGATGGAGACCTTTCTAGGGCAACTGATCCCAGTGGGTTTCTCTGTCGATGAACCCTGCTTGCAAAGGAACAATCTGAGGATTACTTTCAGTTCCTTGTTGTTTCTTTTGAACCACATCCATACCTGCCCATTTGTGATTCCCAGTACAGTAACTGGGTACAGCATACTGCCTCTGACAGTAGGATGCCTGTCATGGGACAGGTGGGAGGAACAGCTTCACAGACCAAACTGGGACCCATACAGAGCCTGATTAGTTCTGCGGGCTGGAGTCTCTCTACCCCTGATGTATTGATACATATTTTTGCTGTTATGTTGTAAGCTGCATGGTCATATTTATGTGGAAAAAAAGCCTTGTCACCTCCCTGACCTGTTCTTCATTTTCTATTAATTATTTCTCTTATTCACACTAGTATTTGGCCAAAAACAATTTTGTGGTGTTTATAATCTTTGTTTCATGAGATATGTTTGCAATTCTCTGATAGGAGTGACTTTTTTGAGGCTATGTTGTGAAACTTATTATGAGATAGCTTAATGTTCATTTTCTTAAATATGCCAAAAATATCCTCAGTAAATAATTGGCAGGCTAGAAAGCTCAAATGGTTGTGTTAAAGTGATCAAAATGGATTGGGAAAAGGCTGTATGCAACCCTGACAACAATAAGCACAGTGTTCTGTGATAGTTTCCCTTTCCCCATATTCTGGTATAGATTTTAAGAACAAAAGATGAAGGGAGTATAGTTCAATCTTTGTTGGTGGTGATTGATGGTTACTGGTGCCAACAAGCACTTGCTTTTTTATTACCGCTTCATAATTGATAGAATATGTTAATAAAGGAGTTGGTTGAAATTTTATTTGGTTATATGACAGGTTAGGAGAATGAGTCAGCTTTCAAGTGGATGGAATTCAGCATATTGAGAGGAACCTTGAAAGAACTAAAAAAGAAAAAAAAGCCACTTGGTCAATGAAAAGTCAATCCATTTTCATCTTGAGGCCACATTTTGTAATAAATCTTGGAGTCCTGCAAAATCACTGTAGCAAAACTGGCTTCATTCTCTGCCTTCTTATAATAATGAAATACATGCTGTTAGCACAGTGTGTTGTGAAAAGTGCAGGATTTTAAATCATGAAATAGACTCTTTAAAAAAGCAGTTCTAGAAGTGCTTGTAGTAGGAGTAATTTTCTTTTGATTTAAAATAGGGTTCTACTCCACCAGTAACAGTTTTCAAAGGTTCCAAGAAGCCATACCAAAAAGAATGCATCTTGATAATTAACCATGACACTGGAGAATGTAGACTAGAGAAACTTAGTAGCAATATCACTGTGAAGAAAACCAGGTGGGTGGAAAATTGGAAACACTCTTGTTTTCTTACTCATTATGAAAATTCCATAGTAAAAGCAATTTTGTCTAAATTAGGAAAAAGAAAAACTGACTGCTACTTTCTTTTAAGAAAGAGACTGAAGCAATGACCCAGTTCACATGTAACACTAAGCCAAACCATGGCTTTGCACAAGCATGCATATGTGTGAGTTCCCAGAATGAAGATCACGGCTGCTGCACTCCTCCCCCTGCCCTGTTGCTATCATACTACCTGGGGTTAAGCCATAGTTTGATTTGACAATAAGTTGAAACTAGGGCTTGTGGCTTGTCTCACTCTAGACAAACCAGAATCTGTAACCAAAGTTCTTGATTTACTACTCCTGGTTTGTCTTGTGACCTAGTTCCGTAAGCCTATTGATTTCAACTCAGAAAGTAACATTGGATATCATCACCCAGTTCAATTTGTTTGCATTTTTGGGGTGGTGTTTGGAGAACATTTCACTGGAACCTGCACAGACTTAGCATTTGTTAAGTACTGCACATAAGAGCTTTCTTATTATCCATCAAAAGTGGTGAAAAATCAGTTCTTCTAAAACTACTTGGAAACAAAAGAAATGGCTTTATAGAATTCACAGATACAACTTTGTTTTTCAACCCTTTCATACAGAGGTGAAGGAAGCAGTAAGGTCCAGTCTCGTATTGGGCAACAGCAACAGCTAATTCGAAATGCAAATAAGATTCCAAATAGTGTTAAATGTTCTCCACCAAAAGAGAAGATGTCTCCACCACCTTCTCCTATGGATGATATTGAAAGAGGTAAGTTGTAATTGAATCTCATATTGTTCAGAGTCTTAAATTATTCTGTAGTTTGAAGGTTTTGAGGTTGGAGTCCATGACCTAATTTTCATTTATGTGGTAAGCTTGTCTAGTCTTTGCAGCTCACATGACTGAATGCTTCCCTCTCACTCCCTGCCCCAGCATGTAGAGGAATGCATAATGGTGGGAAGGTTCTAACCTAGCTGTTCCCTAACATTCCAGTTTTCTATGTGAAGGAATCGTTTTTTCTATGGAGGAGGATTCAACTACAGGAGCCAATCCTTTGTAGTCTGAAGTGGTACAGCCCATACATAGATTTACCACCTCAGCGAGAAATATGCTTGTGTTGCAGTTTTTCTAACCCTATATTGTCTTGAAGTAATGAATACCAGGCTCCAACCAGCCAATGCCATGTCTCTTTCACAACAAAAGTGGCACAGTTAGCTTTTGAATTAGCCCTTTAAATATGGTAGCCTTCAAAAGTTTTTACTCTTCTGCTTTTTACACAGAAGATGGTGGAGGATAGTTAGAACTGTCCATCCCTTTTCCAGCTTCTCTTAGGAATAAAAAGCAGGCCAGTAAAAATATTTGCAGACTAGAAATGCAGAAGGCTGGCAGAAGAGGTATGAAGTACTGCCTACCTCCTCCACCAGCTGTTTGGTTTTTGTCCTGAGCACAGGAAGGGGTTTCACCTCCTCCACATCCAGCATAGAAGTGCAGCAGGCTGGAAGCAAAGAAATGGATTACTCCTTATCTTCACCACTAGCTTGTCAATGGATGCCCAGGTTGAAGTTTTGCCTCCTGTGTGTCCAGCAACCAAATGCAATGGGCTGGTGAAGGATGGATTGCTCTGTTCCTCTTCCATCAGCTTGCTTCATTTCTGCGTTGACTTGGGAAGAAAGGGGGTTACTTACTCTACAACCATCATGGATAGCTCAGCCAGTAGAGCATGAGACTTTTAACCTCGGGGTCATGGGCTCAAGCCCCATGTTGGACAAACATTCTTGCAATGCAGGAGGTTGGACTAGATGACTCTCATGGTCCCTTCCAATTGTATGGTTCTATTAGATCGAGTGTCTGGCCATCTATTGAGAGCATGCAAATAGTTTTAATACTACATGCTTCCAGTTCAATAGTTGTTAACTAACTATTTGTGTAAAGAGGTATCAGAAGCATTTGCAGTCTTGTATTTTAGCGACTATCAAGGGTTGCTTAAATAAGGCTTTGCTCTCTTTATGGATGAATACATTCAAATAAAAGTGGTTTCACAATCATAAATGGACAGCCCATCCCTTGAAAAAACAAAGACATATGAGTGGAAAGAAGTGTGACAGAAGTCCTTGTGGGATGGGTAACTAGAGCAAATATTAATGTTTTGTGTTATCGCTGATGGGCTGTTCAGACCTAAGATACTGAAAATGTTCAGCCATTGTTTGTTCCACATAGAACTGGCTACAAATCCCCTGCTCTGACTTTATTTATCTCTACCATCCCAGCCACCACTAGAAAAAGTAGTATGGTATGACATAAAAATGCTAATGACAACAGTGTACTGTTCTGTTAGTGTTGGTCTATCATTTGGGTCTTCCTTCCATCTTAGTCCAATGATTGCTGACAGCTTACATATATCATTAGGTCCCCATCCTTGTCTTCTTCCCTTAATTGCTTGAAATGGTCTCATCTCCTTACCCAAGGTGAACCTGCCGATTACATCATTTTGCTATATGTTGTTTAAGGCAAGCTTAGTCATATATTTTATAAGATTTCCTTCATAACCCTGAGGGCAAGATTCTTTTAGAGCATTAACCTAAAAACTTTACAAATTTAAAAAGTATCCTGGTTGCTTAGGTACACCTTTCAGAGCCTTGGGTGACCAGATAACTGGCAATACATGGCTGCCTTAAAATCTAATGTGCACCATGAGGAAAGGAATATGGGTAATACCTTATTCTGCATGCAGTCACTCTAAATAAATGCTTCTGGTGGCTTAAAAGTAACTTAGTAGAATGTCATACTGTGTTCATTTGGCCAGCTGAACTTCCTGCTGAAAAGTTGGGGCAAGCAGCCGGAAAGGAAGATGTTACATGTTGAATTAATGCTGGCAGATGGTTGCTCTGTTTATTGATAACGAGGACTGAATCCTTGAGTACACAGTGCAAAAAATGGAATTTCTCATGCAGGTGTTTCTTTGTAACTATAATGAGAAAATTCTGTCATTTCTTTCCTTGAACAGTTGCTAAAAAGTAGCCAGTTCTGCAGGGGAGGGTGTTCAAGGGCACATGAAATCTGAGAGACTCTTCTAGAAGGGTTGGTTAGTTTGGTTTAAAACTTGTTCTGAGTGACTCACAAAATCCCAAAGCTGTTTTCCCACATTCTAGCAGCCGCATCATTATGCATAAAGCATTGTGTTACCTGATAGTTTCCCGTCGAGAAACTTGCTTTTGTGCTAGGGCCCATGACGGAAGCATGGGAACAGTAGCATTACTGAGCAAGTTGCTTTGTGTGCAAAAATGCACTTGCAAATAATAATAATTATGCTGGCTAAACAGTAAGCCCCAAACAGGAGTGCTGTAGCACTTCTGTTTGGAATGACTATAGCACAGTACAGGAGCACTACAACACTGGATTTGGGACTGGTTCAGGATCTGTCATGATGTCTTACCATGGGTCCTTTACTTCTTTAAGTTCTAATATCAATATCTCTATAAATTAGCAGTGCTGAATTTTGCTCTGAGAACAATTAATGTCCAAGTGTTGGCAATTTTTTTTTTTAACATTAATATCGTATGTTAAAATCTGATATTCTGTAAACCCTCTTTTAGTATTTCTAATTATACCTTATTTAGCTATGTCCATAAAAAAACGTAAGGAATTTATAAAGCAAATACTGAGAGACATTAGATATCTTATGGGTGCATTTCCACCACTATGTGAGCCTGTTTTGGCTGTATTTTTTTCTGAGGCTATGCTATCTTTCGTATTTGATGCCATGGAATGAGCTAGCTACATGGAAGCCACCAAGCAGACACTGAGCCTAGAATGGTTTTTTTGCCTATTGTTGTAACAGCATGAAAAAACACTGGTTGTGGTGGTGGGAGAAGTTGACTAAGGATCAACATGTGGCTGGTGGCAGAAATCAGCTGTCACATAAGCAACTCACCCTTGATAAAAGTGGCAGCTGCTGTGGCCTTAATTTGATTAAATTTTTAGGGCTGCTAGAATAATACCTGTTGTCTAATGATGTTGTGATACAGCAGTCTGGGAAGTCTGGCAATTAAATTTATCGCCTTCTTCTCCTCCCTACCCTCTGCCTAGTTTGGGAAGGTTACCTTTATACCTAAGGAGTAGAATATTGATTATCAGAATTGATTATTCTGTTTGTCTTTCCAGGAGGCATACATTGTGCTCCTATTTTATAGTTTAAGTTACTATGTGGAGTGAGGCTGAGAGATGGTGACATCAAGGCATTCAGTGATTGTTGAAGTAAAGAAACTTCGAGGTGTGCAGGCAATTATTTATTGAGCCCAATGTGCTTTGAATGGAGTACTTCCTCAGTTGAACAACCAATTGAAACCAATTTCAATCCTCCTGAGAGGAGACCAGGATTTAAACTTGTAGTTCAAGAATGCCCCTGAGGAAGAATTAAATTCTAAACATGCTGAGATCAAATAAATGTTTCCTGTGCAGCTGGAAATTTTCTTCCCTTCCTTTTTTCTGCAGTTGAGACCTCTCTGCTTCTTCTTTCTTGAGTAAGGATTTCACCCTGGCTTCAACACTATCTATACCAATGAGACGGAAACATGGAAGGTGCCTAAAGAAGCCAGGGTGGCTATCTAAAGAACTTTTAACTGAGTTAAGATTAAAAAAGGATGTGTACAAAAAATGGAAAAGGGGGGAAACCACCAAAGAGGAGTTCAAACAAATAGCCAGCACGTGTAGACACAAAGTCAGAAAAGCTAAAGCACAGAATGAACTCAGGCTTGCTAGAGAGGTTAAAAGCAACAAAAAGGCTTTTATGGGTATGTTCGTAGCAAAAGGAAGAACAAAGAAACAGTGGGGTCACTCAGAGGAGAAGATGGTGAAATGCAAACAGGGGACACAGAAAGGGCTGAACTCCTCAATGCCTTCTTTGCCTCAGTCTTCTCCGATAAAGAAAACAATGCCCGACCTGAAGAATTTGGAGCAAATGATTCAGCAGAGGAAACACAGCCCAGAATAACTAAGGAGATAGTACAAGAATACTTGGCTAGTCTAGATGTATTCAAGTCTCCAGGGCCAGATGAACTGCATCCAAGAGTATTAAAAGAACTGGCAGATCTCAGAAGCACTGGCAGTCATCTTTGAGAATTCCTGGAGAACAGGCGAAGTCCTGACAGACTGGAGGAGGGCAAATGTTGTCCCTATTTTCAAAAAGGGGAAAAGAGAGGACCCAAATAATTACTGCCCAGTCAGTCTGACATCAATACCAGGGAAGATTCTGGAGCAGATCATTAAGCAAACAGTCTGTGAGCACCTAGAAAGGAATGCTGTGATCACCAATAGTCAGCATGGATTTCTGAAAAATAAGTCATGTCAGACTAACCTGATCTCGTTTTTGACAGAATTACAAGCCTGGTAGATGAAGGGAACGCAGTGGATATAGCCTACCTTGATTTCAGCAAGGCATTTGACAAGGTGCCCCATGATATTCTTGTAAAGAAGCTGGTAAAATGCGGTCTTGACTATGCTACCACTCAGTGGATTTGTAACTGGCTGACTGACCGAACCCAAAGGGTGCTCATCAATGGTTCCTCTTCATCCTGGAGAAGAGTGACTAGTGGGGTGCCACAGGGTTCTGTCTTGGGCCCGGTCTTATTCAACATCTTTATCAACGACTTGGATGATGGACTCAAGGGCATCCTGATCAAATTTGCAGATGACACCAAACTGGGAGGGGTGGCTAACACCCCAGAGGACAGGATCACACTTCAAAACGACCTTGACAGATTAGAGAACTGGGCCAAAACAAACAAGATGAATTTTAACAGGGAGAAATGTAAAGTATTGCACTTGGGCAAATAAATGAGAGGCACAAATACAAGATGGGTGACACCTGGCTTGAGAGCAGTACATGTGAAAAGGATCTAGGAGTCTTGGTTGACCACAAACTTGACATGAGCCAACAGTGTGACGCGGCAGCTAAAAAGCCAGTGCAATTCTGGGCTGCATCAATAGGAGTATAGCATCTAGATCAAGGGAAGTAATAGTGCCACTGTATTCTGCTCTGGTCAGACCTCACCTGGAGTACTGTGTCCAGTTCTGGGCACCACAGTTCAAGAAGGACACTGACAAACTGGAACGTGTCCAGAGGAGGGCAACCAAAATGGTCAAAGGCCTGGAAACGATGCCTTATGAGGAACGGCTAAGGGAGCTGGGCATGTTTAGCCTGGAGAAGAGGAGGTTAAGGGGTGATATGATAGCCATGTTCAAATATATAAAGGATGTCACATAGAGGAGGGAGAAAGGTTGTTTTCTGCTGCTCCAGAGAAGCGGACACGGAGCAATGGATGCAAACTACAAGAAAGAAGATTCCACCTAAACATTAGGAAGAACTTCCTGACAGTAAGAGCTGTTTGACAGTGGAATTTGCTGCCAAGGAGTGTGGTGGAGTCTCCTTCTTTGGAGGTCTTTAAGCAGAGGCTTGACAACCATATGTCAGGAGTGCTCTGATGGTGTTTCCTGCTTGGCAGGGGGTTGGACTCGATGGCCCTTGTGGTCTCTTCCAACTCTATGATTCTATTATACCACACTGACACATAAATACCGTTCCTTTGCTTACTGTCTTGAGGTCACTCTCAAATACTACTCTGAGTTTATTTATTTTCTTAAAATTTAATATTGTGATCATGTAAGTAATGAAGTTAGTTCTTAAATTCTTTTCCCTTCCACTTAAATCTTATTTTCAGAGCTAAAAGCAGAAGCTAAAGTTATAGAGCAGATGAGTAGCTCTGATAGCTCATCTGACTCTAAGAGTTCATCCTCTTCATCAAGCAGTGAAAATAGTTCTAGTGATTCAGAAGATGAAGAGACAAAGCCACCCCTTCCTCTGTCAATGCCACACCTACAGCCTTCGATGATGACTGTCTCACAGCGAGCCTTCCCAGATGTAGATGCTGGATATCACAGAAGTCGAGAGGGCCCTGGCCACTTGATGAACACACTGCGTAAGTACCGGTACATGAAGCAGAGAAGCTTGTGAGATTCATACTTGAGGAATCTAAAAGGAAACCACACACTTTTATAACTTTCTCATGTAACTTAAGCTTTGTCTGTGTAAAGAGGGTTTGACCTACTGAGGTTTAGATCAGAAGCTGGGATAAAAGCTGTTTTGACCACTGATTATGGTAAATTAAAGCTTATGCAGTTTACAATGTCATAGATGATACTGACTGCTGCTGAATTGTATACAGTGGAATTAAAAACCAGTAATTTGTTCTGGAGACATTCAGACATCTCAAAAGGAGTTGCTTAAGTGTTTAGTGCAGTATGGCCTAACTCTCAATGCAATAAAATGCCCAATCAACAGGGCCAGATCAGATTCACTAATAAAACTGTGTTATGTACAGTAGGGGTATCTAACAACTCTCATCATCCCTAACCATTGGCCATGCTGGCTTGGGCTGGTGGGAGTTGAAGTCCAGCAACTTCTGGAGGGCCACAGATTCCATACCTCTTTCATTTGTGGTTCTGCACCTTTGTTCCTCATGACAAAGTGAGGAACTTCTGCTCCCTCTCTACCCTTCAATGCCTCCTAAATCTGTTATTGGTGTTCCCCCACCCCACCCCCTGGAGCGGATTAGGGGGAGGGGAGTTTCCATGTGGCAAAAGGAAATATTTGTGCTAACAGAACTACTTTACTAGATACAACCACCCTAACTTCTGTGATCTCTATTGCCATTCAGTTAAATTTCCTGCAACTTTTTTGCTCTAACGCTTCCAATAAAAAAATAAAATACAGCTTTCCAAGCTGGATAATGTTTGTTGAAAGATGAGATTTATGTGGCCCATGTGCATAATGTAGAGGTCATGGAAGATGCATAAAGAATTTAGACCATAGGGCATTAGAGATCTATGGTTGGATCTCCTCTCCATTTAAAAATATATCTCAAAAATAAGCAGCTGGTGGTATAGAAAGTAGGATCCAGATGGGGACTATGGTATTGGGTGTGGATTTCCTGGTGAAAACTGCCTCCCCCAATGTGCTATTTGCTTCATCTTAATAGTTTTCTTCTAAATATGGCTCTTAATTTGCACCTGAATTCACCGTTTGACGGGAGCTTTATGTTTAGACCAAAGAGACTAATGTACTGGGAGATATTCGCTGCTTCATGGAAAATAATGTTATCTGGAGTTGATAGCATGACTTTTTAAAATTTTTAGGGAATGATCTCCAGTTGAGTGAATCTGGAAGTGACAGTGACGACTGAAGGTAGTTGACATCATTTCCCTGGATGAAGATGAAAATGCATTTGTTTTGCACTACGTATGAACTGATAATAGACAGAGGAATGTTACCAACTTTGATAATAAAGTTGTCTTAATTTTTCTGATGTTGTGGTTCAAGTTCATCAGCATTCTTTTTGCCATAACTTTATATGGCTCTTCCAAATGTTTGGGTTTGGTACTTACTCTTTTTAGCTGAATCCAGAGTTTAGCCTTTACTACCTCCTGTACTTAGAAGTTTCAGACAGCTAACTACTATGTGTAAGTTAGACATGGAGGAAGTTCTTGCTTATACATTTTGGATTGAAGTTTCATTTGAGAACCTGTGTCTGCATGTGTATGTATAAGTAAGAGAAAGCAAACAGTTGAAACCCATTATGCTTTTATTTCTTACAGCTAATGTTATGAAATAAATTGCCAAACAGCCACATGGCACTATCTAATGTTTTGAGCAATACAGCAACACATTTTGAAGTTCCTTGTGTTTCCCAGTTTGCAGTCTCTCACACTAGAGATTTTCCCCCCTTTATAATAAACTTGGCTTAACTGATAGCTTCAGCATCTTGCTAGCTAAATGTAGAATGCTGTGCAACACAAATGTGTTTCATTAAAATTCTGTTAAGATCAATGTATTAGTTTTGATAGGAATTCAAGAAATATTAAAATATTTATCATTTCATTTTTGATTACTGTTTTTTATTTGAAACATTTCTATGGATCTTTCCTCTTTATAACCTAACAGAGTATACACTAAGGTTTCTGATTACCTGATTGCAGTAAAACCATGAGCTATTTGAACTTTGACAGCACAATAATGTGCATGCAATAATTTAATCAATCAAGGGTTTGTTATGGGCAAACCATTAAAAATATAAAGTACAAAATTCACTGCCTCAATAGAACCAGTTATTAAGCTTGAAACTATCTACCATAGCAAGACTGAGGAATATGTCAAAATATCTGAATGTTGTCATCTGTTTGGTAATAATTAGTTTCTTCAAGGACCAGGATTGCCTCATAAGAGGATAAATTATACATTCTCTAATGCCCTGATAAAATCTACTGTAGAAGAATGCATGAGACATTATTTCAATCTCTTGAGTGGGTTGCAAGGAGAGCACCTATTGTTCAGGAGAACTTTGGCAAATTTGCCATCTTGGACCTTGAAGAACATAACATTAAAATAAGCCCAGAAAACTATTGTTCTATATTTGAGTATTGTAAGAAATCTAGATGTGGCATACCTCTGGTAGAGGCATACCAAGTCAGACTTGCTAACCATGGTATACAATGGCTTTTTAGCTGTCACATGTAAATCTTGCACACGCTTATATTTTATCTTCTGTTTACCCCTAGGAAAAAATGGCTAGGAGAAAATGGCCTTGTGAGCCAAATTGGGACTGCTGGCAGGCCTAATTTTTCCCACAGGCTGGAGGTATCCCATACCTGATCTAAAGTAAAACCATGAGCAAAATGAGAAAATGCCTTCTGTGAACTCTTGATCATGTTAGCAGGAGAGTTTGGAATGCACAGTACATGGAGGGTTGCATTATGATATAAGGAAAATTAAAGCAAAAGCTTACACATTTCTCATTATTGAAGATGCTGCCTCTCTCTTTAGTGATTAGTGGGAACACTTTGGTCTTGTCATTCCAAGTTTGCTTCACATCCATCTATGTGGAATCTACTTCATTGGTGGTACAATTTCTTACAAACAGTGAACATTATTTGGGAATGTTCCTTACAACTGACACACTAGGTGTCAATTGCCTAGGAAATCCCAAGAAATTGGATCCACTCTACCTATCTGCTTGCTTCATCTACACACAGCCCACAGCTTTGTGATCATATCACACAAAAGTGGCTATGGATGAAGAAAGGCACCTAAGTAAATAATGTATTGTTGATGTATAGCATTGCTTCTATTTGGCAATTAGGAGTAACCTTCTAAGCTGCTTTAATGGAATTGGTTATAGCACGTCAGTTAATAGACATTTGTCTTCTTAACTGGTGTCTTTCAAAGGCAAACAGCCATGGGATGCCTTGATGCTGCTTATTGCCAGTATGCTTGTTTTCTCTGATAGCATAGCCATAGCAGATTGAGACAGCCAAGCAGGTGTGGAATTGGACACTTTTCTGGAAAAAATCCTTTTTTACCTGCTCGAACAACTGCAGATAGACAGAAGGGCATAGCAATCTAAGACTTCTCAGTTGTTTATAGAAGTCCAAGAGAAGTTAGCTTCAACACAGAGCAGAAAGCCCAAGAACGACAGAATGTGGAAACTGTGTCCCTCACCCTCTTTCCTCTTCCTTTTTTCTCCTCACTTAAAAAAGAGTCTGCAATCAGGCACAATACTGCCCCCCACCTGTTGCCTATCCACAGAATGGCCTTCCTATAGAAAATAAAACGTGGCACTTGTCTCTGAACAGCTTGCCTTCTCCTATGCTCTGAGTGTTGTCGCACTGCTGCATTAACATTGGAAGTTCTGCTTCTTATTAAAAATGATTCTTTTTTTACTTTGAAAAATGAATTGTATAAATGTTTAAAAACTGGATTATATAAGATACGTTCAGGACAACATACTACATGTGGGTAGATGGACAGTTTTTGAGGTTATAAGAAGTAGTCTAAGACCCCCTCCACCCTGATTTGTTTGTGCACAGCTTAGGTAGTGGTGAGACCATCTCCAGTCTTCACTGAGCATTTATTCTGATTTGTTGGCAGTGTGGTTAGACCACAGTGAGCATTTGGCATGATTAGCTTGCGGGATGTTTACACGTGTTCCTGGTAATCATTCATCCAACACTTTTCCATTAATATCCCCATCACTTTCAGAACTGCAAGAAAGTTGGGTTTTGTTTTGTTTTTAGAAAAGTGGATTTTGTTGTGCCAGGGAAACAGAGAACTTTAGTTTGATTTAATTGCACAAACCTAAAGTTCTAGTATGTGCTTGAATCCCAAAATACTGACAGTACTCGAAGCACCATAAAATTGAATATCTTCCCTAAGCAAGTCCAGAATGGTGGAATAGAGGAGTACCTTGTCATGTTTACAAGACGGCTGATATGTCCTACTGGTGGTCTGAATGAAATGAGCTATTACCTGTGTCAATTTGAACATGTTACAGAGAGAAGTGGATGATGCAGCATAAACTGGAATAAAGAGCATCCTATATATAGTTGCATACATTAAATGAACATGCTAATACACTTGTTTCTTCTTTAATTCAAAACTGCCTGTCTCTTGTGCTTGTTACAGTCTGCTTCTTACAATAGATATGGCTGGATTCTGTCTTTATACAAAGTGAACTGTATACAAATGTGAGTTTTTGCATGACCGCTAATATTATACAAATGAATTAAGTGGAAGATGTAAAGTTTTTATAAGGAGAGCATAGTTGCTTAGAGTGAAAAACTGCTCAGTCAAGTTTCCAAAAGATACAAGGTAATTGTTATCCGTCAGAAAAACATTAGCTTTTGCTCTGGGTGTGTGTGATAATAAGATGTTAGATACTCTGGTTCCCGCTTTAGGCCTGCCCAAAGAAACTTTCTTGACGGTAGTAGATAATCTTGTTTAGTAATGCACCATCTAGCTCTAGTGCTTCTGAATAATACAGTAGTCACAGCATATATTTAAAAAGGAGGAGGGGGAAAACAATAGGATGGTTATTGAAGGATTGCTTAACTGGCAAGAAGTATTCTAAGTGTTTGTTTGTTTAATCCTCCTCCTCTCTTGCAATTCATGTCAGATTGACAAATAATCTGCTGAGCTTCTGGAGACCTCCCTGGAAACTCCCTGGAAATTGTGTATGTGGCATTACTGTTTTGCATATATGGATGTTCATTATAGTAAATGCTGGCTGCTGGACCATTCTATAATTTATTCTGCCTTAAGGGGAAAAAATCGGACCCACAATAGCTACACAAATGATTAGATTAGATCACAGAATTGTAGAGTTGGAACGGATCACGAGGATCACCTCACTGCAATGCAGAAATCTTTTGCCCAATGTGGTGCTTGAACCCATGACTCTGAGATTAAGTGTACTGAGCTATCCCGCCCTCTCTTAATAAATATGTCTCACACTTCCTTGTCTTCCTTATTTTTGCTTGTTGTATGATTTAGGGTTCTGCTGACAGAAGCAAGGTCTGGAAAAATAAGTCTCTGAGGATTTGCATCCACCTACAAGCCTGCCAAAATGGGAAGGTGACTCACGGTTTCTAGGTCCTGTGTTGCCCATCCCTGTTTCTGATCATACATTTGAAGTGACAGGGGCTGGCCACTTAATTACTTAACAAGTGGGTGAAATACACAGATATCTGTAGGAACAAGCATCTCATAAAATGTTTCCAAACTCAGCATCACAATGTTTTGGTTTGTTATAAAAAAGGAGAGTGATCCGCATGGAAACATCAAAGGGGACATCAAAGTTCTTTCCAAATTCAAGGTCACAGGTTTGAAATGAAGAGAGTAAGTGAATTAAAGCACAGTGAATGGAAAAAATAATAATCCAGATTCCCACTGCCATCAATGTCCTCCTCCTGTTGCAATATTCTTGGCTGGCAAGTACTGTACTGAGTTCAGCAGTAGCCCCACCCAGCCAGTGTCCAACTGCATCCTTATACCACTGCAATTGCTTACTAATTCTAGTCACCATTCAGGTTTTAAAGTCTTTTTGCGGAGCTCAGCGATGCTTGAAGCCTTGCATATCTATCTGTGCAAGCTGAGCCAATAAAAGGAATGCATTTTCCTACAAAAGCCATGAACAAAGCTTCTATTGATTATGATGGGATGATGAATAACCTAACATAGACAGAAGAAGAAGAAGAAGACTGGTCTGGGCACACTAGCAGCCTGATGCATCAGAGCAGGTCTCCCTGTGCCAGCATTGCATGGAAATACCGCATTCCATACAAGTGTCAGTCGATCCACCTCACAAAAAATATGTTGTGGCACTAACAAATTTACTTGTGGCATTGGTAGCTGTGAAGTAGAGCTCACTTTATTAGATGCATGAAAGTGCTATCCCGAGGTTGCTAATATATGCAGATCAATATTTTGGGTGGTGAGGGGAGCTGGGAATAGTGATAGTTGGAAGCGCATGGTCTGTCACTTCAAATGACCATGTAATTGGCCACAACAGTGATAACTGGTGATCTTATTAGCTTCCCTATACTAATGTTACATTTACTGGGAACATGAGAGAGAAATGAAGTCCCCATTGCCAATTTCTACCATTTTGCATGGTCAGTATATTTATCCTGTATACATCTGGCTGAAGTGTAGAAAAATCAGATGGCATTGCCATTTAGCTCCACTGTTTTACAATTTCTCTCTGTGTGTAATACAGTGGTACCTCGGGTTAAGTAAGAATCCATGCATGCTCCTGAAGTTATCAAAAGCATATGCAGCAATAAAAACAACATTGGTTCCTGCCACTGTTAGCTTTTTCCAAACACCCGAGCATGACACTTGCAGATGGAGTGACAAAGATTCAGTTTCTCTGTATGAAACCTTTCTCTACACAAAAAGGTAACTTTATTTCAATAGAAATAATTGTTTCTCCTGCAGTCTTCTGCACGCTTGGGAGTGAGTCCCAGTGCACTCGGTGATGTTTATTTCTCACATCATTATCATTTTTTAGTGTAAGAGAGAGATTCCTTTCATTATGCAGATTATAAATTGTATCAGAGAGCTTTTACCTAGAATCATATATTTTGTTTTAGTCTGGAGGGCAGAGGGTAATAAATGCATCTGTCCACCTTTCCTACCTGTATTTGTTTTTCTCCTGTTTCGCATGAGGTTTGCCTCATGTTTTAACTTGCCCCTGCCCCATTATTTCAAATATTTAATTTGGGATTTGGAAAAAGACTTGTTTGACATCTTTCTGTTATTTTCTCCTAACCTCTATTGTCTCCTCAGTTTCCTCTGCTGCAGAGAGGTAATCCCATGAACAAATATTCTTCTTATGAACCTCTGGTTTCACTTTTATATGCCAAGTAGCTTGCTCTACCAGATTTTAAAATCCTCCAAATGCAGTTGCACAACCACACACTTGGCAGCAGGCAGGACAGCTAATATATGGATGCTTTGTGCTACTTACTGCCTCAAGACTGGCCCTGCCTATGTGTTCCCTAGGTCAATCTGGGGAGCAATTTCTCCTCCCAGCCCTTGCAGTAAAAGAAAGCTACTTTTGAAAGAATGATAGGCAACCAGCTGATTCTCCACATTTGTGGAAAGACTGATTCTTTTTTGTGTCACAAAACCAGCTAAGGTGACAGGCAGATTATTAGTTTTAAGTGCATAAATATGTTTAATTTGCATTCTCTCAGGAACACTTGCATTTTAAAATAGATCCATTTTCAAAAACATATGTAACATATACTACATTTATATCCTACCTTTCCTCAAAGGAGTGCAAAGCAACACATACGATTCTCCCTCACCCTCAATGTTACCCTCAAAACAGCTCTGTGAGGTAGGTTAGGTTGAAAAGTGACTGGCCCTAGCTCACCCAATGAGCTTCATGGTTTCCCAGTACTAACCTGACAGCCTGACCATTCTATCATACTGGTTATATTTAGTTTCTTTTGCAAGTGTCAGAGCATATGGAAGAAAAACAGGTTCAGATAAAGTAAATAGGCTTATAGGTAATTGAAACCCTAGGGGAAAACACAGATGCTCTGCCCTTAAACAAAGGAAGCTTTTTTGGACACTTATATTATGCTTTCAAACCAAACATATATATAGATGAACACTAGAATTAGTGGAAATCCTCAGCAGACCAAAGCCTGAAGCAGGATCCTTGCTGAATTCAGCACACAAAGAGGTTTAGAAAATGAATAGTCATTATTATATTGCATTTTCACCACACCCTTCAAGGATATCCTTGTTTCAAAACTGTGTCTTGAAGGCCCAGACTGTTGACTTAAACTTCATTTTGTTATACCACAGACACTCTTAAAAGCTAGAATATTTGGAAGCAAGCTGTTCATGTAAGTGGGTTAACTGCCCACAGGTTTCTAGGGGTGGGGGAGAAATGTGATTCAGTTCACATTTAAAGGTACTAATTTCCACTTTCCAAAACAGTGCATGAATCGAAACAGCCATCCTTTGAAATTCACAGTTCTCTGAAATTTGCAAGGCAGTACTGCAGCCAAGTGATGTGTACAAAAACACATATACTAGGGGTAAAATGTACATGAAAATGCATATATTTGTGAAATAGCAGGTGCTGTGCCACTGAGCTATGGCCCTTCACTTCTGTCATGCTCTATTCTCTTAAGATGCTTAGGAACCGGTGGAGGCTGGTGCCCATTGGGATTGGCAAGGTGGAAGGTAGGGACCCCAAACAGTAGGTAGAGGCAAGAGCCAACGAGAGGCAAAGGCAACTAATTCTAGTTTTGTGAGTTCAACAAGGAGCAATACTGAGACTAAGGAGGAGGAAGCTGCCACAGGCAGTGCCACCCCCTAGACAGGTTGTAAGAAAGTAGGCAGACAGGTGGGGTTGACTGACAGCAGACTTAGGTTGGAGGCGCAGTGTCCATTTGCCCTAAGAAACCAGCCTCCACTGTTTGGAATGCATTCACACTGTCTCCTGCATGTGTGTGTGTCTGTGTGTGTGTGTGTGTGTGTGTGTATATATATATATATACACACACACACACACACACATAAAAAGGGGAGAGAGACACTGAGCAGGGACTGCTATTCTTTCATTTTTGTTCTACCCTTACTCTAGTGCTCTTTCTATATGACAAACAGCAAATCTCTACTAAAAGGTGATGCAAAATTTTTTTAGAAATATATTTTGTGGTGAGCTTTGCAGGGATGATATAGATGGCATTGGCACTTGTTAATAGCACCACAACTCTGTTGGCAATATGAAACAGACAGGTTTAAGCACTGCTTGAAATGGCGGACAGGAATGCCATTTCAGTCCCAAGTCACAGCACTCTTTTCCCTCTGAGTAGATCATCATCACTTCCGTTTTAATGGGGGGAGGGCATTGAGTTGTGAGAGGCAATTCCACTGAGCCCATAACTGAGCAGTGATTAAAATCCTGCTCTCTCTGGTATAGTAATAACACACTGTCTGCTGAACTGCACCTGCTCTCCTCTTAAGGATTTGTTTGTTACATTTTGCATTCCACCCTTCCTCCAAGGAGCTAGCGTTGCAAAAAACAAAAACAAAACACTCACCCAAAATTTAAAAAACTCAGCAACCACCACTACCATCTCAGATATTCAAATAAGCCAACAGTTGAGTCAGGATTTAAATGCAGGTTTCCCTCTTGACCAGTAGCAGCAGGCATCATTATTTGGCAACTGCTGAAGCCCCACACTGCTGATGCTGTCTTGGACCCTCCTTTCTGTCTCCCTGAACTCAGCTATGATGATGTCCTGGTCTTCCCGTAGGGCTACCACACAGCTGGTTGAAATGAACAGGAGGGTTTGTGGCGCTGCATACCTGCTGCTAATAGGAAGTTCCTAATTCACATGTGAGGATGCCCATCTGCATGGGTCCTCCCTGTTGGCATGGATCTCCCCAAACCTGCCTTCCCTCTTCATTTCCCAATAGCACAGCCCTTCAAAGGTGGCCTCAGACTTTTGGCCACCTGAGTTGAAGGACAAGATGGCACTCTCCATTCTATCTTTGGAAGCTGACCAGGTTGTAGGTGAACACTGACAGGATTCTCCACCATACTGGAGTGCAGCAGGATAGCTTAGGGCAGGGATGGGTGACCCCTGGGAGAGGGTGCCATATTGTGCCATATGGGGCTGACCATGCCACTTAGCATGCAATCACCAACACATTTCTGCCATGCCTTCCTGACAACTTCCACAAGGAACACCCTAGAACATACGGTATTATAAGAGTCAGTATGTAAGTATCTGGATAATGTTTAGTAGAAGTCAAAATGGATTTTTCAATAATCTTTCTAGATTAATAATATTTCTTTTTGTGATTGGGTTACCAGTTTAGTGGATTGTGGGGATGCTATGGATGTACTTTGCCATTTCACAAAAGTCCCCTGTTATACAGTTTTTGGCGAGCAAACTGGTGAAAAGTAGGCATGATAATAAATGAGTCAGGTGGATTAAGAGTTGGTTGGAAAACCATAGTCACAGAGTGTTCATCAATGGTTTCTAATTAAAGTGGAGGGAAATTTTGAGTGGGGTGCTGCAGGTGCTGTTCAATACTCGTTAACCTTTTTGATCAATTACTTAGACGAGTGGTTGAAGGCAATCTATCGTTGATAGGGATAGCAACAATGAAGTGAGGAATAAAACTCAAAATGACCATGTAATTCTGGTCTCAATACACACACAAAAAGGAAATTCAACAGAGACAAATGCGAGGTTCTGCATGACAAAGTAAAATATAAATGCACATGTGTATTGTAGGGAATACCTAGTTTGGCAGCAGTACATGTGACAAGGATCTTAGGATTGCTGTTGATCATAAGCCGAAGAACAAGATGTGATAAAGCGGCAAAAAAGGCTGGTGTGATTTTGGACTGCATGAATAAAGCCATCATTTCCATAGCCTGAAAAAGAGACAATGGGGACTGTGGTCAAAATAATCTTCAGATACCTGAGGAACTGTCACACATAACAAGGCAAATACTTGTTCTCTGCTACTCTAAGGGGCAAGGAAATATAGAATGCTCTTAAGTTACAGGAGGGTAGATGTTGGTTGAACTTTAGGAGAAACTTATTAGAGGTAAGAGCAGCTGGGCAATGAGATTCATTACCTAAGTATGTTGGGGGGGGGGGTTGATGGGATCCCAAACAGAGATTGTACAGCCATTTCTTGCAGATGTTCTAGCTCTGGATTTCTCTGTGAACAGGGGGCTGTACTAGATGCCCTACAAAGTCCCCTTCATTTCTTTACTTCTATAACCAGGGCACATCTGGACAGGGACTTTGGAGGAGTAGACAACTTCCCTTCCCAACTGTCAGCGCTGGGCTACATTTTGTTTGCCTTCTGCTCTAATCAGCCAAGCAAAATATGAGCGATTTGTTGAGGGATCATGTATTGACAAGGGTGTGCTTCCTCATTTCGGCAAATGAGATGTTTATAGAATGTTTCTAACCAGATTGTTCTCAATTTAGAGAGTACCATCTGGACAGGATGTCATAAACCTTCTGGGAATTTTTTTTTAAAAAAACACCCCAAACTATGAATTTGAATATTTTGTTTTTTCTACAAAGGCTTTGTTGAACTCTTTGAATTTCTCTATCCCCTGAGTGCTGGCTTTTCTCCTTTGACTCACTCGCTGGTGATGATGAAACACCAACTCACAGGTGAATATTGAACTCCCCGAGAGTGAAACTTGTTAACTTTTTAATAAGTCTTTCGCTCTATTTATAGGGTTGAGGAGCTGAGCAAGGCACAAAAATAATTGTCACACCACACCGGAGTCTTTCAGCTTGACTGTAAGAGCTTTAGATACCCAAGGAGCTGACATGCTTCCCTCTCAAAACATAGCACTCAAAAGAAAAGCGTGTAACAGATATGCAATGGGTGAGTCAGCAACTGTCTGTGTAGAGGCAGCCATTTTACTTCATGTCCATGGTCTTTGTGAGCAAACTGAACCAAAATATATTAACTTGGCAACTTGGTGTGAGGAGCTGCTGCTGAATCTGGGACTTGGAGAATTGTCGGGCAGAGATTTGGCCTATGTGCTGTCAACAAGCTTTGGCAGAAGTACAGCACAGTATGCGGATAACTTATTTGGACAATAATGGATGAAGACAGGTCCTGTGGTACCCCCCCCCCGAAAGTTATTTTAAAGCTTTCTAAACCACCTTTCATCCAACTTAGGATGGATGAATCTGTCAATTTTGGTTTTTCTCAGTTTCTCATTGTTTCAGTGTTACGTTCAGTTCTCCACATTTCATTTCAGTCTGATTTTTTTTTTAAAAAGGTAAAGAAAATTCACCAGCATTTTAGTGCCATTTTTGTATGCTATTTTGCAAAACAATTTCCTCCAATAGAATGCATTTTTGCATGTTCTTTTCACGGATATATACATTTTTATACACACTTTACCTCAGTATTTGTATTTTTGTACATAATACGTTACAGGAGAACTGCATTGCAAGATTTGGAGAATTTTTAAGGAAGGCCCTGTTTCAGCTCGTATTTGTTTTGGAAAGTGTGAATTAGGAAGGTTTCCCTTTAAATATGAACTGAATCAAATTTCACCCCATCCCTATGAGACCAAAGTATACAATAAAATATGATATAATAAAACAGCTGTTGCTGAAAAGATCTAGGTCAGGGGTCAGCAAACTTTTTCAGCAGGGGGCCAGGCCACTGTCCCTCAGATCTTGTGGGGGGCTGGACTATATTTTGGAGGGAAAAAATGAACAAATTCCTATGCCCCACAAATAACCCAGAGATGCATTTTAAATAAAAGGACACATTCTATTCATGTAAAAACACGCTGATTCCCAGACCGACTGCAGGCCGGATTTAGAAGGCGATTGGGCCGGATTGCCTACCCATGATCTAGGTGTTACTATAAAAGCTTCCTGTTCAGCCTTGATCTCTGCCCAGTGGCGGCTGTTCTATTAGGGCAAATGGTGTGCTGCCCTACCAGCCTCAACCTGCCCTCACCTGTCTGCCTTCTTACATTCAACCAGTCCTGTAAGTGCCACTGCCTGTTAGCTTCCTCCTCCTTAGTGTTACCCTTGTACAATTCAGCAGGAAGGATGAGGCGGGCAAAGTTAGAATTATTTGCTTATGCCTATCATTGGCTCTGGCACCATCTACTGCCTTCCACCCTACTAGTCCAAATGTGCACCAGCAAACCACTGCCTCTGCCTGAGCAAAAGGGGACTGTGCTAATGTTTCCTAGCTTCTCTTGAGGTTGGCCTAGTTCATGCCATCTGGCCTTGCCACCTGACTTGGCAGGAGCTGGGTTTGATGACTGGCCAGCCAGGCCTAGTGAGCAGAAGCTTGTGAAACCAGTCCTCCTTGTTTCTTAAGGGGACACCCAAACAAATCGTCTTGCGGTAGTGTTGGTGGAATAGCTACATGGGGTTGGCTTTTGGTTTGGGCCTCTTGCAGTGGTTGGTAAGCAAAAGAGGCTGCCTGCATGGGGATTCTAAATCTACTTCAAATGTAGCAGGCCAAGAATTAAATTAAGGGCCTGTTCACATAGCTGTTTAAGCTGGCAATACTGACTTCATAGCCATGTTAACTGCCATTTAGCTTTTTGGCAGCCCCCCACAAGCACTCAAGAAGCACGGGGTTTCTGGTGGCGTGCCCAAAGCCGACATGGTCTGACTTCAGTCTGAGCCAGTGACATCAGCACATCCACCTCACCACAGGCTGACGTGGTTGGCAGTCAGTGTGGCTTGAGTTGACTGACCGAAAACCACAGCACATAAATGGATGGTACAAAGCAGGCATTCGTTTTGCTTCCTGACTTTCAAGGCAGGAAGGTATCTATCTGAAATATAATCTACTGTAAAGTGAATGAATATGTGACAGCAAGTAATCATATGCCACAACAAAAGACGTAAGTCTGTTATTAAACCTGTGTGTTTGCCGCTAGTTCAAGAAATGTGGCACTCGGCTATACAGCTGCAAATAAAACATTTTAAGTGTGTTTTTAGCGCAATATACAATGTGACACTAGATGACGATGGTGAGCCTAATGGAAAATTCAATGCATTTTTAAAAACACGTCTTTAAAAAAAAGCATTTTCAGAATGTTTTTTATATGTGTGTAGATTCCACTGTGGTCTCATACTAACACCAGGGAAATCTTGCTCCTCTGTCACATAACCTTCTTTAGGCTCCCCCAACATGCGCTCTCTCTCTCTCTCTCTCTCTCTGTATTGCTTGGAAAAGGAATACTCAAATACCTCTTTCCTCATAATGACAGGGTTGGCTTCAACATCTCATAGGTGTTCTCTGCATGAACACTGAAAGCATTTTACAAATGACATGATAACATCTCCCCCTGCCCCTCCACTGACAAAGGTACACTATCTAATTTCCATCTATTAAATGGAGACGGGAATAGCCTTGCGGAGAGAGCTTTAATCCCTTAAATGATCCCTGAGAAACATTAGCTGCTTATTTCTTTAATTAGATATTTGCTTCCTTATGCTTCCAGTTGTTTAAGCAGCCACTTAACATAAGACAATCTGTCCTGTTATCATTTACACAGAAGGTGAACAGTCTGCAGGCTGTTTGCTGCAGTATATAAACATTTACCCCTGACCTATGCATTGTATACTTAGCTTAGAATACAGCCATCAGTTGTTAGGGCATGAGACTTCATCTCAGGGTCGTGGGTTCAAGCCCCACATTGGGCAAAAGATTCCTTCATTGCAGGGGGGTGGACTAGGTGACCCTCATGGGCCTTTCCAGCTCTACTATTCTATGATTCTAATTTCCAAACTCTACACACCAGAGGATTGAAAATAATAAAATGGTGCCACCTGCTGGATGTCTCTGCACAGCTTAATCTGCTGAATTCCTTACACTTCTCTAGAGAGGTGTCTTCAATACACCACCTATTTGCAAATAAGCCTTAGTTATTGGAAAATAATGGAGAGGATCCCTCAGATGATTCTGCTAGAATACAATGCTACTGCATATGATATGAAATATGAATCAAAGGCATTAATATAACCCACAAAAGCTCTTTCCGCATGCAGATATCTAAAATAAATAAAGCATCATTTTGTATTGCATATGTGGAAGTAAGCCACACGGAGTACAGATATAGAACATTACGCAATAATTGTCTAGTAGAGATGTGAAGAATCCACACACATTTTGCATGACATGCAGGATGCTTGTAGGGCTGAATCATTGCATTTCAGCTTCTTCCTTAAACACCCAATAGTTCTCATGAATTCTAATCTGTCTCAGGTGCTAGTGCTGAAAATGCTTGGTATGATTTCTGTACTGGGTCACACTGGCACAATCAGATACTGACTGTAGCCTGTTCTGATGTGATGCCTTATCCATTAGAGGTTTTTAAAAATATGTATATAATGAATCAAAGCATAGGACATACGTCTCCACATATTTGTCCATACACATCACATTGTACATGAAACTCTCAAGGGCAGTTTACATAGGGTTGTCATACGTCCAGAATTGTCAGGATTCGGCTGTCGGAAACAGTGTCCTGGTGGAAATCACTTAAATGTCTGGAAAAACAACTTTGCCTAAAAAGCTCAACAAGTTTTGTGTCCGGATTTTCACTTTTTGAAATATGGCAACCCAACAATCATGACAGCTTGTCTGTGTGCCTCTCCAATTAGATCCTTTTAAATTTGTAAAGCTTTTAAAATTTCCATCATGACCTTCCCTTGTAAGGGTTAAGATCAAACAAGGTGCACTTCTGAGTTTGATGTACACACATACTGATGTTTATGAGCCCTGTGCCCTTGCCCTTTGTTTTGTGACTGGAGTAACTGTGGCATTCATCACAACTGTGTCATAAAAGTTTTGGCATCCTGCTGTCACTATAGCCCTCCCACACCAGTTCCCATGTATAAGAAACCTTGCTGGGGAGAGAAACAGTTGGGAATTGAAGTGGCTTGTTGGGGATTATTTAAATTTTGGCAGAAAGGTGCGCACCAGCGCTGAAATGCAGGAGCGATAACTTGGCAAGCGGTGGGAGCAGAATGTACATTCCATTTTCTGGAATATTCTGCAGTAAAAGAATGTACTGTGTCTGGAGTAATACAAATTTTGTACTGACATTGCTAAATGGTTCAATAGGGTCAGCTGAATACCAGTTATAGTTGGAGAAACTTTGGCTAGCTTTTTCTTTTTTCTTTGGATGTGCAGCATGATCCTTCTAAACAGGTTTGAATTCCATGATGCTTATTTAGGGATTTATTCCCTGGTAATGGTGCTTACGACTGAGGCCTGAGGGGGGCTCATGGAGACAAAGAACTGCAGCTGTGTAAGAAAGAGCAATGCAGCATTTGCGGAACCACAGATATGGCTGGTAATGAAGTTACAAACACAAGTGATGCATTAAATAGAACTCTATCTGACACCTTGTCTGTCTGTTGTAATATCCCGATTTCATTTTTATTGGAGATCACTTCAGCTTGTTCCATGGTGGTTGGGAAGCTGATGTGTTTTAATGGAATCCAAACCCTCAACCCTATAAAACCTTTGAGCTTACAAAGCCTTAAACGGCTTGGGAGCACAATACCTCACAGACCATCTCTCATCTGAGGCCCTGCTTCGTGTGCCTTTTCTGCAAGACATTTAGAGGGCGGTTACACAAGAACATATCTTTTCTGCAGTGGCTCTGCATTTGTGGAATGCTCTCCCCAGGAAGGATGTGGGTGGTGCTGTGGGTTAAACCACAGAGCCTAGGACTTGCCGATCAGAAGGTTGGCGGTTCAAATCCCCATGACGGGGTGAGCTCCCGTTGCTCGGTCCCTGCTCCTGCCAACCTAGTAGTTTGAAGAAATGTCAAAGTGCAAGTAGATAAATAGGTACCGCTCTGGCCGGAAGGTAAACGGCATTTTCGTGCGCTGCTCTGGTTTGCCAGAAGCAGCTTAGTCATGCTGGCCACATGATCCGGAAGCTGTACGCCGGCTCCCTCGGCCAATAAAGTGAGATGAGCGCCTCAACCCCAGAGTCGGCCATGACTGGACCTAACGGTCAGGGGTCCCTTACCTTTACCTTTTACTCCCCAGGAAGGCTCACCTGGCACCTGTTTAGGTGCCAGGCAAAACATTCCTCTTCTCGCAGACCTTTGGCTAATTAAATACTCTACGGCCTTTCAAACTGTGTACAAGGAGGTTGTTGTTTTGTTTGCTATTATGTTATGTATTTTTGTGTTTTTATACTGTAAAGTGCCCTGTGATCCTCAGATGAAGGGCAGTATATAAATTAAATAAATAATAACAGCAACCCACTTTTCGCTATATCTGCCAAGGACCCTGGGCTGCTCCATATGTCTTTTTTATTGTGCATTCTTGATTATTTGTGCTCATCATGGTGTCGGGGCAGTTATACGTGATCCCACTTTCAATATTGTTCGTATTTCCTGCAGTTTTGGGGCGAAAATACTGCTACATTGCCAGTCATTGCATGCCCCATAATGTCCTGCTGAAATCTTGTAAGTTTTCATGTCACAAATATTCTAGGGATTTATTTTTGTGTGTGTCCCCCTTTTGTTGTGGTATAGCATTAGAGTGCCCTTCATTGTCAATAGTTAGGAGATCATGAAGGTGGCAGTAGCAACCCATTATTAAGGCGCACATTGAAAGATGAACCTACCTAATTCACACTGAGGGAAACAATAAGCAACCTGGAAAACAGCCAACCTTCAACATTCACATTCCCAATTTTTGCAAAGCCGTTCTGCAGCCAAGCAATGCATCTATAGGGTAATGTGTGCGTTAAGATGCATTTACTAGCAAAAAACAATACAGAAACGCATTGAGTTAGGGGAAATTCCTTTGTCAACTGAAATTGACAAGTTCACCCATCCCTACCTGAAAGTACTTCCCAGTTTGTCACATCTGTATTGTTATGAGTTTGGGAGTGCTAACCTCCCTAAATTCCTGGATCCAGTCAGTGTTAGAATTTAATCACTGCTTGGGATGTTAAGATGGATGCTAGGCACTACTAATCTCTTGATTCAGCAAGTGCTAAAAGCTAATCAAGCCTGGCTACCCTCCTGGGTGATGGACCAATAACAAAGGATCAAAGGGATTGTGCTATATACCAGATGGGTGGGGACCCCCCCCCATCAGATAAAGCAGCAAGCTGGAGAGGGAGAGAAATATTCGATTTCTGTTTGACTCCATCATAGGCTCAGGTTGTATATATGTGTAAATAAACCATATATCATACAGACACCACATTCCCCACTGTGCCTCATTCCAAAAGGAAGCACAAACCCTGGGTAAATGCTGGAACCCGTGGAATCTTGCACTGCTTGGAGATTGGGGTGGTATGCAACACTGGTTCCTGAAGGAAATTGGGATAGTGTGCAACGGTATTTTAAAACACCAACTGAATGGCCACGACTTAGCAGCCAGGGTTTTACAGCTATGCAAAGCATGTGCTCAGGTATAACTGAGGCATTACCTACAAAAGTCATAGGAGCTAAGCCACACTAAAGCAGCAGACAATCCATGTGTTGTAATAACTCATACTCATGTTAGTTTTCCTTATGTATGATACTCCCTAGGGACACTTTTAATTGCCACCTGTTAGATTTAGAATGAGGTTGGGCTGCATCACATATGTTCAGGGCTGGATCTGGTTTGCAGAGTGCCAGTTGGCTACTCCAGTCTAGGGTTCTTCCAGACAGGTGTTTATTGTGGGTTTGTTGCTGCTCATTGATGAAATAAATAAATAATTTAAAAACCTTTTGCAGCATCCACATCTGTAGGATTGAAAATACCACCCTGTATTTCCCCATTTAATCAGGATTTATGCTTTCGGTGGAAAATCCGATAAGTTTAAAAAAAACAACCTGTTGCCAACAATCTGTTTGTGACATCAAAACAACCCATTTGCAGTATTAAGCCTTCATGTGGAAGTCACCCAAGAATGTTTCTCTCTGTTTTCCTTGAAATATCTGTGACCAGTGCTTATACTCATAGGGTGGCAATTGGCCAGAAAAGTACTCAAACATCAAATTACTCTGGGGTTGTTGCTTCTTGTTGTTGTCCTACACTTCAGCTGAGGGTCACTGAATGCAACAGTGATAGATCACGTCTGGTAGGGGCTGAGAAGCCTTCTGCATGTTGATTACACAACAATTTTGGGAACTGCACTTCAGGGCGATCATTGCTCATCCAGGAAGCAACTTAGCCCAAATGTCCTTGAAATGTTTCCGAATTTTATTTTGGATACTTTACAATGTCTGCCAGTGTGTGTGTGTGTGTGTGTGTGTGTTTGTATTTGATTGTGATTTGGAAAAACAAAACAAAAAGAGGACTTGGGATTTGGCTCAGCCTATCTGGTAAAATCTAAAACGTACATTTGTGACTTGCTGTGCTTGTTCCATAAGGTGGCGTTCATGTTTAGTGCAGGATTTTAAAAACAAGGGCATTGAAAAGACTGACTGATGCACTCTGCTATGCAGAATCATTCACTAGAAATGGAATCAATGCGGACCAGCTGATATAGCTGAATGTTTGGTTCTTGATTTAAACTGATCCTCAGAAGAAAATTTATTACTTTGATGATTTATACATTCCACGTTGCTCTTTTTTCCCCCCTCTTCAGAAATGGCAAATGCTGTTGTTTCAATATTTCCCAGATATGTGACAAATTAAGGCAAAGTCATTGGATCATAAAAGGCTGGTAATAATCGCCTATAATTGCCTTCATGTGTTACCTATGCATGAGAAAAATATTTTACTTTTTTTTATAAAGGAGGAAATACTATTATTCTCACAAGTCCCAATCCACCCCCTCCCATCTGTGTTAAAAATACATGGTCACTCCTTAGCTAATCAGCAAATTTATTAAGACCTGCATTTTGCCATTTGGTAAATGTACGATAGCTCATTTTTCCCCAGTCAGCTGTCCCAATGCTTGGTGTTGAAGTTGAGAAACTTCGAAGTCCCTGCTGTCCTTATTATGGTTCCATATCTTTAAACTGGACTCCGACAGCCCTTTAAACAAAGGACTGGATTCTGTCAAGTAGTACAGATGGCCACCTTAGGCCATCTAATCTCTATTTTTGACCTACCATTCAGGGATGGCGTGAAGATAAAATCAGATATATATCCATGTCTAATGCCCTGAACTCCTTGAACAAAGGGCTGAATGCAACTAGGGCTACAATCCTAGGTCACAAAGAACCCAGGGAACAGCCGTTTATTAAGGGGGCTGGGAATTGTAGCTCTCTGAGGGGTTAACTACCATTCTCATGATTCTCTGGGGGGAAGTGATGTACTTTAAATGTGTGTTAAAAGTGTATTAAATGTACGGTGTAGATGTGATCCTATTCTCATTCATTGGGCAGTAAGTTCCTTTGAACTCATTGTGGACATGTAATGGATTACGCTGTAAAAAGGATTAATAAATGGTGATTCTCATACACTTGTGTTTTCTGGGTGTCCCATTGTTTTGGGAACCCAAGGCCATTTCAGCATATTCCTTCCTTCCTTCCTTCCTTCCTTCCTTCCTTCCTTCCTTCCTTCCTATTATATCCCCGCCTTTCTGCAAGGAGCTCAAGATGGTATACAGAGCACTCCACATCCCCATTTAATCCCCACAACAAACCTGTGTGGTAGATTAGGTTGAAAGGCAGTGACTGGCCCAATATCACTCAATGATTTCATGACTGAGTGGGGGATTCAAATTCTGGTCTCCCAGGTCCTTGTCCAGCTCTCCATCCACTACACCACATTGGCTATAGGCCTTGTTCTTTTCCATTTCCTTTTCACCACAAAACTTTCCAAGGACTGAAAGTCATTTATTACTACCAAACAAGCCAATACGTTCTCGGAAGAGAAAGAGATTGCCGCTAGAGGGGAGGATTTACAATTATAACCTCATCTTCCAAGTGACTGATCATGTTGCCATGGGATGGACATCCTGTCAAACAGATCTACAGTTAACAAGGAGACTCTTTCATTACGGTTGGCACTGTGACTTTAGCTTTGCTTTTAATGCCACTGCGGAAGTGTTTTCCATATCGCCCAGTCAGCGCTTTTGCATACGCCCTGTCTCTTTCAACCACTCAGAAGCAAAACGGTATCAAAGGGACACGAGCAAAACACCACCATCAACCCACATCAGTGCTGATTCTGTTCAGATGGCTCAAAACAGCAGTTCTTACATTGCTGACAAATAAGCTCTCAAGCAAAGGATCAGAATAGGGTGGTTCTACATTTTTTCAGGTCAAATCCTGCTCCCCGATCTGTCAGTTAAATGATAACTAGACTCTTAAGAGCCTAGGCTAGTGAGGCTTGGTTGCTCCTTTGAAATAGTAATTCCTTTATCTTTCAGCGATGTTTCAAAAAGATGCAGCATCAGGCTAAATCAGACAGTAAACATGTAATTGTCTCTCATGTTTAAGAACAAATAGACAGGGATGAAGAACATGCCCCCCCAGATGTTGCTGGACTTAAACTCCTGCTAACTACAGCCAGTTTAGTCAGCAGTTGGAGAGAAGGGTAGTTAGAGTCCAATGACATAGAGTGGGCTGCTGATTCCCCCTCCCTATTTTAAAATAGCACCAGAGGGGTGATCTGGATCAGGATCATGGAGGGAGGAAGCCTTAATGCCCTCCCTAACTGATTTCCTGCCAAACCCTTATCCTGAAGATGTCGTTGCAGCCAAAGCCTCAGGGCCTTGCAAAATTTCTACCCACATATTCTGAGCCCAATTCAAAGTGCTGGTTTTAACCTGTCAAGCCTTAAGAGACTTGGGTGTCAACTATTTGAAAGACTGAATCCATACCAACCTGCTTGCATATTAAGATCAACAATGAATGTCCTCCTCATTTGCCTGCTATTTAGGTCAGTGAAGTTGGCAGGCTTGAGGTGGTGGCCCAGCAGCACTGGAACTCGATACCATCAGACACCTGGAAAGCTATTGCTTTCCAGTACTTTGGTTTGGTTTTTTAAAATTTTTATATAAATTATAATATTTACAAAGTATTCAAGAAAAAACAATACATTTATTCATCAGCTTCCCTTCCATGGTTCTTTCTAATTATCTTCTACTGCCGCATATTCTAATTACTCCATTTTAATGAAAGCTTTCCATTATTTATGCAAGACCTACCTGTTCCAGGTGTCCTTCATCTGACTGAAGGGCTGAAATGTGTGTCCTTCATCTGACACAAGGGCTGAAATGTGTGTCTTTTCATTGCTCTGCTGTGAAATTATGTCTTGTAACTTGGACTGGCTATTTTTATTTTCACTACTGCTGGCTTAGTAACTTCAGAGGTGTCGTAGAATTTGAGGGCGAAATCCAGTTCTGCTCAGGACCTCAAAGAGGCATCCTATGATTTCTTTCAAATTTAAAAAATACTTCTAACTTCTTGAACCTATAGTATATATATTATACTATAGATATAATTAAATTTCTCTAAATTATATAATTTCTCCACATTTCTGAATGCGAGTGAAGCAAGTTTGTGGGAGATGGGTGGGTACACAATTGGCAGCTTTCCACGGACACACAACTTGCTAGTTGCATCCCTGCTTGGGGCAGAGAAGTGGCTGATGTCAGCCTGAGGGATCTGCTGGTGGCTGAATGTTGTACATGGCCTTGGGAGGATAGACCAGCATTTGATTAATGTGTTGAATATTATTACTGAGATATTCACGCTCTATAAATCCCTCAGAATATATTACATTATTAAAATGAGCTTCACCTTCAACTTGATTTCTTTATTTTTAAAAAGAGGCTCATTATGTCCTTGCTGGAATATCAACATTCATGCCAGTGTAACGTCTAAAGGAAATAGGGCCATACATTGTTGTAGCGTCGCTCAGCCCATGAGCCAGTCTCCTTGGGGTGCTCCAAGCACTTCCAAAGGCACCTCCTGGGTTGTTTACAGTGTCTCTTTCATGTGCTTTATCTTCCAGCAAATTGCATCTCTTCATAATGTACGGACTAGATTGGTGTAAGTGGACATTTGCAACTTATCAGGTCAGAGGGTTTCATGTCCAATGCCAGATCAAAGTCGGCAAATGGTAGAGGAGTTTGTTCTTTCTGCCATTTTGCTTCCCTGTTCTTCCAAAGTATATTTCCACTGTGGGATGTTACCCTTTTCCTAAGATGCAGGTGAGGATTTCATAAAGCCACAGGTTCCAGAAGGACCTCTAAATTGTCTCTTCCTGGTCTTCAGTGCCAGATTACCAAATAGGCAGAGTAGGCACCAGCCTATGAACCCCATGCCTTTTAGGGACCCCGTGACAACGGAGCAAAATAATATTTATTTGATCTTGAAATAAACTTACAATCAAGCTTTCTTAGTTCAATGTTATCCCACTAGAGTGCACACATGAGGCCCCCCCCTCAGATTTTGACTGCCTTGGGTCCTCCACAGGGTTTAATCCAGCAGTGCTGGTGCTAGATTTAGGCATGATTCTGAATAACAAGATCAGAGATGGGGAACCTGCAGCCCTCCAGATGTTGTCAGATTCCAACTCACATCAGCTCCCACCAGCATGGCCAGTGATCAGGGATGCTAGGAGTTGCAGTCCAACAATATCACAGCTTTTCCACCCCTGTCTTAGATACTGAGCAGTGGAATAAAAATGTGGGAAACTGCTTCAGTTTCTATTTATTGAGAATCATGAGCCGGTACTTTATCAAAATTTTAAGTCAATATGGGGGGGTGGCTTTCCATATTATTTGTTTATGTGTGCGTTCAAATGAATAAATGTGCAGTCATCACTTATTTGTTTTCTTGGATCCAGACGTCTTTTGTCAAGATGGTGCTTCTTTTGCTGGGACGTTGCATTTTCCCAGTGGTACTCAAGACCACAGCTCTGTTGGGGGCACAAGGCTCTCCTGTGGCGCAATGGGTACCTGGCTGTTAACCAGAAGGTTGGTGATTTGAGCCCATCCAGGGTTGGCTGTGAGTGGGATCCCTGCATGGTAGAGGGTTGGGGTACATGACCCTCGGGGCCCCTTTCAACTCTGCAATTCATGATAGCTCAGTTGATGAGAGCAGGGTGCTAATAACACCAAGGTTGCAGGTTCCACCCCTGTATGAGGCAGTTGCATATGTCTGCCTTGCAAGAAGTTGGACTAGATCGGGCTTCCTCAGCCTCGGCCCTCCAAATGTTTTTGGCCTACAACTCCCATGATCCCTAGCTAGCAGGACTAGTGGTCAGGGATGATGGGAATTGTAGTCTCAAAAACATCTGGAGAGCTAAGGTTGAGGAAACCTGGACTAGATGATCCTCAGAGTCCTAGTTCTATGATTCTATGAATTCTGTGATTCTATGAGAGCTTTGTGGAATGTGGTTGCACTAACATCACACTGGGGTATGAAATGAATGGCCCTGCCTGTGTGAAGCTTCCTGCTGCTCCTTCATCAAGTTAGGATTGACAAGAAAGTCAGCTGGCACCATTGACCCTTTGCACTCAGCCAACCTCTCTCTAGCTGCTATCCCGAATATTCATTGTCAAAGTAGCTGCTGCTATCTCTGTATTAAGAAAAACAATCTTGTGGACATCGTAACTGTCCTATCCAATTAGTTTTCCTTTATGTCAGGCACAGTGTGGCGACACTTGCAGGCTTGGCTATCAAAACAAAACCACCATCCATCTGGAAGGATGGTTTTGTGGTATGTGCCAACCATATTTATTTAAAAAAAACCCTGGGGCCACTTAGTGAAAGCAACCTTCATTCCAAAATTCAATGTATCATTTCCTAATAAACAAACAGTTATAGTTTCAGTGACATGATACCCATGTTATCTCTTTGCTCAAAAATTATAGAGCAGGCACCCTATTTTCCCCCCTTTGTCAGTTGTTAACATGGAACTTCTTCCACTAGTGTTTTTAGCTGACAGATCAGCTGCAATCCTTCTTGGAAAGTGATGACTGTCACCCATGTTCTAGTAATGATGAAATTTGGCGTTACACAGGCCTGGCTTTGAAAAGTGTGTGGAAGTGACAACAGGGTACAAAAAGAGGTGGCCATGCTGTTGACTGTGGCTGGCTGCAAAAAACAAATACAACACTGGTGTTAGAAATCTTCACTGGCATAAGTAACAAGAAGAAAACACCAAGCCACTTCTTCGAGAGAAAAGAATGACAAAAAGAGAGGACCAAATGTTAGGTATCTTTCTGAATATTGTTCTTGCTATGTATTTTTCCTTTGGCTTTTGAACTATCTGCACTCAGACATCACATCAAACCATAGTTTATCATGAGGGTAACAACCCTAGGCTTGTTCTGGGCTCATGTGCTCCCTCACTCCTCTGGGCATGACCACAAAAAGGGGTTCAGAAGGTTTTGCTTCTTCTTCTTTATCAAGCACAGCTTCTGTCCAAACCCAATAGACCAATTTATCGTAGTAATGGTTTGTTTGAAAGGAACCACATTCAAACCCTGGTTTATGAAGCTTCTTCTTTCAACAAACCATAGTTAAGATTAACCTTGGTTTAAGATTCAGATGGAATGTTAAACTGTGCTTAACTGAAATCTTAAAACAAACCTTCCAATTTCCTCTTTATGGGTGTGCTGTGTGGAAAGTGTGGGGGTGGATATTTGTGCCCAAAGGAATGCTAGGTTTGGTTCATTCCCATCACAACAAACTGTGGATTGTCACAATTTACAAATGTAGCCCATTTCAGTACCTGGATCTTGGTCTTGCTTCTTCAGCAATGGAGTCTGAAGTGCTTGTGTTTGATTACAGAGCCCAGGTATAAATTATCTCTGGTGAAAGCTGGTGCTAAATAACAGGCTGTATTACTAATTAGGGTAAATGTCATAGCAAGAGCATGCTGACATTGTTACGATTAATGGCCCAGTGCATTACTATTTAAAACACCTTTGGAAGTTAATGGAATTGTATTAATTGCGCTGTTGAAGGGACTGAGGCAAGTGGAGTCCATCATTCCTGGGCTTTCTGGAGCAGCACCTCTTGTCATTATGTTAGAACTGGATGCCATGCAAGTTCTTTATGCTTTAAAGATGTTCTCCTCTGCAATCATTTCTCAAATTAATATAGCAGCTGTGCTCTGCTCCCTAGTGGAAAGGGAAGGAATCCAGCTGGATTCTTCCAGTAGCACAAATCCTTCTTAGTGGACAGATTACGTGCACATTCTCCATGAGGTCTAGTGAAAGTACACAGTTGCCAGCTGTTGTGCACATTAACTGATCAGTTTACATTATACACACACACACACACACACACACACACACACCCTTCTAAGAAGGTTAGGGTAGGATACATGGAGTTTGTCACATTTTATCCTATCAATGACCTTGCGTGGTAGGTTAGACTACCATGAAGGGCATCCACGGAGCTTCATAGCTGAATAAGGATTTTAACTTGTTTTATTTAAAAAAATGATATTTATTAAAGTTTCAAAAAAGGTTACAAAAATAGAAAAAAGAAAAAAAGAAAAGAAAAAATACAAAATACAGAAAAGTAAAAACACTTCTTTCATTTACTTGTTTCCCTGACCTCCTCACACCTCCCTTTTTTGTATTCCAGTTCAGTTAGCTAATTCAGCAAATCCTTTCCCTCTTTGTTTTTATCCTAATCCTTTAACTTAATATATTGTAACTTTAAATTCTCACCTGTTAACAATCCATTTTTACATACTCCTTTGTAACATTGCTGCTAAAACCACTTAATAAGGATTTTAACTTGGGCCTCCTCTGTCCATCACTTTATGTACTTCATCACACTGGCCCTGACAAAGATGGCAGCTGTAGATGAAAACGAAGCTTTTCATTTCCCCCGTGGGTGAGAGGGTGGTGGTAACCAAGCAGGCCTCAAGAGGCTACAATTCATCTGCACAGATTTATGTTAAATGCACCAGCAAAAGACCAGTACAGTAAATGTTTTTCAGATTACAAAAGATAAAAGCCTGATAATATCAAATAGAAATGAAAAGTATGAATCATGAGGAATGAGAAATCCAAGAAATAATGATGTGGTTATTACATGGAGGGATTATGGTATGCAAGATTAAAATCAAATACAATTTAGTGGTTGCTGAATTCTATATTGTCTGACCTAAACTTTACCAGCTTTCTAGTTAAAGCTTACTACATAACCTTAATTTTTCTGGCTGTATGGCCTTTTAGAGAACAGCATAGCTAACAAAGATGAGATCCCAGCAAATAGTCTCCTGTGGTCTTAAATGCATGTTGCTAGAGATCAGTCTGGTGTCCAGAGTAGAGGATCTAGGAAAATCCAAAGAGAAAATAAGTTCAGATAAAAATTAAAGAAAAAATGTTTCAGAATGAAACAAAGAAATATGAACCTTAGAATGCCGGAGCTGGAAGTCTAGTCCAACCCTCTACAATAGCAGGAATATGCAGCTGTCCCGCATGGGGATCAAACCTGCAACCTTAGTGTTATCTGCACCACTCACTAACCAACTGAGCTGTCCAGCACCCTTATCTGAGAACAAAACACTAAATTTGGTCAAAGCTGTCTAGAGACCGAAGCTCAGAACAATTATCATAAGGAATAGCTATGGCAGGGGCAAAGTGAAGTCTCCCCAAAACTCGGAGCAAAGATTAGTCAGAGTTGTACACAAAAGATGTGGAAAATTCAGCACAGAAAAACCTAACCCGGTGTAAAATTATTATCAACAGTAAGAATGGAATCTAAAAACACATCTTTCTACTTTTTGTGTGTTTGAGAGAAGTGATAAGTTACAGCACAAAAAAAGCCATCCGAAAGGACTGTTTGTGTGAAATAGAGATGAAGCCAAGATAGAGTCCAGAGAAGAAAATGAAACGTATCTCTGTTCCTTAGCATTCTCAAAACTCCCCCCCTTCTTGTTGATTGATTCCTTTAATTCCCCTTTTGCTCATCACTAAAATTTGTTCTGTATCAGAACACCTGCAGAAACAGTTTTCTATTTTTTTTAGAGGCTGACATTATTGGGGTACAGGGAGACTCACAAAAGTCACCTAGCATTGCTAGCCACATGGAGTAACAAATCTTTTATTCCCACACTGGTATGTTGTCTTAGCTCGAATTTGTGGCCTTGTCAGTATTTCTGCTTTTCACACTCCAGACAGAAAACAATTTCTGCTCTCAACACTAGGGATGCTGAACAATTCTGACCAGTGCTGGATTTACGTATAAGCTAAACAAGCAATAGCTTAGGGCCCCACTCTCTTGTGGGCCCCTAAAAAATTTAAAGGAAAAAAACCTGGATGTCCAAAATATAAGATAAAAAACAAATAAAATAAAACCTACATACAGTTAGAGCTTAATAATTCTTTCACTATTAATATACTTCTTCTTAATTGTAATTCAGTTCAACAATTACTTTGATAAAATACATATTTTGTTATGTGCAAATGGCTTTAGATACCTATTAGGTCCATAAATTTCCATATAGTATATATTCAAAACAAAAAAAGCGACAATTTGTGGTTGACAAAGGACAGCTGGACATACTGTATAAAGGGCCACATTAACTTCAGTAGCTTAGGGCCTCATCAAACCTAAATCCGGCCCTGATACTGACCAACATACAAAAAGAAGAGGAAATTCCCATTGTTTGCTTATTCGTCCCACGTCCGGAACAGAAATCAATTCAGCAAATGTGTGTTTGCATTGAAATGATTGGGGTAGAAAAACATAAAGACAATGTAATTAGGTAAATTGTTGTTGTTGTTGTTTAGTCGTTTAGTCGTGTCCGACTCTTCGTGACCCCATGGACCAGAGCACGCCAGGCACTCCTGTCCTCCACTGCCTCCCGCAGTTTGATCAAACTCATGCTGGTAGCTTCAAGAACACCATCCAACCATCTCATTCTCTGTCGTCCCCTTCTCCTTGTGCCCTCCATCTTTCCCAACATCAGGGTCTTTTCCAGGGAGTCTTCTCTCTCATGAGGTGGCCAAAGTATTGGAGCCTCAGCTTCAGGATCTGTCCTTCCAGTGAGCACTCAGGGCTGATTTCCTTAAGAATGGAGAGGTTTGATCTTCTTGCAGTCCATGGGACTCTCAAGAGTCTCCTCCAGCACCATAATTCAAAAGCATCAATTCTTCAGCGATCAGCCTTCTTTATGGT